TTAAGGAACATTCACGGTTTTTTTATTTTCGACGAGCAGAATGGCCGGAATTATGGACACCGTGAGACAATCTTTTTTTAAAATTGACTATGTTTCAGAGTATGCAGTACCATTAATTTTGACCTTTTTCTGTCCCAAAAAATTTCAAAACGTCGTTGAAACACGTACAAATAAATCTTGTCAATTTAACTGCGAAAGGTGTAATAGTTTCTTTGCAAAAAATTCTCTAACAAAGTTAAAAAAAAACACGCACCTCACACTAGAATATCTCCTCAAACGATAAAAATCGGAAATCGAATATCTCCTTCTTGGGTATGTCCGAAATGTAACGTGTGTTCCCTCCTCGAAAGGAAAAGACAAAAATTCGCGATACAATTTGTACCAAACGAGAAAAAGGAAAAAAAAGGAAAAAAAAAGCACCGAGAAAGAAAAGAACGGTGTTGGAACGGAGATAATGAAATTGGAACGATGACAATTTCCACTTCTCGCATTGTCAACTTTGACATTTTCCTTCGAAATTAGCGATCATCCTTGCCGTCAATCGTAACTCGTCTGTTCGAGTTTCTTCTTCTGTTCTTTTTTTTTTTTTTTTTTTCTTCTTTTCGTTGCTGCTAGAACAATACTCACGACGGAATTAAACTCGCGACCGATTTGTTGACTCGATTATCGCGGCCAACCGGCCAGTGAATGAAAACTGTGGCCATTTGTCTCGGACGGTGGCCAAGACTCTCGGGTTATGTAATCGGGACGACGATTTCAACGTAATCAACGTCTGTTTTTGTCAGATGCACGTGCACATGTTGTCGCCATGAGAAAACGATCCAAAAGATCGAATCGAAGCGGGGGTTTTTCGCGATTTCTTCGCGAAAGTACGGGAAAACTCGTCCGAACTCTCAAGACAAATTTATCCATTTGTAGAAACGACGTTGAAATTAATATTTCTATTATTAGCAGACGAACATGCGCACCTGTTTTCTTTTTTTCTAAATCAATTACATCCTTATCAAGTCTAAAAAGTAGGAAACAATTTTATCTGTCGCGAGAATTACGATCTGTAATCCTACGATCGACTATCTTCGACAATGTTTATACTCGTTAAAAATTCCATCGATTATCGCGCTTAAAAGTAAGATAAGCCAATAAAGTAAGATAAAAAGTCTCGATTCTGATTGAGAAAAATTTCAATTCGTGTAAATGTACGATATATTCTAAAAAAAGTCAGGATAACAATGAAAACAGTGCTTCGTTCTGCATGCCTGTTACATTTTTACGAAAAATTTGTAAGAAAAATTTAAAATACAAGCACTTTTTCTCCAAAAGATATTTAACACAATACAATTCCGTCAAATTTAATTTCTACAATAAACTCTGTATTTGTTTAGCAAACTCTTAAACTCTTAAACTCTTAAACTCTTAAAATCTTAAAATTTTAAACTTTTAACACTCTTAAACTCTTGAGCTCTTGAACCCTTAAAATCTTAAAATCTTAAAATTTTAAACTTTCAAACGCTTTTAAACTCTCAAATCTCTGCACATTTACAATTAAATCCTCTATTCTGCATCTGTTATCTGTATCTTGTGTGGAATTCTTCTCCTCACTATACTATCAAATCCACAAGCTTATTATTAAAAAAAAAAGACAAAAGAAACAAATGTGCAATCCAAACTACATACGCGTATCACGCATTGTCGAGATTAATTACCGTGATAGTACGAAATCGTTGCGTTATTCCCTCTCCTCGTAACACGAAGCGAACGCAGACGTCCAAGATGCGTGCATGCGTGTGCGTGTGCGTAGTATCGTATCGAAGGGGAAATGAACAAGAAGAAGGTGGAACTTCGCGCGGAGAAGTAATGGCCGCGTCAGGTATAAAAACGAAACTAAGCGTTTAAATCGCGGATCGACAAAGCGGGCCTGTAATTTTCCTTAAGTTTGTATATCGTGCACACGCGCGATCATTATGTTGGCACGCTGGTCTGGTCGATGGGTTCGCGCCAAAAATCCGCACCGCTATCGCAATATTTCCGTCATCGACGCGCCCGCCGAATAATTGCCAATTATTCCATCGTCCAAACATTTGATTTCACGTTTTCAATTCGTGAGAGAACGAAAGCGCAAAGACAGAAAGGGCGACTTCGTTGGCCTTTCCAACGTGTTGTTTTTGTTGATATTGACACGGTCGATCGAAGAAACGAAGGAGACGCGTCTTCGTTCGAAAATGGACGTGGTCCAAAGAGCAAAACCAGCCACTTAGGCCTCTTTTCAATGTCAACAACGCCGAGTGGACACGCAGTACGGACGGTGAAACACTGTCGCGAAAATAGTAGTTTTTCGTACAACGAGTAGACTTCTTCTTTTTTTTTTTTTTTTTTTTTTTTTTTTTTTTTTTTTGAGATGAGGTTTATGGGCTGCAAGTGGCGCATGTGGAGCATGTTTCGTAAGAAAGATTTATGCAAAATTCTGTGTGAAATATCAATATAGCAGTAATAAAAATGTTAATTACAAATTCCAAGCGATCAAAATATTTAGTTCATTGTATTGGTTTAATTAAGTACAGTAATTCATCTATAGTAGTATAGTATAGTAAACTTTGTTAATTCGCGACTTGTTCGTGTTCAATATAAAGTTATCGTTCCAAGACAGAGTGGGCTAACTGGCGGCCCGCGAGCCCTTGTCTCTACTTGTCTTGCTAGCGTTAGCCCCCTCCACTGCATCCATCCCCTCCATTTGCTCAGTAGAGATTGAAAAAGTGGAGCTCATGCACGGCGAGGAAATTTCAATGTAGTGGTTATATACATATATATAAATATGTAAATATATTTATGTGGCTAACGATCAAATGAGCAAGGTTTGTTCTCTTCGTTCTAGATCGGATCGAATCGGGGACACGATTGCACGAAACAGAACAGACACTCTAGATAGATCAGGGTTTCTCAAACTTTTCCACTTCGTCCGAGTGAATATTCTCACGATTCTGGATCTAGAGCAGTGACGGCGAACCTTTTTGAGAAGTAGGTCAAATTTTGTTCATTATTTTTTTAATACTGGCTCGTGGGTCACTAAGTCAGTGGCGTCCCACTTGGAAAGGGGGAGAGGAGGATGATTAAAAACTACTTTTTTCTGATTCTCATTTTTATAATCCTCTAAAAAGTTTACGTTTCCTTTTTGTTTTACAACTTTTACGTTTGCAAGTGAAGAGCGAAAAATAAATGTCGACGTCAAAAAATTGATATAAAAGGGGTGACATCGTGCCCAGTCACCCCTGCACTATACGTTAGATATATATACTTTATTTCTTGATATTTTTTATTGTCTGTTCTCTCTTTTATTATATAAAAAACTAGCAAAGCTACCCATTTTGAGAATGGGATCTAGTGTGTTTTTTAGTGTTTATTGCATCTGTTTGATCGTAAATTTTTTGGATACAACTGACTCGTATAACATTTTAAAAGACTTAAAATACCTATATGTATACACACAACCAAGTCGTAAATTCTCCATAAAACACAATTATGCATTTATTTCTCACTTTTAAGCTCTTTTTAACCGAACACTTGTAATTTTCTCAACATGTTTTGAAAAGAGGGGCTCGAAAAGTAATTAAAATTCTTTTATATATATGATGATAAGTTTATAAAAATCAACGCGCGGGTCATTTAAAAAGGTCAGTGTCTGACCGTCGGGTCATAAGTTCGCCATCATTGGTCCAGAGGTATATAAATTACGGTACGGTACGGAGTCAAAACACTTGCTGATAATAAATCGTAAAGGAAATTTATTCGAAGAACAATTCTTTGACAAACTGGCTTTACGAATTAATTTTCGGTCCAGAAATTGTTTCATTTTGCCAAAGCAGGGGTCGCCCACATTTTGAGAACCCTCGCTCTAGATGCAGGTTTAAAATTTACTTGCCAATTCCATAGTGTTACAACGTTGTAAATAGGTGCGTTTCAATCGGGTCAATATACCAAGATGTTTTTGATCCTGACTGAAAATGAGATGTCTTAGTCGTCACATTTGTTGTGTAAATATTGTTCCAGAATGATTGTCACGTATGTAAAAAAGAATAAAATGAAAACGAAATTCGGTGAAAATGCAAAACTTTATCTACTTGAATGAAAACCTTTTTAACCTTGAATAATTTCTCATCTAAATAAACAGTTTCATCTTAAATAAATCTAAACGGTTTTCAGCCTCAGATTTATTTATAGTTTCTCTTTGTTCGCGTGCCTTTTATTACCTCGTAGTTTCTGGATGACATCATTACGTTTTTCATACGAGTTCGCAGTGTTCGGAAATCTAACACTTTAATCGCCTTTCTCTCCTTGGAGATTCTACCAAAGATGGAATCACAATGTAAGGTTCTATTCGTATCTCAAGCCTTTTGACTTTAACTCTCAAATGATGGTCTACTATCCAACATCAATTTCTTCAGCGCTTTTAAAATGACAGCAGGTGTGCAGTTTTGAAAATGTCATACAACAATGATCGTTGTTTTGACACCAGCCTACTTTGATAAACGAATGATCGGATAATTTTGTTTAGCTGGTTAATAAACACAGTAATTTACTATCTTGAAACCAAATATTTAGACATCAAGTAAATAAATAAGAACCGTATCAATAGTCGGATTAAAAACGTGACAACCAGTTTGGCACAAATTATCATCTACCTGCTTTGATAAATAAATAAGAATCGAACGATTTTGTTTAGTCGGTTACTAAACATACTAACCTGCTATCTTTGCCAAATATTTAGATATCTAGTAAATAAACAAAAAACCGGTTATCAGTGATCGGACGAGAAAAGAACCTACAAACGTGACAATTAATTATCATCCTGCAATTTTACACGAAATATAATTACGATCTTGCAAAGACCAAGAGGGCCGAGGTCGATTGGTGTTGCAGTTTTATTACGGCATAAAATTTTCTCGTTAGGTTTATGACGCGGATGATAACTGTTTCGTAGAAACGTTAGGAAGGGAAAATTAGCAATCGATTTGGTAAGAGTACGTCTTTTATTGTACTTGAATGGCCGGCGTATAAACAGTCTACAATGTTATAAAAGTCTCGTGCATAGAAAAATAGAAGAGTAACGCGACAGTTGCGTTTGACATTCCGTTTTGTATCTACATGTTTATCCATATAAATTTATATATAGTCTGTATAATCCATATATATATAGATATATGCATATGTAGATGTCGAGACTGATCGATCAAATTAAGTTTCGTAAGAAGATGCCCGCACACGATCGATGCCCATGGATCGCGCATGAGCCTCTTAAACGTTGCAACTGCATCGTCAAAGCGATGTCGTAGCACTGCGTTAACAATACAAAAGATCGTCGCGTTTATCGTTTGTATTTATACAATTGAGCATTTGCTTCCTCTTCGGCTTCTTTTCAACTAAATATCAAATACTAAATACATTCGTCGATCTCTACTGATTCGTTTGGAATCTTCTTCTCTCGTTGCGCGTAATATAATGCGTTTCAGAATGTGAGGAGAATTATCTAAGAACGAGTGTAAAAATTTTCAAAATACATACTCTCTCAACAATTGTCCGTGTATAAAGTATATCCTATCGTCGATAGAAAAATAACATTTATGTGGTATACAAAACATCAGCCAACACGAGCGTGGTATACAAAAGTGACGAAAGTCGGAAACTGTTTGAACTGGATGTAAGTTGAAGAACTGTATAACTGAGGCATAAGTATTATTAGCGAATATAGTATATAGTATTGGTATAATTTACGAATTATCGTTCCGTGACGGTAACAAGTTTGGTAGTAAAGCAAATTCAATTTTGCAAATTGCGAGTCACCTGTAAGCCATGAGAAATACTAAAAAATTCTTCAACTTGTACAATTTGCAAATGTCGTCGATATTGGCAAATAATCGTCTTCGAAACTTTTCCACGTGCCTTCTCACAGTACCGTGTGTATTCGAATTTTGAAAAATAGGACAACAGCCATTTTCCTTCAACTAACTGATTCGTTGAAATTAGAAGAATCAAGTACAATATTACAAATACGCTACATACGTGTTACAGAGACTGCGACTAAACAAGAAATTTATCGTAGCTACTTTCTGAATTAGTCGGAAGGAATTGCCGCATAAGTACGATTGATGACATTGACATTCTAGAAACGTAGAAAAATATCCCGTATACATATACGCATCGTACGTACATAGGTATATACTTTCGTCGTTGTTAATCTTTCGATCCTTTGAGTATTTCGCTCGTTACACGAAGCAATCGCGCACAATTTTTCGTATCAATCGCAAGTACACTACCACCCAAAAGTCAAAAGTATCTGGATACTTGCTTACTTTTGACAAGGCAATTTGACAATCAAAGATAAACTTAATCAGAGTCAGAGTCGGGGCTAGCTGGCGGCCCTTGCCCCCACTTTCCTGATCGCTAGCGCCTATCCCCTCCACTGCATCGATCTCTCCACTTGCTTGGTGGGGGAAATTCAATGTAGTAGTAGTAGTGGAGGGGGTAGCGCTAGCGATGGGCGAAACTAGGGACAACGGTTCGCGGGCCGCCAGTTAGCCCCGATTTTGAATGACAAAGTCACAAGTAAAAAATAATGCGTTGTCAAATGACGAATGTACCTACATTCTGTATTGTACAATTCAAATCACGGATTTTACGTACGTATTCGTGCAATTATGGAAAGTTGAAAGACGTAAATACACACGCACAGAGTGTACGAGTATAAACACCTGAGAAATATCTAAAATATAGTATTCTTTTATGAAAATTTATCGCGTCGAGTCGGTCCAATTTTCTTCAGAGTTCTTCAACAGGAAAATAGAAATTTGCGCAAATAAAAATTTACGATCAGGTTAACGACCTAATATAATAAAGACGATTTTTCTTTTGTTTTAAATCTAATGAAATATTGCTGTCTGTGAAACGAGTTATGGCACAATTTTTGAACAAAATTTCCAACAAAATAATTTTCTAACGAAAACCGGTTGATTACCATCGATGATCAATTATCGATCAATCATCGAATGTCGACATTAAACGAGCAATTAAAAGTTTGTTATTTAATGATTTTATAAGCGGACGATTGCACGTTTTATCAATAACCGTGTGTTCGTTGCTATGTATTCGTTCGAGTGTCCAGATATTTGTGATTTATGAGTCACGTCGCAAAATATATACACTCGATCAACAAGCATTCTCTCAAAGTACAGGTATAGCACATATAAGTACATGTACCTATTAAGTTATTCAAGTTTGTATTAATTCCGACTTTGATTAATATTAGCTAGTATTTCCGCCACGCGGAAAGTACACAGGCACCATACTTTCATAATTAGAAGATCGTGTCTCTATATACAGATGTATAGATAAGTACATACATTCGTTGTGTACATAATTCATTATGAGAAAGAAATACTGTAAATTTAACGCTAACATTTTTCTTCTAAGTTCCTCTAACTGTAATATTACGTCGTATGTTATATCTATCTATCTATCTATCTATCTATATATATATATTTATAAGTATAATATTCTTTTTCATACCTAACATAACGAAACTCATACGGAAGAGTGCAAATGTTTTAACACTAGAAGCACCATGATTTCCATTTGACTTCTCCAAGCCTACGTATATCTTGAAAGTAAAGTTACAAATTAATTTAAACTTGTTATAATATTACACTGTACATGCACATATTTATCTGTAATATCTTTCCTTGAAATACTCGTTACAAGAATCGTTGTAATTTTTTGTGGAATTTAACAATACTTGTTCACGTTGACCACCACAATTAATCATTGCTAATTACAATCAAAGTCAATCGAAATTGTAATTTTAAGGAAATGTCGATTCGTTTCAAAAGTTTCGGCAGCTGAAAGATTTTAACTTATTCCCGCGTTAATGTACAACAGTAATATCTTTTTCAGTATACGTAGTCACTCGGTATAACGTTAACGGAATTATATTTGTAAGTACTTGCATCGTTGTATCGTTAGGTTAAAAATCAATTTGCTATGTGAATACTATGTAACTATATCTCGAAATTCGCAGCGAAACATTCCAGATTCTCGAAAATTTCAATTACGCTATAACCTAACTATTGATCTAGGAATTCTCATTTCCATCGATTCTATCAACTTTGTTTACTCGATCATTCTGCTGACTGGACATTTCTAGTGTTAAAGAGGAGATCCTCTCGTTATCAGTTTCCTTATACTCCTTGCTTCCAAACGAAATGCAATTTCACGATGAAAAAAGCAAACTAGGGTTGCTTTTTACAAGTATAAAAATGTTTCTGTAAAAATTTTTTTTCTTTTTCCTTTTCCATTTGTCTTACTTGCTTTATTCTAATCCATACTTTCGTTAAGATTTCTCAACGTCTGCCGCCTTCGGTCTCTTCCTTCCCGGCGTGAACAGGGCAAGTAAACCACTCACTGCAACGTAAAAACGTAATTGTGAAAAAAAAAAAGAAAAAAGAAATGACAGATGGTAGTTTAAAGATCAAGTTTAAACATCTCCTTCAATGAAAATTCCTTTCAAAGTTCAAAGATTAAATTTCGATCAATCGGATTATTAACGAGCTAGTTTCTCTGTTACATCTCACCACCAAAACACAGGTAATACATATACACATGTGTATTACAGTCAAACACGTTGATAAAAAATTTTTATAGAGATATTTAAAAAACATTGAAAACTGAATTATGCGTATGAAGAAAATGAAAAATGACATCTATGTAATAATACAAGCGTGAAAAATTAGAAAGTAGAAAGTAGAACGAATATGAATAAATTGATAGTCTACTGCATAATAACTGCAAAGTGTAACAAATATTGTCACGAAATGTTATCGCTGTTTCAACACGACGAATCAAACAAATCAAATGTACGCGATACGAAACATATGTATCGAGATAACTCTAAATCAAAGCCGGAGCTAACTGGCGGCCCACGAGCCTTTGCCCCCACTCTCTTTGCTCTCCCCACCACCGTTGAATCGATGCAATGGAGGGGGTAGCGCTCACAAGGAGAGCTGTTGCGTCATTGATTTTAATGAAATTTGATCTGTCGATTCTAAATCGAATATAATATACATATATATATAATTTGACTATATATATCCGAGCATTTCGGTCAATACTCATTGTTTACAGAGATATTTAATGTTTTAATCTTCTACGGATATACTCTAGAGATGTAACTCTTTTCTTGATCTGCAAGCAGTAACGTAGCAGCGAAACTGATAGCGTAGTGGATTCATATCCGGAGGTGACGTCAAATCTTTCTAGAGAAGAATATTATTGTATCATCTCTATTTTTGTTTTCTTTTTTTTCTTTCAAGTTTTCTTGTCTTTTTATGTAGAATACTGTGTTTTACATTTTTATAGTATCCCTAATTATTAATTTATTTAAAATGTCACAGAAAATTTCAATATAAAATACAACGTCGAACGTTACAATTTTTAATAACTAATATTTTGCAAAAGAACATTACACTGTCTAGGATGATAAGCGTCGTAAAAGCATGAAAAGCATAAACTATATCTGGCAGTATGAACATTTTATAAATGCCATATTATTGCACCAATACTTTGCGTTTCTTACATCGTCTGAAAAGCACACTTGGTTTACATTGAAAAATATGGATTTATGAGATATTAATTTTGTTGCGTACCAAAAATATTTAACCATTGCATTGAAAACTGGTGGCAGATAATTGATTATGAATCAATGAATGAATTTTGATAGCGTCTTCCCTACGTGAAAATTTATGATTATTTTGTGAAATTTCCATAGCATTCTATAATAGGGGCACTATAAAATTGTAATAATGGCGATGTAACTAGGGACATTGTAAAAATATAAAACGCAGTATTCTACATAAAAAAAAAAAAGAAAACAAAGAAAAGAAAGAAAGCAAAAATAGAGCTAATAGAAAAAAAGTTCTTCTGTGGGAGGATTCGAGAACCCTAAAACTTCCGGGTATGAATACATTACACTACAGCTTCGCTACTACATCACTACATCCAACTTTAAGAAAAAAAGTATGTATAGCTGTGATAGAAGATTAAAACATTAAATATCTCCGTAAATAATGAGTATTGACGGAAATGCCTGGACATATATATTAGTCAAATTATTTTTACTTTAGAATCGACCAAATTTCATTAAAATCGACGACCCAATAGCTAAGACCTCTCCTTGTAAGACCTAAAACGTACATAAATCGTATAGGTAGAAACAGCACAAATTTAACGAAGTGATTTCAAAATAAATAGCTTGTTAATAATAATTAAGTAATCAGAAGGAAAATTGTGTAGGTCCAAACACGGCGATGAGAAAAGATGATTACTTGCACGCTCTCACGACTCGCTACTATAATTTATAATTTCCCACGAGGTCATGTATCCCCTCGTCTGCGCCGAAATTATTACCCTCAAAACTTTCGTCTTCGCCCACGTATATAGACACAATCATACTGTCAGATTTTACGTCCTAAGACTTGCGCGGCCAAAACAGTCCCAAGGCTGTGACAATCTTCACAAAATTGATTTGACTCACTAGAGACTTTCTCAATCCCCACAATAGTTGATTGATTGTACGATTGATTATTCGAATGTTTCGTTGCCTAAATAGGTTCGAGCAATTTGAACACGAGAATCCTGGCGAAACCACGTCGGTTTGCATAGTGTCGTCCTTACCAAACAACGGAACCGTAGTCGACGCTTACGGATGCGACACGGTAATAGCGCCTTCCGTTTATCTGCACACGGTGTATATAGGACTCGCCTGTATCCCTGGCTCTATCATTCTACCGATTTTCGTACACAAACTTGGAGCCAAGTTCTTTTTGAGTAAGTATATGTATCTTACACTTACTTGTTACACGCGATGGTGTAATTAAGTGCCCACTTACTACTTATGCACATATACCGCTTGTAAACAGCTAAGAATAATAAAATAATTTCTTGTCTGGTTTTGTCATATATCGTGGAATGAACTTTAGTATAAAATTAAGAAGACACGTATGCACATGTGTATGTGAGTTGGGATGCAACGCAATGGAAACGATTAAAATAGACGCGAAATATGTGCGTGGATGAGGGTTTTAATGCCAGCGGCTAATGGTTTAAAAAACCATTTTGTGAAAACTATTTATACACGTGGTTTAGATTTAATTGGAAAGAAAGTCTCCCCTTAGGAGAGGAAACTTTAGTACGATTGACGCTATAGTCGAAACCGAAGCCCATTGTACAGGATGGAAAGAAAAGTTTGTCTGTGGCTGATCATAGATGAATTTTACATCTTCGATTTGATGGAAATACATATGAAGAACCTGCAGGATCAATTTTGTAGCAGGTTCTTCCTTCTCTGTACATACGTTGAGCACCAATGGCGACCAAACGCTGTGGCACTAAAACTATTTCGACTCGAAAGCTATCGCGCTGCATGGCACTTGATTCCATTGTCGTGCAATTGATGAAAAATGATAATTCTGTACTGTGTTTTCAGTCGTGTCGTTATTGGTATCCGGCGCCGTGACAGTCGCCTTCTATTTTGTGATCAATTCAACGCAGAACCTGATATTGTCGTGCGTGTTCGAGGCGCTGACGTCTCTCGGTATCTCGCTGGTCTATTGCGTAATCGTCGACATGTTCCCGACGAATCTCAGGTAAGCAACCACGCTCACCTTTGCCTGCAAGCTTTGATTTACTGTCACTTCTAATCCTAATCTAATTGTTAAAGCTGCATTCGTAACTTGTTGTATTAGATGCTCGTAGCAACGTGTGAAAATAATGCACGCGTCAAATGCTATTTGTTCGTTCACACTGTCGAATCGTTATCACATAACAGATATAACCAATGTAAAGAAAGCCGGTGGTATATAAAATTCAAAAGAGCAGACAGAAGAAAAGATAGATGAGCAGACAGAAAGGATCCTTGGACCTTCTGGGAACTGCGAGACGCCTAGAAAGCATAAGGATGCTACCTAAAGAGTATGAATGATACTCAGAAGTAGACGAAAGGAAATGCAACTCTGTGCAAGCTATGGAACCAGTCGAACGAACTAAAGCTTAATCAAATAATCACAAGATTTGTCTTTCCACTCTGTAGCCCTTCTAGTTTAATATTAATGTGCACATCTTCCCTTTATTTTCATTTTTATGGAAAATCATGCAACACACCCTGCACGAGTATCTTTTTTATATTTATTCTTGGAAAAGCTTTATTTCTTAAACAACTTTATTTCTCTTTCGCGGGTAATTGCAAATATACGAATTGTTAAATTTTCAGAGTAATGGCTGCGGCTCTATCTCTTACCATGGGTCGATTAGGCGCGCTGGTTGGCAACTTAGTGTTTGGCTACCTGATTGATTTAGCCTGCGTGATTCCAATAATTTTATTCGCAGTATTTTTATTCAGTAAGTGGATATTTCTCTTAATCGCATCTCTATAAAAATCATCCAGGAAAGAAAAATTCGAAAATTGGAATACGATTTGGGTCAGATATGGCAAAAATCGTATCAATCTCTTTTTTTTTTTTAACTTTTACGTCGCTTGATATTCAAAAAGATATTGAAAAAATTCGAAGACATACTTCTAAAGTGTACCTTTAGAAAATAAACGATACATATAAGATGTTTTTTTTTCAAACAAGTATATAAATATGTATGTACTTTGATCGATATTTATTAACATTATGAATATTATTTCAATGTTCTTGCATATTTAATTGCAAGATTGAATCGAAACTCTTTTACTGCTATTTGTTTAACCTAGAATAAATTTTCAGCGTGCGAAAGATTATTAAATTTTAAAATTGTATAAGTATATTCTATAAAAGCACATTTTATTTTCACCATAAACATCAGGACGCATATCTACATGAATAACAAATATACTAATTAATTTTCTACTATTTTCCTTTCAGTGTGCGGACTTATGTCTTTCTTGTTGCCGAAAACAGGGAAAGAGACACTCGCATAATCGAAGAACGACTCACCTCTGGAAGTGAATCGCGCGATAAAAACAAAAATATGTATTTCCGGAAGTGGAAAGATAATCGAAACGCCTTTCGATTGTCAAGAATCGCGCTCCTGCAAAAGAAGCTCGAGCTATAATCTTGACAAACATCAGCGTGTATATCATAAGAATAAACCACAAACACTTTGGTTTTCATAGGATCATGAAATTTTCAACAACGAAAATACGTTTTTACCTCGAGCAGCGTGTAAATTCGTGTAAATATGTAATATTTATTTTATTTTGTTTTACCTTGCGTATCATCTTGAAGATGAATAGATATTATAATTATAAATTATACAGGATAACTTATAGATGTTGTTAACCAAGGTTTGAATTGCGCGGCAAATAAATCGATTGAATAGTCGATAAGATGTCTTGCTTGCAACAGATTGTAAGACTCTAGTAACAAGAGGCTAAAAGATGAATTTATAATTCCTTTGTTCGACTTAAAACGAATAGATGTAATTTTAGATTATACGTGTTCAATTTTGAGGTTATATTATACATGTTCAATTTTACTAATTTTGAGGTTATGTTATACACGTTTAATCTTACTGCATGCATCTGAGTACATATATGAATATGTGTACTTATATATGTATGTACTTCAAACTATGTACTTATTAGTTGCCAATCGTTCTCCCTCGTCAAATTTGCAAGAAATATGTGAAAGGATAAAATTTCACTGATTTTGTTTAAATTGTATAACGCAATAGTCCGAATATGTATATTTTTTTAAATTCGTCTATTTAATCAATAAGACTGTAAATTGAGAAAGTCTGTAAATTGAGAAATAATTTCTTTTTTATATGACAGCGAATATTGAGATGGATTGAACAGTTCAAAGTTATTGATAGATGCAGAAATTGAATTGAGTTGATACTTTAGAGATTTTGCAACGTTAAATTTATAAATATTTGAAGGGTGTGAATCACAAACTCTTTCATACGAAGCGAAATAAATTGCAGATATCAATGCGAGGAACTGTTACGTAAGACCAGCAATATTTTAAATAAATCTATTTATACTTCGAATCGCGTTTAAAAAGAGCATCGTGAATAGCGACCCTGTATTCTGTATAATGTATATTATAATACGTACGAAACGTTCTTAACGCTGATGTCGAATAAATAATTTTCCCTATTAACCGATTGTCAAATGTATTATGTAATCCATCTATGTAACGAATACCCATAAATAAAAAAAAAAGTCACAAAAAAAATTTTAAACTCTCACTTTCAGGTTGCAGAAATTTGATAAAACGAGTCTCGACTGAAATTACGCGTCGGTAATGTCAAATCCACTCGTCTGGACCAGAAACGTAATTCATTCTTTATTGCCGGAATTATTAGACAGAAAAAGAAGAAACACTGCCAACGTGACAACACGAAAGTCCCTACATTCGCGAAAATTATAACCAACAAGCAGCTACGCTGTTCGTACGGTGGTGGAAATTACGATACGTGCCTGGTTGTGTGTCAAGTGCAACGATGAATCGCAAAAGATAGTCGATATTGGAGAGAGAGAAAAAAAAAAGGAGGAAAAAATACGCGACGTATGTGATCGCGAGTGATCAACGCCGCGTTCCGTCCTATGATATAATTCTCAAGTGAGAAACTCGAGGGAAATCATCCTGTCGCTCAGTGTTCCAACAGCCGATCCGATTGGCACGATCCTCCAGGCGAAATTCTCGTTTCTAGTCAGTTAAGTGGTCCGCGATAAACGATGGCCGGATATGTTTTGAGAGTGAAAACGAAATCAGGCCAGAAGGTCGTGAATGGACTGCTCCCGCAGGATAAACTAGGCAAATTGCGGTCGAAACTAGTTGAAATAACAGGAATACCAGCTGAAGCGCTTCACGTCCTCGGTGGTTTCCCACCGAGTCCGATCAATCTGAACGACGAGACGAGCTCCCTCGAGGCTTGTGGCATCATCTCGGGCGACACATTGATCGTCGAGGAAAAACCACTTTACAATGGGAAACAACAGTCCGATGAAGATATCGGACGATCTCATATTATCGACGAGAGAGATTTCACGAATACGCCTGGCGTACTGATGAAGAAGGTCGTACCTGCAGATAATTCTTGCTTGTTTACCAGCGTTGGTTATGTGCTTAATGGTACATAATGTAAATTGTATTAATATACTCTATACTATATATGTGTGTATATATATATATATATATGTATATATAAATCACAATATACTCAGAGGATATTTTCAGGCAAAGTTGATCCTAGCTGTGCAAGCTTTATGAGGGAGATCATAGCGAACGCTGTAGCATCTGATCCTGTAGAGTATTCTGAAGCTTTTCTAGGACGGCCGAACTTTGAATATTGTAAATGGATCTTAAAACCAGAATCGTGGGGTGGAGCAATAGAACTGTCGATATTATCTAAATTCTATGGATTAGAAATAGCAGTGATAGACAGTATTAATGCTATAATTAATAGATTCGGAGAAGATCAACATTATGCTCAAAGAGTCTTTCTAATATTTGACGGAATACATTATGATCCTCTATATTTGGAACCACTCGATGTAAGTACAGTATTAGTTGGTATTTAGTTTCACTGCCCTTGGTTTGAGTTCTTAATTTTCTGTGCTTGCGTTCAGGGTGGCAGTATTCAAACAATCTTCCCCGCAGAAGATGAGAAGATATTATTCGAAGCGGCTGAACTAGCGAAGGAAGTAAAATCTAGTCGTCAATTCACAGACATTCAAAAGTTTATGTTAATGTGCAATGATTGTAAGATCAAATTGAATGGTGAAATGGAAGCTCGGCAACACGCCAAGGAGACAGGTCATAAGAACTTCGGTGAAGTAGCCGTGTAGCAAATTAATAAAAATCAATCCCTCGGCAACTATTGGTCATCTTTCGAAGAGGACTGCTGTTTGAGAATCCTATTAAATTCAAGTCTCAAGCAGAATTTTCTACTTAAGCGAGGCTTGTAAGCAGATTAGCTATTTAATACTGATACATTGTTGTTAATGTAAGATTGTATGCAGTGCACTATGAGGATTGTTTAGACATGTAATATACACAGATTTTTAATTTTGACTAAAGACCCTTAAAACTCTTTTTTTTTTGACTAAAATCAAAATTCATGTAATCGCTTTCGTTTAACTCTAAATACAATGCAACCAGCTATCGTTTAATGTAATCGAGCATGATTTGTCTTTACCCAGTATATTTTTGTGTTTATTTTATTAATAACTACAAATAAATTTATTGAATTTCAAATCAACCCAAAATTCTGTGTATTTTGTTTAAAGTAGTACGATTGCGGAAAGAAAAATTAATAATTGTACGATCTTACCGCTCATTTTGATTTACGATTTAAGGGACTCGTTTAATGTAAATTTGTTGTTATTGATAATACGTCAAAGACTTGCACTCTTTGGCAGGATTAAGAATCTGTGATACTTGGTTAAATTTGCCTAAGCGGAATTCATAGCCTTACTGGCGGTAAATGTGTTCCACATCGCAAATATACATATATATATATGTATAAATATATATATATATATTTAAAAAAAAAAGGAAAAAAGTAATAATAATGAATAAATCGTAAAGTTGACTATATATAAGGCGAAATGGAGTTTTACTTAGTTTCGCTTTTAATGGCAGATCAATTTAGTACCGTTAATAGCGAATTTTATATGAGTAAACTACTGATCCCAGAAGGAAAAAGAAAACAAAAAAACGAAACGCTAATGTTAAATGCTAAGTGACATCCCATTTTATTAATAAAGAGATGTTGTTCGATGAAAAAGCTACAAAATATTATCGTAACGAATTTGATCTCTATTGCGCGTTTAATTTACAGTCTAAGTAATACAACAGAGAAATGAAACTGTATAGTTGTATAACAGTCTATTAAGCTTATATATAATTATGTATATGACGTATATATAACATTAGGATAGTACAATTATTTTTGTTATTGCGATTTTTACATGAATAAATATGCACTGTACAAAAAAAAGGAATATACAAATTTCGGTCGGTGAGAGGAAAAATGAAATTTAATTTCTTTTAATAACTATGTATGACATTTATCGAATATTTCTAGCACAACTTTTTTTTTTTACTTTTAAATAATTTACTATAAATTTACTATATCATCGTATTATATCATTAAATAATCTATAACAAACAAATTCGGAAATAAAAAAAAAAAGAATTTCATAATTACTTATACATACTACTTAAAAAAGAAATTCATGATTCAGATTTAAATTTATACATTACGTATTTTGTAAGTTCTATCTATCGTTTGAAAAAACTGAAATAAATCGGCTATTTATATTTCGTATCTTTCTCATGTAATTTTTGTTGCGTTTCAAATAACGGAAAAACTGAGATTGCAATGGCCGCCATTCAAAGCCATTATTGAGAAACAATTTGAACGAGATCTTTAAAGTTCGAAATCAAATTACTCACCAAGTCAGCAAGATGAATCAGCGTAAAATTATCATTGCTGCACACTGAATCCAAATTAGAAGAAATTAACTTTGTAACAACACATTTTCAAACGCATTTTGATAAAAGAATATGCGAAGTTCCACGCGCGTCGCGTTAGTTATACTGGAACTACCACACTGGTCAAATTCAAAATCTTTTATTGAAATTTTTGACTTGCAACGATGTAATTTTTGCAAGTTTGAATCAAACTATATGGAAAAAACATGTATCTTCTCATAAATAACTTTAACTCTTTTTAGTATGAGTTTTATATTTACTATTAGCATGCAGTAATTTATTACAACGTTATAAATGCAATTTTTTACGCGCGTCACGCTAGTAATACTGGAACTACCACGTTAGTCAAATTCAAAATTTTTCATCGACATTTTAGACTTGCAATGGTGTCTATTTGAATTTGAACAAAGTGCAAAGTATGTACATATGTAGCGACGACTTTACATTTACACAAGCAAATAATTTTGCATTCTTTGGATGTACATTTTAAAGTCAGTATTTACGCTGAATTTTGATCTAAACTTTCAATAATTTACGAAAAACTAAATATTTCTCAAACGGTCTATTGAAAAATGTCTACATCGATTTATAACGAGGAAAATTTGTTTTTATACTTGTTTGTGATTTAAATAGAACATAAGAAAACAGCTGAGAATCTAAAAACAAAGATGCAAACTGCAAAATTTCATAAATTAATATCCCTAATTAGTTTTTTTTCTTATAAATGAAAATTTGATTAATATTTTTTTTTATTTAATAACTTGAGGTCTATGCTTAACCTGTATGTTACATAGTATGTTACATACTATGTATCAGTAAGCTACATATTGTTACATACTATATAACACGTAGTTCTGAAACATATACATACATACAAGAAATAAATATGTGAATTAATACGAAAAATTAATATAATTTAAATATAAAAAATAGCTTGTTACAAAAATAAATACATTTTTGATATGTCGTGTCATACATCAAAATTATGTAGCAACTCTTTGGTTAATAATCCATACAATCCATGTTTAGATATTTTTTTGTTGTAAATGTGTTGGATATTTTGCAGTAACGTTGAAAATAATTGCCACCTGTTATTCTAGTTTGTGTTTTGAATTTATTTTCAACTTGTGATTGTATTTTTTTTATTTTATTACTTGTAGCAATTGGTATATGAATAAGTGTACGTTGAGCATTTATTTTTGCAGCCGTTGCCTTGGCTTCTTTATCTGTCCATTTCCTCCAGCATAAGAAGAAACTCACAATGTCAAGATACTGCATTTGCCCTTTTTCTGTTGTTTATTATGTATTTGTCCTAGATTAAAGAGACAAGGTTCTTAAATTTTGGACAAACAAAGTTCTATGTTTAAAGTTTAGTCATTATTGATGTAATTTATTGCCAATTCAACTACCAAACATTCTGTTGTAGAGATAGAGGCCATTGAAATTGTAATGTTTTGCTTGTTCTTTGGAATAACGCAGGTTGCAAATTGATCAATTTATAGCATCGAAATGTGTATTAGCTACAAGTTGCGGCAAGATGGCGATGACTATGGACATAGACAAGGTATATGAATAGACCTAACGTGCAATGTATTTTTTTGTGCCTTGTTATTTTCATGTCACATCCTGTCGTAGCGTCGCAGCGCTACTAGTGATGAAAATTAAAATCAAAAAGTATGGACACTGTTGCCATGTCTGCTCCGAGAATTATTGAATTGACGATATTCCATCAATAAAAAAGTACAATGATTTTGAACAGCGATTATTTGGAAATTGAGACGAAGAATTTATTATACATTTGATTATTTACGTCTAATTTATTACGCTATATTTTTATTAATAACGTAATTCGATATGAATTAAATATAGCGTTTTCTTTCTATTTATTTCAGTGTTAGCTAGGGAATTGGGAAACAGTCGGTAAGCGTGAGTATTGGCGTGGCGTGTGGCCAGAGCACATGTCTAGATGGCAGGGTGCGATTAAAACAGATACAAGGTACGACGCACCGTATTTAGTAGGCTGCCAGACTGCCAGAGTGCCAACTGCATTCGGGGATCGGTGATCAGTGATTGTATATTTCATTGTCGCACGAGAAGCAACGAGTTAGGAAATGTGATCCGTTTCGCAGGGGGATGGCAATGGTAGTTTCCTGCTTTTAATTTATAGGGGAAAAAGAGAAAAAACAGAAGCTCTTGTCCCAAGACGAGAGTACGTCCTATGTCAGTCGTGAAAATCTGGGCATGGTGTGTTACGGGAAAAGATTATCGGTATAAAAAAAATGTCGTTATTGCTGCTGACAACGATACGTTCAGCCAAAAGGAATTCACTGACAAACAGGTGAAGATGGAAGATGAAGCGGACATTAGAGAGCAATTATTTCACAATACAGTACGGGAGAATATCGTGAGTAAAAATCAAACAGATGTTTATAGTCGTAGTGAGCCTTGTTTATTGACTACATAGTAGGTTCTTGAAGTTTCTTGCAACGTTCCTGGCAAATAGACAATTGCCACGTTCCCCGCGATTAAATTCAACGTTTCTTTCTGTTAACCAATATTTCAACGTATGAAATTGAATTTTAGAAACGATACAATAAATCCTGATCATTTGTTTCCTTATCTAAGTGAAATTCTTTCGTTCTCACTTTGTAACTGTGCGTTTTGTAGAATTCGAGAAGTAGAAGAAATAAAATTAAAGATAGATTCTTCGTTATACGTGAGATAACAAGTGAGAATTAAATACACACATTGCGTTATTTATTAATTTTATGTAACAAACATTTCGTACAGTAAAGTGATAGTGTGATGACTCTAGCATGCTTATCTTGGAATTTTTATTTTTATGTCGAAGTTAAAAGGAATTCGCATGAAAATGCGAAAAGAAAAGGAACAAAGAAATCTGCAGTTGCAGATGCATGTGCATATATAGCCTATTATAGTTGACAGTAAAAAGTAAAAAATATAACTCTAAGACCTCTCTGTCCAATTAGTATATCCAATATTTATAAATTTTTTAAAAAATACTACTACATGTGTCCATGTTTAATTGACTATTAATGTTGAGACTGTCGTATATATTTACATGAAAATTAATGGATTTTAATTGTTTCTAATTTCCATAGTTGATACTAATCACGCATGCATCTGTTTTTCGATGATCTGTTTTGCATATCAGGTTGTGTAACAAAGATAGAATGAGATTTTAATTTATTTCGTTTATTGGTATATGAACATTTATGGAAACTTTTTCTTTGTCATATATTTTTTTATACAAAATTATACAAAATGTTAAAATTTCATTAACACTTTAACGAGATTCGGTTTTCTTCATTATTATATTAGTAAAACTTGAAATAGATCTAAAAATGTAACAAGTAAATATAGGGTTATAAAAATATTTGTAATCTTTAATATTCAGTGGATTTAACAGGTATTATATGCTAGAAATAGCTATTCATGTTGTATATTAAACCTATACACCTATGTTCGCAATAAGTTTACATTAAAATGTTTTGTATAACACATAATGCACAAAGTGAAGTTTAAATACTTTCGTGGGCCGTTATATGTACAGGGTGTTCCAAACTTAAACAGACAAACTGCAAGGGCTTGATCTATACATAAAAGGAAGAAAAAATACGATATAAAGTTTGTTGGGAAACACTTTGTTACAGAGTTAGAAGCAAAAATGTATCTATGAATTTTTTACCATTTAATTTTTATTTATGAAAACTTTAAACCAAAAAATTTATTCAACAGAAGTAACGCACACATGGAGAACCAGTGCAGGGATCACAAGTATGTAATGCGTGGTCAACGACTCGGCGAGAAAGTATCGAGAAAGAAAATATAAATTAAGAATGAGAAAATTAGCAGAAAATTAAAATGTAATTTTTTATTGAATGGAAATTCAGCAAAATTCTCAGAAACTTCTTATTCTTAAATAATTTTATTATTCACCGAAGCTTGATGGAGTTAAAAATTATTTTTCATTCTAATTATTGTGTTTTATTACAATTAATGGATACGAAATTGTCATGAGAAAAAACATATACTCAACGACGCCATCTCTGTACCGTAATGAAAAATGCATTGCTACTTATATATTTCATGTATACAATATTTCTTCATAACTCTTTAATGTCGAATTTTATGTACTTTTCTTCTTCTCTTTATGTGTAGATTAAGTCTTTGTTTAAGTTCGGAACAGTTTGTGTATAAATAAGCAAGTCCTTATATACATCGTATCGAAAAATGTATGAATATCACACGCATTGCGTTTATGATGTATCATCAGTATATCTCCTCTTGACTTTACGTCTTTTTGTTCAATACATACAACTGGTTGATTATCATTAGTCAGTGCACGAAGGAATGTGAAAATGTGCTCCTTGCGATTTATTCTTTCTCGATACTTTCTCGCCGAGTCGTTGACCACGCATTACATACTTGTGATCCCTGACCGGTTTTTCCTTCTAGCTTGGTTAATCGCAAAAAGCGGTTTCCAACTAACTATACAGCTTCTTCAATTGCTTCAACGATCTTGTCCACTTTGAACATAGTTGCATAGATTTCTCCTATACTTCCTAGAATATTAGTCTTTATTATTGTTCCATTAAGCTCATTTCGATTACGTGCATGATAAGATGCAAGCTTTCCCTAATGTTCTTGATAAAATATTCGAGAAATTGCTTTGAAATTTTAACGTAGATCTCTTAAAAAATATTGGAAAATATGGTGTAATTTAATTAAAAAAAGAAAGCAAAATAAGAAAGAGAAGTTATTCTTTTGAGTTTTCTTTCAATAATAGTTAAGAAAATATTTATTATATTTTAAGAAACGAAAAGTGTAATATTTTTTATACTTCACATCCTGATAATATAATTTTTCTGCTTATCCATGCAAGTTTACGCTATGTATAGTAGAAATCAATATCTTTTTTACTGACTGTACAAGATGCACATAAATTTGTGGGACATTCTGGAAAGTATTACCTCTCGCCATTTCTAGGTACATTCTACATTTCTAGTAACGGACAAATAACGGTGAGAAAAAGACCTGCTTTAATAGCAGCTATTGCATAGAAATTTTTCTAGTAAAAATATCGCCAGCATTCTTCGTTTAGAAAGGCCTTTTTTTTCGTTTTTTCTCATGTTCAGTTCAAACTGATATATACAGTACATAACATATTATATTTCCGGCGATATATGAAAACAAAACATAAAAGACAAAAAGTAAGAACCTGGAAAATAAGTATGAAAGTAAATAAATACGTACAAAAATATAAATGAAAAAATGACTCTCTTGTTAGGGGCAATGAACTATAGAATTAGTGGTTGTTTTCTCATTCGTTTCTCTTCCAACTTAATCGTACCTAATAAAGTTAATAGTACGTTAATTAGTACTGATCATGATACTTAGTCACCAAAAACAGTAGCTAACAATACCTTAAAGTGAATAATAAGATGATAATAGTTCTAGCAAAAAGAGCGTCGATAACATTACATTTGATATACTGCTATAAAAGATATACATACATACTTTAAAAGAACAAAGATTCATTTTTATCTATTCAGCCTTTATTGAAAGACTCAGAATTTATTTCTGTTCATAATTAAATTTGTTTTCCAAGACTAGGATGAATTCTTATTTAAATAGCGCAATTAATTTCAAAATATGTATATATGCAATGAACTACAATGAAATAATATTTATGTTTTCGTAAATAGAACTAAAAATTTATCAACAATAATTTAATATCAATAATATTACGTAAAATCGATTGGGACGTTTGAACATTTTTATCGACAAATCTATGGCCGATAAGTTATCAATATTCGATTAATAATTGGCATTGAATCAATATCGCTCTTGCAATAACTACTGTTTGTATTTGTACGTGCATTGTTCGTGTACCGTTTAAAAAGAAACGCCATCGACTTGTTATAGGACACGGTAGGGAAAAAGAGAATGGAAAATTAATGCTAGCGTTCGATATAATCAGGTGAGGCACACGGAAGTATGTTATGCCGGAAGTTTCAGCTAATGATAGTGTTCTATCGTTCTCTCGAAAACGACAGGTTTACATTTCTAGTATCGTCAGTACTGCAGTAAAATTGTTGCAATCATGACGACAATTTGTTGAATATTTAAATTTAGGGCGACAGCTGTTGATGCATTATATCATATCTGTAACTCGAAGTAAATGGCAAAGGAGTTTGGCAAACAACGCGTATTCAACAAATTCAATTTTTAACTCGATACTTTTATCGCGTCACATATCCTAGTAAAATTCCATTGATTTATGAATATCTCTATCTATGATCCAGAATTTCTACTGACGCGTAATTACGAGGAGCAAGAGATCTTTCGACAAGCGTAAAGTACGTGTAACTTGACTCCGAACCTACCGACACACGGTACATCTACCGTGATTCCTACCACGGCCGGTCAAAGTTGTTTCTACTCATTATTTGTGAACCGCATTTTTTATTACATGAATACGGTATATCTACATATTTAGCCTGCCACGGTTTTTTTTTTCAATCATAGTAAATAAAACGGTGACAAAGATCAAGGCATATTAAAAATAAACATATCGGGAAAAATAAACATATCGGATCATTTTTCCTTCGCATGTAAATCCACGTCACGATTATCGACAATTGCTTGAGATTACGTATCATTTGATGTAACATACGTTTTCGGCTAAAGTCACGCCATACTTGCATTACCTTTTGTAACAACTTTATATTAGTTTCCGAATTGTGTCTTCGACAGACTACTATTATAAAAAAAATATTGGTCTACTAAACTGATCTATTACTAAATCGTCAAAACTGGTCAAATGACCGGTCGTGGTAGGTTTAGTATTAATATTGACGTCATTAATCATATTCAACGTAACGTTTCGTCACAGTTACACTTCTAAAGCTGCAATTGATCCTGGCATTTATTTTTAGTTTTGCATGTTTTAAGACTGATTTTTTACATCGGTGTGTAGGACGTTATCACGGACATTTTTCATCGTTATTCTTGCTCTTCGCATCTAGTATTGCTTCACAATGTACATTGTGTGATTATTATCGTAATCATTTCTCTGTTGGATACGATGTCAAATGTAACAAATGATGAAACACTATCAAAAACACACATTCATGAGTACAAACATTCTTAGCCGTAGTCGTATAAAGCTGATTCTTTGGAATTTATTTTTTTTATAAATAATCGAATATCTTCTATGTTAAAGACACGTGGCATATTGTTTATTAAGAACGACTCTACATATATACATACATACATTTATTGATAAATCGAATTTATTAACTAAAATATTAGTTTCCAAATTTTTTCAAACACACACACACACACACACACACACACACACATATATAAAGAAAGTATAAAAGTGCGAAAAAAAGACATTTTGTGACTGTTTCAGATATTCTTCCTTTTATTTTTGGTTCTTTACGTTTCGAGCTACGCGTTGATCGCGAAATTTCGCCGAAAAGACCGCGAGGATTATTTTTCTGTGGACGAAGATGAGGCTACGGTGTACAGGACCAGCCTTTGGTTATGTACCGTTGCCCTGACGGTTTCCGTTGGAGCAACCTTGCTGCTTCCTGTTTCGATTGCAAGCAACGAAGTGCTGATTTTATACCCGAACAGTTATTATGTCAAGTGGCTCAACAGTTCACTCATCCAAGGTACGTACATACATGCGTGTATGAGCCATTCATAAAAATCAGACCTCCCCACTGTTTGTTTCATTAGTCCCTCAAGTATTCAGAGAAGTAACAGTGGGAGATCCTTTTTCTAGATATTCAAAATAACGCTATGGAACGGTCATTCAGCGTCAAAATCGTTGTTACATGATTAAAATTATTAAAATATGTGTATTTGTGATATTTCTTATTGATTATTTTATATTTCTCTTAAACGTTATTATTTTGTATTGTTTTCCTTCCTTCTAAATCTTTAAATATCTGGAAAAAGGAATAGTTGTCATATCTTTTGTACGAGATAATTGCAATTATTTATAATTATTGTTATTTACAATTAGGTCTATGGAATCATGTGTTTCTCTTTTCAAATTTATCTCTCTTCGTATTTTTACCGTTCGCATACTTGTTCACGGAGTCAGAAGGATTCGTTGGCTATAAAAAGGTAAAACCAAGGGATTAATCGCGTGATATTTTGAATGCTTTAAAAAAAATAAAAATAAAATTAAAAAACATTTTTTAATTGTAGGGTGTAATGGCTAGAGTCTACGAAACTGTGACGGTTCTTTGCCTATTAGGAACACTCGTATTAGGAATGACATATATTTTATCAGCGCTCATTGATCATCAAAAGTCCAGCCTTCATACATTGCTCAGTAAGTTTGGAGTGTTTCAAGTTCAAGGTGCATTTACAAAGATTACCACTATCTTTATTATTTCAGATTTATCGACTTACTATTTACCTTTCCTTTACTCTTGCGTTTCTTTTGTTGGAGTTGTTATGTTATTATGTAAGTATGACTAAATAATTATAACAAAATTATATAGTGAAATAATCATTGTTGTTAATTCGACTGATAATCATAGTGACATAAATCAATTAATTGCTATCTTTATATAAATTCAAACAGCGATCTATATTTATTCTTGTAAAAAGTTTATCTTATTTTTTAAAATCATAAAAATGTCAATGCATGATAAAAAGTAAAATTACGATTTAATTATAAAACAAATGAAACGATACTTTTAAGAGTTTAAATATGTGACTAAATCGAAATTTACAGTATGTACACCAATGGGATTTGTACGATTGTTCGGAGTAGTTGGCTCATTTCTGGTAAAACCGCAGTTCCTAAAAAATTTAGACGAAGAGTTTTTTGCGTACAGACTAGAGGAGGACTGTATTCGTAGAAGGTCAGTTATCGATTACTGTTTCCACCGTCCACAAATTCATGAACATGCCTATAATCACTTCATAAAAGCATTATTACATATATAGACTGCAACACGCGAAAGCAACGGGAAAATCGTACGTTTCGCCAGTGCCTATGTCGATACCAGCTTGCGGTTTGGTGTTCGAAGATGATGAGTTTCTGAACACAAGTCCGAGCTTGATGTGCTTGAGAAACGGTGCTCTTCAGCGCGGACTGGCCCAGCGTTTGGAAGATATTCAGAAACGCAGGGGTACTTTGGATCGGCAAAGGCGGACCTGGTGGGTTCGCAGGACTTTGCTGTACCCTTTAGCCATGCTGGCGCTACTTGTACTTTCCACTGCCACAGCTCTATTAGCAGTTCAAAACACACTAGAGCTGCTTATTGGTATTAAAGCGTTGCCTTTGAGCACAAGGGTTAGTATGCAAGTTAAATATAAATCAGAACAAACGAACGAAACTTTTACATCGGATTGATTTAATAAAAAAACGATGAACACGTTTTATAAATGTTTAGCAATTCACTCTAGGCATCAGCTCGTTGTCAAAACTAGGTCCTATTGGAGCAACAATTGAAGTGGCAGTAATTTTGTATCTAGCTGCTACGAGTGCAATAGGTCTGTATACACTTCCTGGTGTTAAGAGCTTTCGACCACGACTTCATTCCACGCCACTTACACACCTTATTGCGAATTGCGCTCTCCTTCTTGTACTGAGCTCAGCGTTGCCGCTGTTATCTCGAATATTAGGTAAATCTATTCATTTTAAGACAATTAAAGATCACGCAAGAAAAGTATGATAAGCTCCCTTTTCGTTGATTTTGTTGAAAAGAGAATTGAATTCGAAGGTACAAGTCCTTTCAAAAGGACATGTGCGATAAATCTGCAATCCCAAGACCAAATAAATTTAAAAATTGTTCTGTATATTGTGTAAGATGCCAAATGTGACTTATTATGTTTCTTAGCCGTGGTTTTCAATTGAAAGCGAACTAGAACGAAGTAGGTTTATCATTGATTTTTTACTCGTAATGTATCGTTGAATCATTTGTTTCAGGTATGACAAACTTTGATTTGCTCGGCGATTTTGGTCGTATCGAATGGCTTGGTAACTTTGAACTTGTACTGTTCTATAATTTAATATTTGCCACGGCGGCGATTGGTTGTCTAGCGACGAAGTTTACGGCAACCGTTCGCAAAGAAATTTACGTGAGATTAAGGAGCAGCTTAATAGGAATCTTCAAGAGCGAAAGTAAAAGAAGTTCTCTAGGGATGTTTTATACAAAAGAAGATTAGACTGACTTACGTTATAGGCAAGAGAAAAAACAAATATTCTGCGTTGAATAAAAAAACAAACAAACAAGATGAAACTTAAAAATAAACAATTATATTCACGTAATGTTAATCATGTAGACGTATAAAATAATTAATTAGGTAGTGTGAATGTGTGTGTGAGTATATTTAGAACTGCGCATTCATGAGACACTATTTTAATTTTGATGGCACGTGATGCTGGTAGAATATGTTTAGGAATTCAATTGAATAAGGCCAGTCACAGACATCGAGCATGTTTGGCACGTATGGCCACCATGGGCGTATAGCTACGTTAATTATTTATTATATGATCACTATTTTAATAATTATTTATCGAAAGTATACATACCAATCTTATATGAATGAGTTTACTTAGAATGTGAACTCAGTGTAAAAACAACGCAGTATTGTGATAAAGACACGCGTATGCAAATGTAGGGGAATAAAAAAAAAAAATTCTCAATAGAATTTTTTACTATTTTACTATTTCTGCGAATGGAAGAAAAACATTACGATTCCTTTTTCTAAAATAGTGATTACTGTTTGAATGTGTATTTACTTCAAGATACGAGTGTTAATACGTTAATTAAGCATAAATGAACATGTATAATACACTTTTAGGAATTCCAATAGTTAATCTTCGTTCTTCAGATAGCAAAAATATCCAGGCCACTAAAATGTGCCTAATTGATCATTTTAACCGGATAATATATAAGAAATACAATTATATTTACATTGTATTGTGTTGTGATAGTCTTCATTTAATAATCACGTTTGAATGCATTTTATTAATTTATTTTTATTAATTGACTCGTTTGAATAATTACGTTTTATAGATGTCGGATAAATACATTTGTAACGAATGTAACAATACGCATTTTAAAATGCATGCGAATTACTTGGATGATAACAAGGGATCTTAAAATGTTATCATCTCGACTGATTTGCCTGTCATTAATTCATTCTAATGTAAAAATGGCGTAGATTATTTATTTAGCTTAAAATGAAAAACGAACCCTCTTTTATCAATTGGTTGCGTTTAATATTTAATAAGTGAAAGGAATAATACTACTTCACAATAATATTATGTGATATGTATCTTGTCAAAGAGACAATACAATATTGTTAAGAAACAAGAAACAGTGAGGATATGTTCACTGATGAATTATTAATACATTTAATCAGAACAATATCTCAGGATATAATATACCGCTTAATACTTGTTAATATTATTACCACATGCATTGTGGATTTGTTTATAAGATTGGAATTCTCGATTCGAGGATTTTTTGTATGACAAACTCTTTGCGGTCGGGCCCTGGCGAGGCTGTTTTACTGTTGTAGTCGCATGCCGGCACGGGTATGCGACGATTATTTAAACAGTCAAACTTAACATTATTTTGTCGCGTTATGCACTCATTTTTAAACACTGTAGATCCTTTGACTGGAAGAACAATCGTTCTTTCAATTAGTTGAGATTGTTCTTTCCACAGAAGCAGCAGACTCAGTATTACTGTAATATTTACTAATTTTTTTTTTCATTGTTATTTATCTGATTTTTTTACAGTTGTAAAAATTATACTCTGAAATGTCTAAAAAGAGACGAGAGCCTAGTGATTATGAAGATGTGCAAAGCAGTAGTGATGAGTTTTATATGAATCATAATTATATTGATGATTATGATGACTACACTGACAAATCAGATAATGGTAGTGATATTATAGTGCCTAGAAACCGGGATTATATATCGAGGATTGCTTTGAAATACCAAAGAAAACTATAGATCTGTATAAAATATCGAACACAAAGATAACAAGTAATATGCACACAGCTTAAACATACTCGTTTGAATAAAATTTATACGTTTAGACAATAATAAATTGATTGAATGTGCGCCACTCAAAAATAATTCCGACCAACACGACTATCATGTCTACAAAAAATACGACCGCAAAGAGTTAATAGCTGCGTAAATAAAAGAACAAAAAATGGAATAATTTAATGATGTATTTGAGATTTAAGGAGAGTATTTGTTATTTAGTTTTTTACAATGCTTTAAATAATACGTAAATTCTTATATACGTAAATCATCATTTTCAACATACTACATTTTAGCATGCAATATTCATGAATTACACGATTATCAGAATAAACAAATTATAATTTATTTGTATTAGTTTATTTCTTTTTATTAAATACTCGTCTGTCTTATTTCATTGTTCAAATACAACATCTATGGTGTCAAAATACAAATAACATTCAGATTGCAACAATAATAAATCTAATCTACAATACTTTGTAAGTTGTATTTTTTTAACGCGTAATTAATTTCATGTGCCCCAACTCCAGCGCGAACAATTTTGTAATAGCCTGGTTTGGATAAATCAACTATCGTCGATCCACGTCTCAAAGCATTATATGATTTACCAAACTTTGTTGTGTCGTAAAATATCCCATCTAATTTCTTCCATAAATTTTGAAATTCCGAAGGGTATAAGCAACTGGATTGATTGCTTAAATTAGCACTCGTTAATGCTAATGGTCCTGTTACTGCAGTGACATTATTTATAAATTCATAATCTGGAATTCTAATGCCTACAGTGTCATGATCAGGATTCAAAGCAGGATTCAATGCTGGCGTTCGTTTCAAAATAATTGTATATGGCCCTGGTAATAATAATGTTAATAAATCGTATGGCACATGATCGACGACACCCCATTTCTCTATATTTTTCACGTTACTGACGCAAATAGATAATGGCTTGTTTGCATCACGTTTTTTAATTTCATAGAGCTTTTCAATAGCATCAGCATTTGATACAACACAAGCAAGACCATATATTGTATCTGTTGGAAGTGCTACAACTTTATTTTCTAGCAATAATTTGCTAGCTACTGCCACGGATCGTTTTCCTTTGCACATCCAATGATTACTATACTTTGTTAACACCTCTATCTCCTCTTCAACGGAATTTAATAGAACACTCATTGGGCCCAATTTTTGTATTCTTGAAATTGTTCTCTTTCCATCAAGTAAGAAACGGCACTGTTTTACAAAAAGATAAATTTATCAATTAGTTCTAGAGTTAACAATACATAAATACAGTATAAAAATAAATAAGGCTAATAAAAGTATTTAAAGTTATTAGAAAACACTTATGTATATGTGTGTTTAATTTCTTCTACCAGTATTGTAAAGAAATAACATAAACGATTCTAAATTCCAAAATAAATGGTAATATACTTAATATCGTGAAAAATTCTATATGTTCAATTTCGCTAAGAACAACGTTGAAAATGAATGGCAAAACTTATCAACATGCCTTTATTCGCGCCAGTTGTGGCCACATTGAGGATTGCAACATCTGTAGAACGTCGTCATAGGTTCGTCGGCGGATCTCGTTTGAATTTGCATGAAATACGCTCTAGGATTAGAGCACTTTGGACACCTCTCTTCAGTGGAGTCGACGTTCTCCCAAGCCGCGCTTCCGCCTAACACATCGTCCACTTCTTTTAATTTCGGATACGTACGACTGCTCACTTTCCTCACGACGTTGAATACGTACGGGCACGTGTTGCACGCGAAACGCAACGCTTGCAAAGCTTCCTCTATACGAAGCAGATTGCCGCACGTTGGACAAAACAATAACATCGTGTAAATACAGATCGAATCATCAAAGGGCGAACTAATCAGTCAAATTTGTATTGAATTACCAAGTTTATCAAACTTTCAAACAACATGCAAGTTTTCAACCGGTTCAAATCAACATGTATAACATTAGTCAATGGTAAAAGTAAGCAGCCGATGAAGGCTCAATCTAGGTGCAATATAAGACCCTATTTTCATGAAAATAAAGTTTAGGTGCGCTCAATTGGAGATCAATTCGATAGTACGCATAATTTATTCTCTCGAAGACGAAGTGTTTTATGAAAGTATTTTATTCTACGTTTTTAATTTATTTTCGAATACGCATGTAAAAATATAAAATAACCTGTTGCTCAATTATTCGTTTCTACTCTTGAGAATTAATTAAAGCGTACTTGACAAATTTCCAAATTCGTCTTCTTATATTTTGTTTTTAGTTTTTCATGTAGAATGGCAAAAACTCTTATGTAATCTTTAACTTGTAATTTAAAGTTTGTACGTAGATTTTTCATGCGTATGACGCTGAATATTTCACAGACGTCACATAAGTATCCGCCTTTTACGATACGATGAACCATGTGTGAATCGTCTTGTAAATTTTAAAATAGCTGATCGCTATTAATTTAAAAAGAAATTGTTGCAGATTTCAAGTGGTTTTATACACTTGTACCTATGAATGATGATTTTAGTATAAGTTACTTATTAGTGACATAGTATTCAAGACATAAATAACTCGTGAGGAGGTAACAACTCGGCTGCATTTACACTAAGTTCTAAGATAAATTTAGATAATTTACAAAAAAGAGAGTGTAAAGTTTTAACACTCTTTGTGTTAATAACTTGTCGCGTAGATCATTCAAATAATTTCGGCGAATGAATGCACGGGATATTTCTCAAATACTATATTACTATTTCTAGATCTCCAATGAATGGTTGACTCGTTATTTAAATGACTTTTCATTAATCAAACCATTAATTGATAAAGGACAAAGTAAAGCCACGACTTTCGTAATATATGTGTCTTCGTTTTCTGCAATATACTAGGCGTGTAAGATTTTTACTATATATTATATCTCAACATGTATCAACGGTACGTACATAACCTATTTGAATCGATGTTGGTATTAGAAAATGTTGATTTTCATGAATTAATATGGTCTTAATTGTTCCATCGTATTAATTTTTAATCAACGTTTTATGTATATTTCAGTTGTAAAAGTCTATGTTTTGCGCCAAACTTACAATCAAGGTATAAAAGTATATTATCAAAAATTGAAGCAAAAGAGAAGAGAAATTTGCTGTTTGAAGAAGAAAAGAAAAGACAGAGGACTGCGGTGGGGAGAATTGAAAAGATAGAAGTTAAATATCAATCACCTGTAGAAGAAGTAACGCTTATAATGAACAAATGCATATCAACTCCTATGGATTGTGCAAAACATATTTCTGAAGGTGTATCCAAAGTGTCTGCTATTGCTATGGTTGATGGATCACCATGGGATATGAATAGACCTTTATCGTCAAACTGTGAATTAAAACTGTTGAATTTACTTAGTCCAGAAAATAAAGTAGTGAATACAGCCTTTTGGCGAACTTGTTCTTTCATTTTGGGAGCTGTTGTAGACACAGCCTTTAAAGAAGATGTAACAGTTCATCTACACAGCTTCCCGGTACCAGTCATAAAATCAGGTAGTTTTATATACGACGTGTATCTTGATTTGGACGACTGGAAGCCTACGGATCAAGAAATGCGTGCATTATCTGCTCAGTATGTGAAACTAATAAACAAGGAATTGCCTATAGAAAGGATAGAGATTTCGGAAAGACTAGCACTTGACATGTTCCAGGATAATCCTATTAAAATGACGCAAATACCAGATATCGCAAAGTCAAATAACAATAAAATTATTTTATACAGAATTGGTGATTATATAGACATTAGCAAAGGACCTATGGTTGGAAATAGTTCATTAATAGGTCGTTGTACAATTGCTGCTGTCCACAAAATTCCAGAGAAGGAAAGTTTATATAGATTTCAAGGTGTGGCACTCCCCAAGGGAATTATTTTAAACCAATATGCATATGGTTTGTTGGAGAATCGTGCTAGAAAATTTAACAATACAACTTGGTCGGTCTTTTCGGAGGAAAATAACGAAGTAGAGGACGTTAAAGTATTTGGTAGGAACTGAATTTAATATATTAAATATATAATGTAAATAAAAATGTATACTTTCGGTACTCATTGTTGTAATTCGCTACTTGTACGATATGTTACAATAAAACACATTTATATAAATATCAATGCTTCGCGCTTGTATAAAGTATTTTTTTATCTTCTACCAATACCTACTATTAAATATTATACCTGTGTGTGTGTGTGTGTGTATATGTATATATACGTATATACGTATGTATACATATATACACACATATACATTAAAAATTAATATAAGACGTATAATTGTATGATATCAACGTATGTTAATGTTAAAAATTGTTAATAATTAATTCATTAATTTTGATATATTCTTGGTGGAAGAAATATGCATACATATATATTGAGGTCAAAAGTAGTCATGCTTGGAAGTACGCAAATTATGAATGTTAAAACAGAATAAAATTTAGGATGATCTGAAAAAGTGAGAATTAAGAGCATAAACTCATTAGGGATATAAGATATGAAATCAGGTTTAGCTTTTTCTTTGCAGCTGTGGGTCAATGTTTATTAATGCAATAGTTATCACGGTACAAAAAATGAAAAAAAATTGAAGGGAGTTAATAATACAAGGTAATTTTAGCGAATTCAATTTATGAATAACCATTCAAACAATCTGTCAAGAAACTCAGGATATTTTTGTTACATTTTAGAGTACTTTGTCGAATTAATAACGTGCAACTGCGTGCATCCTGAACGTTTAGTTAATGACCTCAACTTATGTTTCAATTTACTATACATCTTCCACCATAAATATACGTCGTGGGCTGCGTAATTCCCACACAAAGTTACCAGGTAATCTATTAGCTAACGACGCTGGGCATACGACGTTCATTCGTAAGTGTAGTTGCTGACTCCTGCAAGTTCTCATCTCGTGAGTTTTGAACTCGTCTGATTTCAGTATCGATCTAGCAGCAAGTGGTGCCAAGTCCGGCGTGCATTTCAGCTCGATCTCGATCACCAGATCGAAAGACGGCGGCCTCTGCACCTGTTGTTCAGTTTCAACCGTCAAGTTTGCTGTGTTTACCGTGTGCACGAACTTAGTCTCGTACGCGTATTTATTCATATTCCCGTAATAAAAGAATCGTCCACCATACTCTCCGTATCCCGAGTAAGTGGAAGCTGGTGGTGGTCTCAATGGAAGTGTCAAAGGAATCTGCAAATAAAAGAAAATATCATTCGAGTTACTTATTGATAGTTGTGTGGCATGGAGAGCGTTCGATGGTTTGAAAAGATTGTAACATTTTTGACACAATCGTACGTATATGTATTACCATTTGATGCTTGTATATGTATGTTATAAATGCTGAACGTCAACTAAATTTAAAAAAGAAAAATCTGTCGTATTCAATTCAAAGAATGTCACTTTTCAATAAGAAAGATTGGTCTTATGTTTTTGGTAAAAAGTACAGGTAAAAGTAAATTCGACATCACTTATCAATATGAACATATTTATTTCGTTTTACTTTACATTCTTTCTTAATTTTTAACTTATTAATTTATTAAATTTAATTACTTTTGTTTCTCTTTTTCTTATTGCCGAGAGAAATAATAATCTCTCTTTCTCTTTCAGAGAATGATCGTAAAGCTACTCAATAAATTAAAAATTGCTGAACTGACGCTGTATATATTGTTCAATGATCTGCTAATTTTACAAAGATGTAACATCTTCCAAATTTTTCCCCCCTTCGATTTTCCCTTTACGAACTTTTCGAACGGCACAACGTCTGCTTCAGTTTTCTTGTGTATGCATGTAAAAAGTAATTGGCAAGTACCTGTAACAGCAGTTGGTGTTCGTAATGCAAATTTTCGAAGAGATGTTCGTTCACGCTGCCCACTAGACGTCGTAATCGAAGGTACATGAAGCGTTGTTCGTCTCTCCAAGAATTTTCTTCGATTTTTCTGAAAACGTCCAGGCAAGTGAACCAGGCGCGTTTCATCGTGTATCTTAACTTCATGCTGACGACTCTTCCGGTGTTTCGTTTGTTAGTCGAGACTTTGAAAAAGAGTACCTGTCGACCTTCTACGAGACAGTCTAGGACGTCTACGATCTTGCATCCGGAAATCAGGGCCGATCTGCTAATATTATTTCGGCATTTCAATACCCACGAGAAACAAGGATGAAATTTTGAATTTTAATCGAAACCCTATCTCGTTGACTAAGTACAATATAGTCTCAATAATTATTTATTCTGATTTCTAGGAAACTCGTTCAAAGGACGTAGTAGAAATTGTAAGATTTAAAGGAACTAATTACTGAAATGAATGTTTCAAGAGGAACAGTTGTTATTCCTTTAGAAAGCGATTCACCTGTTCACCCTGCGCTCGGAGATCTTTTCGAAAAAGTTCATGAATCGTTTGCAGATGGCTATAAAGGGTGAGATACTCGATTCTGGTGCACGAGGACCGACGATGGACGGATGATACTTGGATATACGACTGAGAAGCTCGTTCAGATTGTCGAGCAGACTACCGGCGTAGAAACAAAGTCTTGGAAACTTTTGCTGCTTTGTCGGAGGATGCGTGTACCTCCAAGTCACGGCTCGTAGCATTTTGTACTGTGCTTTGATCAATTCCAGAGCGTTCAAAGCTTTGCTACAGGCCAATAATTCGGTGTCTGTTTTTGCAGATTTCATGACGCTCTCGTTGCGCTTTGTTATGCTCTCCAGCTTCGTGTAAGCCGTCAGGAAGGCGCCGTTTAAAACTGCCGCTGCCACCATTGAGCAATGTCTAACACGAACGAAAGTGATTTTCAATGTTTTCAAAATGAAACGATAGATGAAATTCTTTTTTCCCTTCTTTTTCTTTTTGCGCGAGGAGAATTTTAAAAAATTGGAAATGTTTGGGATATTGTGTGATACATACATAAGTACTTGAGCAAGCAGAGCACAGAATAGAGAATAAATATGAATCGGAATACAGAAATCAAATTGACTAGCTCTATTAAGATCATTTTTCAAGAAATAACAAGCATATACATACATATATGTATGATAGCTATATAATATCAAAACCAAGAGATTTTAAAGAGACTTAAAATTGGTTCTTTAGGTTTTTGAATGATTGATACATCAAAATTTGTGCTTAATTATGCGTGTTAAATTTGTGTTTAAATCGAAATCTTATTGATTGACATAACCAGAATGTCCTCTGTGATTTTCCTTTTATTTATCTCATGTTTTATTTTAAATTTGACGTGGAAGTTATTGGAGATACGTTAAAAACTCTATATTCAGGAAAGATTAAAGACATACTTTATTGTGTAATCTCTTAATTTATTTTTTAAGGAACAGCAATAGGTATTCGTTTAGAGAATTCCAAAGTTATACAGCTTATAATTCTTATAAATTTTGAATCGTGAAATATCGAATTATACATAAATTCACATGGAAAATATTGTTTAATGGTATTTAGGAAATCACCTAGAAACCAAACGCACGGACGTAGCAACATCATGAAGAGGCAGCAACCGAAAAATCATTTCCAGAACTTCCGGCGGAAGCGTGTCCAATGCATAGCCATGGCAACTCCGCTCTGTTAATAGGGTTTTTTCTGGATCCTTTTCCAGTTCCTGGTACTGATCGCATCTCGTAATTGGTATTTTTGGTCGCTTGTTCACGTTCATTTAAAATGAGAGACTAGTCATATAGAATACAGAGTGTAAAAGAAATTTTCCTTCGATATTAATGCTGCTCTTTTCTTCCTGGCTTTTTTTATTTTATTCTTTCACGTCGTTAATGATCTGTGGAATTATTTATCATGTAGATTTTACGTTACAGCATTACTCTTTGTTTTTTTTTTGCCAATTAAATCATTTGCCTCTGGGTAAAAATTTAATAAAATTAAAAATGTCAGATAAGGCGAAACAAAACAAGCGATAAGTAGATCTCGTTTTCAATCGAGTTCTTCTTTCGATAATTGTTTCACAATTTTTATATACACAGGGTGTTTCAACTTTCGTATACTCTCTTATATATTTCACGCTGAGTGAAAAGCATGTAAGTAATGATTATGAATATCGAAAACATATCGGGGTGTCTTTTCTTGCAATCGATTTATTAGAATCGTTTTGTATGTACAGGTTGTACGCTATTTTGCAGTCGAGATTGTCTTTGATTGAGATGTCGGTCCGAGAAATAAAAATATGATGAAAGCACGGCTCTGACTGATAGAATCGATAAACTATGGATAGAAATTTAAGATCACTTTAATCGTATACAGTCGAAATTACATTATAATAAAATTATATATAACAATCGTTTTTCGAGTATCAAATAATAATTTAACAATCTTCCTACTATAAAAGAACAGCATCAGCCCTTTGCCAGTTTTTCCTCGTCGAAACTCCGATTTCGTCAATTTCGTTCCACTAAAAAGATCTAAAATTTTCATACCGAATTGAATTTGAAAATTTGTTGACGTTTGAGATGAAATTATAGAATAGATGAAAGAATAGAATTAAGTTAGTTAATTGTAAAGTAATAAAAAAATTACACATTCGTCTAATCACGTTGCATTATTTTAGGGGGAAATCAAGTTAGAGAAGACTCTAGACAGAGAAATTAACCGGCATCAAAAGTGTGAATTTTGTCTGGTCCACCGGCAATTCTTCCGACACGCATGGACTGATGCTGTCCAACAGCGTTTGAATCGCGTTCTGATTAGTAGGATGCTTTCTCTTAGTATGTTCCCTCCTGTGCTTCAGTTCTTTAAACGTTTTCCCGCATTGTTCACAGACATAAGGTCGCGCTGCTTCGTGAGATCTCATGTGACCCTCATAGTGACTCTTCCTGACGAATTTCTTGCCGCATTGATGGCAATCGAATTGGAAACGGCCCTCGTGAGCTGCTACATGGGAACTCAACGTCCATTTGGTCTTGAATGTCTTGGAACAGTAATCACATCTTATCTTTGACGCTGCATTCGTATTATTTTTCCCTGATTGCGTAACTCTTCGTGGATTCTTATTCAAAAGTAACATCTCCTCCAGCAGGAAATCGTCTTCTTTGTCTGGCTGCTGTTTCTCACATTTTTCCAATGCTGTTTGAGCTTCCAACATGTTCGCCGTATGTTGTTTCATGTGCTCTTGTAATTCCTCCTCATTCCGGGAACAGGTTCCACACAAAGCACACACATTCTTATCTGGAATCTGTTGGATATTGATGGACAAAACGTCAGAGATAGATCTATAATACACGAGTCAAGTGCAGAAGTAATTGATAAAGATATTATATGAGAGAATCCAATTGATTACTATAAATTGCCATCTATTATTTTATTTATAAGTATTTCTAACTAAAGGTTAATCTATGTATGTCAGAAAGAATTCAGTTGATTATTACGAGTTATTATTTATTACTTTGCTATTGCATAACGAATTAGATGCGAACTTAAACAATATTAAGCATGCTTGATAGACTAATTATTGATGAACCGGACAATATTTTCAATTAATGTAAATGATTGATATGTTTCGTGATAGATCAATTTGAATTTATTCTTGAGTGTGACTTCTAATTATTAACTTGCCGTTGATTTATATGTAAAAGTTTGATAGAACTTGTTAAAACTCAAGTTTTCGAAGGATGGTATACTTTAACGTATCCATTCGCATTGAGATACAACTCTGACATACCTTTTCGTGAGAGTTCATGTGAGCCTTGAGCTTGATCTCACTGGTATACTTCTTCTTGCAATGTAAACAGGAGTAAGATTTGCTCTCACGTGATTCGTCATTCCAAACCACATGTTGTCTATCAATGATTCCATTTGTTACATTCTCGTTACTTTCTTTCCCACCTTGCTGTTGCTTATTGATCACAGCACAATTTTCGTAATCGGACAGCTTTTCTTTCCTCATTTCATGACGAGCAATATGTCGTTTCAGATCGTGGGCTCTGGAGAAGGCTCTTCCGTACCTAGTGCAACCAGGATAAGGACATCCTTTGGTTTTATCATTCCTTAGCCGAGGATGTACATTATTGGAGGACTGTTTGGCATCCTTGGTACAATCTTTGCAAGATTTCTCAATTTTCTGACTGGTAACGGTAGCCAACTGAGCTGATAATGGAATAACAATAGAGATGGTTTCGTTGGTTGCTGGATTCACTATAGGACCAACATGGATGGCTGGAGGTGCCGTCAGGGATATGCCATTTTCATTATTTTTACTCATCATTGAATACTGAAATGACAAAAAAAAAAAAGAAAAGGAAATTTTCATAATTTGTTCTATATCACAGGAATTGAAGAACTTGCCTTGTTAAGATTTGATCTCAACCTATGATTAAACTTGTGATTAAACGTTTTAGCATCCTGTTAGCATCGCAGGCATTGGACTTTTAAAAATAACTGACAAGTTGATTTTGTAAATTTTGTAAAAGCCAAAGGTATGGCAAACAATATTTTAATATATCCGTAATATTTGAAAAATTTCAAAGAGATGAAAAGATACATGCTTAGCTCCAAGATCCAAAAAGACACGTGTTGAATTTCGAAGCAGTTTTCTGGTAAAAAAAAAAAAGAGGAAATGATTTTTGCAAACTTGAATCGTTTTCTGAGAAAAGGAAATAGAATAAAGCTTTAAGCGAAGAATTTAATCATAGGTTTATATCGAACGAATCGATATCGCAAAAATATAGTCGGATGACAATGCCAAAAAAAAAAAAAACCGTGAAACCGGTAGCAAAAGACAGGTATTTATACTTTCGTTTTTAATTTCCACATGGGAAATTGGCTGTTCTATAATATAATGAATTCAGATTTGTTATTTACATTGTACAGAGTGTTTCAATAACTATCATGTTTTCATACTCTCGCTAAAATAAAAAGAAGATGAAAAGAAAATTTGTATCTGTTAAATTCACCTGTAGCTTTTGCGCTAGGTAAATTACCAACCCTTATGAAATCATTCTTCACACGTCGTAAATATTTTTGTCGAATAATTTTGTTTCAATCCTTGCAGTTTCAATCAAAAAATTTTGACGAGTGACCACGATAGTTGAACCACCCTGTACATGGAAACGTAATGATCATCGGCAAAAAAATCGACTTGTCCAGACAAACTTTCCCCTCGAGCTATAGCATCGAACAAATGTACGACGTGTGCATAACAAAATCAGAGGCCATCTTGAATCAAAGAAATTCACCCTCTGCNTCTCTCTCTCTCTCTCTCTCTCTCTCTCTCTCTCTCTCTCTCTCTCTCTCTCTCTCTCTCTCTCTCTCTCTCTCTCTCCCTGAATGAAACGAAATTCGAATACTACAAGTCGTGTGTTACTATATTCATTCATGTTTCAGGGGAACACGAACCTGTTGTAGAAACGGGTTCTTACTTCTGTGGCTTGCAACCTTGCTCCGCTTTGACTCCTCGTTGGCCTCCCTCTTTTATTCGATGCGTCAGAGACCGTTTCAATGATTCATCCACCTCACGCTCCTTCGTTTGGAAAGGGCGAGTCGACACGCGGCTCCGCGTATCATTTCTCTATCCAGCGATTATTCAACGACGTTATTTATCGGACGTTAGATAATTTTGTTCGCTATCAAACGATCTTTGTTATTTAGGCACGTACGTATACGCGTACGCAAAGATGTATATTCGTATATAAATGCGTTTCACGTATCTCTATGAATACAAGCCCTGTAATTGATGATGATTGATCTTTTTTTTTTTTTCTTTTCAGACTTTCTCGAGCAATTCGTTTTCTTAACCAGCACCCCACCCTGATCTACACCCTGATCCACACGGGTAGAAAAAGACGACGATTGTTCGCGAATATCGAAAGGAATTCCAACGAGAGAGACGGTTTCTCCCTTTCTCCGCTCTTGGCCACCTCTCTTCTCCTCTCTTCTGCACAGCCTCTCTATACCTCGTGCACACGATCTTTATGGACACGCGCGCACTCCTGTGTGTTACCGTGCATTATACACACGGCGTGGATGATTCCTCCACGGCGTGGATCAAACGACTCACTTGGCTCGCTCACTTTCCTCGTCACGATGAAAGTGTGCTATTACTGATCAGGAACGCGCACTCTCCCCGTTCGTTTCACGTACGCGGTACCTCGCGCATGTCAACTCCTGCCTCGCTGATATATTGCTCGATGAGAGCAATTGTTGTGATATTCCACTTCTGTAAATTTATTTTCCGTACTGGTTCGTTTCTCGCTGAGTTTAATTTGGATTTCAGTTGTATTTACGTGTAGGATGTCTACCTTTTTTATGTCCTACCTTTATTTTATTTATTTGTGGGAATAGTGTATATATTAGTTACTTATTAGTTATAATATTTGATAGATGAAAGAAAATGTTGATGTTAATTTTGCTTGTAACATTCTACTAACATTCGAAGTCGCTAAAAATTTTGAGTAGATGGGATGAATTGATTGACTTTATTCTAGAATGACTACTGATACTAATGAGTTGAATTTGAATTAGCTCAAGTTAACTGAGAATTAAATTGAATATAGATTCAAGTCTAGTTTTATTAAATATTACGTATAAATTTGATATAATATTTCTTATTGCCAATAATGGTGCATTACTTATTATTATATTAGGTAGTAAATTATATTTTAATATTTTAATATATTTTAAAATTTCCACAGAAAATTAATATAAAATAACAGTTATATTAAAATTAAAGTAGACGAGGTAGAACAGCGATAAATTAAAAAAAGAAAAACACTATTGTATCTGATTAATTGTAATGGGATTAACGCGTGCGAGTAATCCTTCTATCTTTTATGTAATCGAATCATTCTCCATTTTATCCGTATCTACATACACATATATAGATATATAAATATTCTACGCGCATATATAAATATTCCATGTACTGCTCTATATCTAGAAACGGTATAAAGGTTGAGCAGATCGATTAGATGATCTTAATCAGCTTCGCGCATTCTCCTACTAGTGCATACAGCATAAAATAGTTCGAACATAATTCTCTTATACTCTCTAGTTGTTGCAGAAGTTTTGATGATTTTCTTAGAGGCGTAACAGCTAAATAAATATTTTTTACACAGATAGGTAACACTTTTTATTAAAAATACAGTGTAATAAAATTTTTCTATGATCATTTTTTTAAATACTTTCTTCTTTTACATAATTATTTTCTTTTCTTTATTCTTTTACGTAATCATTTTCTTTTCTTTATTCTTTTACGTAATTATTCTCTTTTCCTTTTTATCCTTTTACACAATTGCAATTGAGTTTGTAGATATGTAAATTTAGTCTTTTTATTTTTTTTTTCAGAAATATTGTACCAATCCAGAGTATATACCTATTTAATTACATGCGTGTATTTACAAGCACACGTTATAGTACAAGAATTCTTGGATTCTCTAACTACACTGTGTCATATAATACAATGGAAACGCTTTTAAACGACTTAATGTCAAATGACACACCCTAACTTCCCCTGAGATTACACCAAGCTTAATCAACTAATGGCGCGGTTAAAGGAAGCGTGCAAGAAAAAATGATATTACATTGCGTACGTGCGTGAAGTAACTCACGATTTTTAATCACTTTCAACGAAACGTGCAAATAAGTATAATATAACACAATGCAAAAATAGAAAGTGTTGGTTTTATCGTATTATATTCGCAACGATAATGTATCCGGAGATTGTCAGAGGTCAACGAGAAAATTTCGGGAAACAAAATATACGATTTAATTAGACGCCATGAACGCCCGTTAAATACGAACACGTGCACTGACAACGACAGCTGTACCATTGCGTTATATCAGAGAGCTAATGTAATTAGTAATGTAATTAGCTGCTAATCAACGCAAGTGTGACGGACACGAAAGGTCTAATCTATTAGGTAAACTGGATTCCATCCGCGCTTACTTGATGGCCATTCTATTCTTCTTGCTTTTCTAATAATATTTGAATTACTAGACTGTGAATGTTTATACGCAATATTCCTGCTTTTTAGGAATGTAACTGGAACACTAAAACCCAAGCAAAGATTTATTTCATTCATTAAACAGAGAATTATTTGATTCAGCCTGAACAATTTGCAAGCGATCTACGTTTGAAAACAGCTATTTAACTCATTACTAGTGGCGTGATATGAAATACGCTGAAATACATATTTATGTCATATATGTACATTTACTGAGGTTTTACTCGGTAGAAGGAAGAAAGGAAATTTATTTGATCAATGGTAATATTTCCAGTTTTAATTATCATAATATAATTGCATCGTACGTGTATATCTTTGTATTTTTGAATATCATAAATACATAAATACTCGTGGTTTAATAGCGATTTCGTTCTAGGCCAGAGGATATCAAATGCATAGAATAATAGTGTTTATGAAACTTGTTTGTTCGACTACTTGTCGTTGCTGATGGAGAAGTTCCTCCATCCTCCTACTAGTCCCCTTCAATGTTCTCTTGTAAAACACTTGTCCTCTTGTGAGTAGCTTGTTCTTCGTTGAATAATTAACAACTTTATTTAAAACACCCCCTTAACTATAGACGAGCAGATTTTAATTAAATAAATTTCAATTCCGTTTTAATTTTTAAGATCTAAATATATAAAGAGAGCAACAGGTGCGAGAGGTTAATGAATTATATAACTTGTAACTCATGGTTAATGGTATGATGTGTACAAGTTATATATGCACATGATGAAGAAATTCAGAACTACAAAGAAATCGACAAACGGGTGTTGTAAATTCTAGGCAAGAGAAACACCAGCGAGTAGGCAGGTCTGTAAACGAAACTCGATCAGAGGATGCTTTTGTATGTTAAGTGGCTGGTATTAAGTTAATTAATAGATGCACCTTGGCATAATTTGTGTGCTCAGGCTCTCTCTTAGTTGCCATAATGTACGCGTTTCTCTGCGATAGATCGATACTTCTAATTTCATCGACTGAAGAGGCGTAGAGAGGAAATGAGTACGGTGGGAGAGGAGAGGGAGAGGAGAGAGAGAGAGAGAGAGAGAGAGAGAGAGAGAGAGTAGGAGAAGATAGAGGAGATGCAATCGCTCTTCGCTTGTCATATCCACAATCGTGAAGTTGCGTAACGTCGAATTTACAATCTACAACGTTCAGAAAGGGTGAAGCAACTTTGGATCCTCTTCCCCTACGAGTGTCGTATAAATGCAAATATTCCTATTCCGGGATAGAAACGATCTAACGTATCGTTTCCAACTGTACATGCGGTAGCTCGCAAAAGTATTCCAACGCTTGTAAAAACTTTTTTAAAAGAATATAGGCAGCGTCCCACTTGCAAAGAAACTTTGCAAGTTTCTCTCTAAATTAATAACAATAAACTGTTCTAGGGGGATTCACAAGAATCATGTACATGATGTATAATTGCTCGTGACAACAAACGCTTGAATTATGTAAAATATTACACAGTCGCTAACACAATCTACGCGCATATACAGTCTGCATACGTGCAACATGTATGTACACAATAATGTTACTCGTTAACAGCATTAACGAACTCTCGATTTTCCTATATATAATAGCGTTCGAGTAATTTTGTGAGTTACTGTATATTACAAGTATAGTAAGTAAATGTGTATATTGGTGTACGTGTGTGTATAGAAAATAGAAGGGTATCTTAGCCCCTGGCAAACGGCTCGCCTTTGTAACTTTCTAGTGGTTGTGCTTTCATTTCCATAACATGCCGGCAGGTTGTGTACACGTACTACACTTGTCCTATTCCTATTGAAATCGAAGTTTTATGGTTTTCAGATGCATCGTGTTCCTATATTCAAGATATACGGATTTTGCGATTGTGTCTGGAAAATAATGGAAAATCTGAGCAAATGAGAACAAATAAGGTCGATAGGGAATTCAGTGTAGAAAGGGAAGAGTTAAGGAAAATTTCAATAAAAAAATTTGGATCAATAGAGCTAGCTGTTTAAAAGGCATTTCACGGACCAGAGCAGAGAAAAGTATTTTTCTTTATATAAAAATCATACGTTGAAATATGAATCATACATGGGTAAATGTATACGCATATGTACAATGGTCTATTTGCCTGTTTGAATAATATTTACATAATTGTATCTACATTTCAAGGTAGACGCGAGTTAATATACTGATTACAATTATAAAAATTGCGTGTCATCGTTGTTGCTCATGATATTTCTTATCCATTTCACGTAATACTGTATCCTAGTGTAGACATCGGGATATCCTGGTCTAGCACATCCTGATCCGAAAGACGTGACACCTGCCAATTGCCACACTCCGTCTGCGCGGCGACATTGCAATGGCCCTCCAGAATCACCCTTAAAAAACGTTATTATTTCATCAGTTGAAATGTTATTTACACAATTTATTTACATACTGTAAATTCGACTTACTGGGTGATTCACGTAACTTGCACACTTAAATCTAATATCTCACTAGAACTTGAAGAACCAATGTGGCTTAATACTTATTTTTTTGAATATTCTTTCAATCTGTGATGAAAAAAATATATGGGTCGATTAAAAAAAAGTGAAGATGACCTTGGAAATTTCGACATCCCTCAACATACACAAAAAGGCCATATTTTACCTCGCTTAAAACCATACAACTTTTTTGTATTAAACAATCTTTCATTAGACGCAATTTAAAAGTTATTTCAGGCGTGCAAATTACGTAAATCACTCTGTATATACACATCTTCCTAAAGATAATTGTAATTGATTATTGAAATATAGATATGAACTTAATAATCGCAAAAGGAAAGACATTGAGCATGGTATGTGATAAATAATTGAAACAGATTATTAAAACTTAAGAGTGAAAATTTCGTGGAATAAATAGCAATTCTGTAAAAAAAAAAAAAAAGGTTGACGATTCGTCTCGAGTGAGCGTTTGTCGAATCGAATACCAAGTTGAAAGCAATTGTAATAGGAAGACGCGGAGATTTCAATCTAGTTGAGTGGATTTTGACGACGTTCGCTACGTATCTTATGCAACGATGAAAATAGCCTTACGACTTCGAATAACCTTATCAAAGGATCATGAAAATGCTTTTGAATTCAAACGAAGGAATCATTATTTTCAAAGTAAGAAATTTGATGATTTTGACAAGTTGTTAATGAAGTCAACGATAGGTATGTATTATTTATTTTCGGTGAAACTGAAATTTTAGTAGATTCCGTCTTTTTTTACAAAATCGTATGAAAATAAGTGACTAATTTGCTAAGGAAAACTATTTTTCGTCAGATCCTCGAAGGATTAAAAAACCAGTGATGAGATACGAAAAGTATCTGTACGTATTCTTATTTCCCAGTGAGGTGCTTTTTTAAATCAGATTCTACACATTGGATACGTAGCATCAAATTTTTGTACAAAAGTACCGCGAGATGAAATGATATGAAATTGAACATAAGTAAGTATCTGAACTTGATTGATACAATGATGCGCAAACATTTTTGTACTTTCGTATTGAATATTATATTTTATTAAATATTAAATATTAAATTATATTATATTATATTATAATCGTAATATTAAACAAAATTCCAGCTTAAATTCCAACTTGAGAGGAACTTGGGAGTTAAAGTAATACGAAAGTTAGTAATTTACCACGCAACTTCCGGTCGAACCATCAGTGTGACCAGCACAAAGATGGCCGCGTCGGAGCGGTACTGATTTTCCATAAGCTTTCATACATATTTCAAGATCTAGCAATGGCACTGAGGCTTCCAAAAGTGCAGTGGAAAGTGACTGAGAGGGGCCGTATCGACCCCAGCCAGAAGCAACGCATTGTCCATTCTTGAGCTCCTCTTCCGGCTCCGGTAAACATATTGTTCGTACTGCTTTCGACAAAGGAGCTGGTCTGGCTAACTTCATCAGAGCTAAACAAAACATTTTGTTAATTTCTGTTAGTTTCTCCTTGCTTTATTTTCTTCGTTTGTTTGCTAAGTGTGTGTTCGATAAAAGAAAGTAAAATACTTTTACTTTTACTTTTACTGAAAATACATTACAACAGAAGAACTGGGAAATTGTAAGGGTTCGAGATACTAACTTTCGGAAATCTAAGTCGAAGAAATAGATAATTTCAAGGTTGTTTTTCAATATCGATCATTTTATCATTGAAATTGTTCCAAATTTTTCAATATTTTCTTCTTGGTATCTTTCAACAAGGTACAACGCGTTCTTTAATAGGGAAAATAGAACAAAGATGATCTTAAAGAAAATTACACAATTTCTCAAAAATTACAAAAATTACAAAAATTAAGATTCAAATGAATTTTGCAAGGAGAGAAAGATAAGTTATAATATTATATAATATTATATTGTTACAACGTTAGACATCTTTCGTTTGAAGTAGCGTTTCCGTTTTAAATATTTTGAATTTTTAACTAGAACACATGTCAAATTGTGACTTTAAATTGTTTACATACCAATGTCGTGTAAGTAATTGTTGAATCTCTCATGGAGGATCACCCGTTCAACAGGTAGTCTTGCCGAGCCACGTCCACCAGAGTCTAATTCCCATTCGCCGACCACCGCCGTCCATAATGCACCGATTGGTAAATTGAAGAGCTCGCTGTAAATGAATATCGACCAATTGTATTGGTATCGAAATATATTCGTGTCTATTTTTTAATCCTTTAAGAACATTAGATACATCTAAGCTAAGATAAAATAAAATGTTATTCTATTATAAAAGGTAACGTTTAACGTTAGTTAAAAGTTAAATTAATTTTGACAGAATCTATATTTCTTATTGTCTTGCAATTAACACATGCAACGAACTTTAGAAACAATATATTCTGTGTGCTAATTTTCTTACTAGATATTTCCCATGAAATAAACTAGTAATCTTGGAATATCCTTGCAACTTTTAATATTGTTCCCTTCATAATTTAATTCATATTTTCATTTTATTCAAATTCAACTTTATTTGTTATTTTTATGATAATAATTACATATGTATGTAAACATATGTATGTACATACATTTTTATAATGATAAATTTAATTAGATAAATACGTTTTATATTTGTATCAATGATATTTGTATCAATCGTAAACAATCCTCCGCTCAATCTTATTAATTCAATAAATTTTTCCAGACACCCTATACCGATAATCTACTGATAATCTCAAAACTGGTTGCTAAGCTCTTATAGTTGGAATGAAAAGTGAGACCCACTTATGAATGCAATGAGCAGCTGTGACGACCCAAGTGGGCTCAATGAGAACACCGCCGCACCAGTGACCGATAAATCCTAACTTTGGATGGAGGAGCTGCAGGGACACTTGCCAGGGCCAAGAGCCTCGTTTGCTCGGCTTTCCGTTGAATATCCGACCTGTCGTTCTTCCGGCGTCCTTTCCCTCCGCCACGGAGGAGGAAGTGACATTTTTCACCGATAGAATCGCACGTGGCTGCCTATGCGACGCTGCTGGACATCCGCACGCTGTTATTCAAAAACTCAAGTTTCCCGATTCGATGATTTTTCTTTTTTAAGATCTACTATATCTGACACAAATGAAATCTGATAGAAACTATATTGGACGTTTAATTCAAGAAATAAAGATGATCTTTCAAAAGTTAAGAGAGCTTAAGAAGCTTCGAAAAAAATTTGCAATAATTGTAAGTCAGCATTGTGAGAATTATAAATTCAATTGTATTTTATAATATCGGCTAAAACAATTAAATATCAGCTATCAGTATAATATAATATGATATTACTTTAGACTATAATTTCTATGATGAAAAGTAATTCCACAATTTTTATTTGTATTGTACTTTATAGAGACAGACTTAAATGATTTTTAACTTGCGAAAGAAAGACGTCTAAGACTGTGATCTAATTGTGTCTAAAAGTGCACATTCATTGCAAGATAAAAGTGACCTTTTCTCTAATCGCGGAAGATCTTACCAAAGTAAGGAAAGCTTTCTATAACTAACGGGAATATATTTTAAAATACATTGTGATATTTAAAAGATAAGTATAAGATAAAAAAAACTTAGTAGCTTAACATCGAATTATACTTACAGAAATGATTTTCCTGCACGATCCTCAGGATCGTGCAATCAACATCCGCGAGAATGAAGAAAAGTACCGCCAGGCCACCGCGGAGATTCATTTCCAAGAAGAGACGCACACCATGTACACAACTGTCTTCTGTCAACCCCGTACACTTTTACTAGCTCATACTCTTCATACTCCTTTAACATTTAACTTTTACAATGTACGCAAATTCAAACTTCTCGTCTTTGATTAATCAATTTTTATCATTTCTCGGTAACATCGCGACGATATCGAACAGACACGCATATTTGGAGAAAAAAAGGATGAAGGAAATGCTTCAACGAAGACGTATTTATAAAAATTTGCAATATTTGACGGAGGCAAGTAGCAACAGCACGAGTAATCCTTGTGGCGGATCGTTCACTAGAACGAGTAAATCCTTCGAAGGAACTCACTTGGAAGAAAGTGATCGTTGACGATTCCCATCGAAGAAGGGGGATATACTTACGATCGCGACGAACCAGTGAAAACTGGCAGCTCTTAAACAGACGAATATCGCTCTCACTAACGAAAGTTACCTCTCTGCCGTCACTATTTACTTATCTTTCTCGTTCTTCTCATACCAATTAGAAACGTCCATTTTTACGAATCATTACGTGCAGTAAAGTCCTCTGACCAGTGGGTTCCGTTTTTATAATACTAGTTATTTAATTCTCAGTTAGAATAGAAACATTTTTCAGTAAAATTCAATGATTCTGTATTTGAAAAAAGAAAGTCTTCATGGAGGGGAAAAGAGGTGAAGTTTGATGTTGAAATTTTGAAAAAGACACTGTTTCGACTCTATTCTCATTCTAATTAATGAGATGACCAGCGATTGTAATTCAAATTTAATTCTATTCAGCCTGATCGTAATAAGTCAGACTCAACTTCAACGCGATATTTAATTTAGTACTAATTTTAATTTCATCTTAGACTTGATACATATACTATCTAAAAGAAACGATAGATTTGGGATTGAATATTCAAGTTCCAAATTAAAGAATGAAAATGTTTTCACAGCCTACTCTGGATCTAGAAAGCTGAGACTTCTGTTAAAGATGCTTTCTGTTACAGATCTCCCTTTCAATCTGTAACATATAATCCGTTATGAATCATTTAGTCGTAGTTTCTCGTAATTACGCATCATCGAGGCAAAAAAAAGAACAAACGTTCTTTCTTTTTTTCTGCTTTTTTTTTGGGCTGACGTCAAATTACCCGATGCAGTAGCGTGATTATCAGCAAACTTGTTAATCATTCTTTCGCGAAGAACGGGTTCTCGCTGAGAAACACACGTACAGCTTGACTAGATGAAAAATAGAAGAAGATATCAGTTGAGCAACGCTGAGCAGCGAAGCTAGAGGACTCTTCAAAAATTAAATCGTAAGTTTGTTAACGGTTACGGTTGATCTATCAGAGTTGAAGAGACAATTCTTACAGTTTTCAAGTTTATTTTCATATTCATTCTTTTGTAGAAGACAGGAAAAAGAGTTCAAATTTTCTAGAGACGACATTGATGCCTTGGAAACATACAGTTGCTATATTTGTTGAAATATACGTGACTCAATAATGTAAGTATTAGGAATAAGGTAGATTAGAATACGTAGATCATTGATCAAATAAAATTGAGGATCAAAGGACGATAAATTGTTTTCTTTTTTTGAAACAGCTTGTAGAGTTGCTGTTATCGAGGCCATTTCCACAGCGCCAGCGAGGAAAGCGAGGAGGAATGCAATGTGATGTCGAGATAACTATTTACAAGTTGAACACGTTTCGCGAGAACATTTTTTTCACGCTGCTAATTCGTTCGATGGCAATTTTCTAGTGTCATAAATTACGAAATTCCACAATGAGCGAGTTTTGGTTGAAACAAGACAAGAAGAATGTGAACGAGATTTCCTCTTTTCTCGAAAGAAAGCGACCCGAGGTAAAATTGTTTTCTACGAATTTTCCTTCGTTATTTACCTATCTACGGTGCAATTAGTTCTTTCATCTTTTACCGAACAATTTTTTTTTCTTTTTCTTCACGTATTATTGCCTTTAGAAACGATAAGTAGTAAGAGTGATACTTGTACAGAATTGGCTATAATTGTGAAAGTGAAGACAGTAAAAAGCGATGAAAGCGATCCTTTTTTTTTTTTTTTTTTGCAAAGCGATTTAACATGACCGTAATCTCCAATATGTTTCACATTCAATTTAAAATTCCTTTACGCAGAGAATGAAAACAATTTCATTTCTGGTTTTTTTGACCATCACCAAAGGATGTCAGAAGTTGACTCTTGTTTCTACAGAGTGTAGACACAATAAAGAAAACGTTTCTTCGTTTAACGATCTTTGCATTCAATTGTAAAATTATACGTTTTTGACATGAAAGACCGATGCACATTTTCACTCATTAATTACCGCAGAGAGAAAGTTTTAAAAAAAACTGCTTTCTGATATTCTTAAAGAACATAGCTGTCTACTGGGTATTTCTCAATTTTTATCCAATTTGTCGCATTTTGAAATCTGAAAGATGTAATACAAATTTTAAACAAATTAATTAATTAATTAATCAAGTATCTTTTTGTCATGTAGTTAATAGTAAATAAATACAGGAAGTGTTGTATTGCACAAACATAAGAAATTAGAGAGAAGAAAGAATCGCCAAGGGAAGATGGATTTGTGAAATAGTGCAAGAGAACGCATCAAGATCAAGTTGTTTGTATTTTCAGTATCAATCAGCTATGACGTTGGTATACGTCGCTGTACTATTGGTGTGTATAAGTGTGTATTTTTATATAGGTATATTTATTTACTTAGTTATTTATTATTCCTTTTTTATTACAATCGATTGCTTTCTCTTAACAATCAAATTTCAGTCGATACAGATTAATTGTAAGATTCGAATTTACAGCAATGCATCGTGAGTAAGCAAATTAGCCTAATTGATACTGCGTTTCTCTCGAGATCAAGCAGACTCGGGTGAATCGTAGTTACATGTATACATGTACAATTAATAAGCGTGCTGAACGTGTAAAAAGACGGAATAGATTGAATCCATATAGGAGATAAAAATCGCTACAAAGTATCTTATAAAATGTAATTGACAATACAATGATATATAGTCAATCAGAACGTCTCCTATTAAGCAATAAAAAACAAAAAATTGTACCTGTCAATGTTGGACGATTGCAAATATACTTTACACAGGTATACATACATACCTATGTGTTGATAAAAAATTTCCAAAGATGACAAATGCTCGAATCTTTTTTCTCTTCGAAGACGTTTCCAAAGATCGTTTCAACTCGTGGAGATGCCGATAATAAACATCCGCAAGAAAATATCGAATGAACATTGACAAAGTTTCTCACCTGTTGCAATCATTCAGCATTTTTTTTTGAAATTGCGTTTGATCATCGAAAGACCAAGCAAAAAGGAAAAAGGAAACGACAAGAAAGAAAATCGAAATACCCGCGCGTTCAACTGTGTGTCGTGGAACAACGAACAGTTCGACCTCTCTATTAATTCCACTGCATCAGTAAATCGGTATACAATTGATCGATGTGCGTAAGTGAATAAACGAGTGTATTTACAATATTGATAGAGACACTATTTATAGACGTCGACAAATTTTAACAAACAGTTTCTCGTGCTCTTTCAGATTTTAATCCACGTTTCAATTACGACTTTAATCCTCGACGACTAGTGATTGTAACAGCATTGCAGGGAAACGATCACGTTGTAGTTACGAATCAACGAATTGCATAATAAAGGTAATCCCAAGCGGACAACGCAAGAAGACGCGAGGAGTCTCAAGGTTTATTGCTCTTCACAATTCTTTCCATTCAATTCAAATCCATCGAAGATGAGGAAAACCTTCAAATTTGTAACGCGACATTTCCCTTTACAGACGATTGCTTTTTCTTTTTTTAGAACTGTTCTTTATTGTCTGATTATTGTTTCGCTTCGCACAACGTTCCAGCAGTCAATTCACTTGCCTCTTTCGAAAAAATTAAAAGCACACGATCGAAGGGTGGGAGAGAGCAACTTTTCAAGAGAAATTTTCATGATCCGTTTGGGTCGTGATTATTTAAATTATGCGTGCTCGTCATTTCTTATCGTCTCTTCGTCTAGATACACATGCGTGCGTAATCCTAAGAGATCGTTATCGTTAGTACGTTGTACAAAGGTAACGAAGCGGAGGAACATTGTCAAACGATATCTCATTGTCAGCTACATCCTAAAAATATATATTCCTTGCGCAAAGCTTCTTTTTCTCTCGTTTCGAATCCTGTCCTCGTCAATACATCGTTTTACGTTTGTACACGAAGCACGCGAAGTACGTTTTAACCCTTTCATAGGAACGAGAATTATCCTTCCATGTCAATCAAGATCTACCCTTGCTACATGGATGAAGCAATATGAAAATATCGATATCCCCGTTTTTTTATAAAATTATATTACATTTAAATATCGTTAAATATCGTTTCAATGAAATACCTCCAATGCGAGCAGCGCGTGGTAGCTCGATCAACTCAATTTGTAAAAAAATAAATAAATTGACTTTACTAGGGTAAATTTATACATATACATACATACATAAATGCATTCATACATACATACATACATATATACGTCCTGTTCAATATTCGTATTGAAATTTTTTTACTTTTTCGTGAAATTCAAATTGTGCCTACGAAAGGGTTAATCTTTCCCACGATCAATTACATTATACACGATATATTGATGTTAATCGGGTCGTGACGCAGTGTAAAATTTATCGTAATACATAGTCACAAGGAAGATCGTCGTATCGTGAGATAGACTTACACTGCTCAAAACAATTATCGTACGATATTGGAATTAACAAATCTTTGTAATTACGCCATTTAAATTTCATAAACCTAGATATTAAGAAGAAACAAAATATACGTATACGTACGTGTGTATGTACATATTTGTTTACTGTATATTAGTCTACGCAAATGTAATAAATGTATGTATACGATATATATGTATATGTATTCGTTTTCCTTACATTGATATATACATTACAGTATTTTATAATATTTTGATTAATAGTTTGATTTGATTGGTTACATAGGTTTTGAGCTTGTGTTTCTTGATGGCGTGTAACGAATGATTTGAAATTGTTCTGAGCAGTGTATATAAAAGGGTAAGATACTGTGACAATAAAATATTCTACAATATCTTACTTACAAACATGTATTCCGCATCAATCGCGTAATTTTGACGGACATATGTGAGCAATTAATATTTTCATAACACCAAGTAAAAAGTCGGGGGAAATTGTTGTTAAAACGTTCGCGAAACTACTCAATCTCAAAGAAGGAAAAAAGAAAACACAAAATAAAATTAAAATAATTTTGACTTCCGAATATTTTTTATTTTTATCTTCTTCTTTCAACATAAAAGAAAAAGAAAAACGCGAGTAAGCTTGCATATGTCCTACCTACACACAAAATATGTTGAGCAAACTTGACTTTGTACCGTACGAACGTTCAAGTAGAACCTAACTGTCATTACAATCTAAAACACGCTGACTTTAAATGCTAGATAAAGATACATGCATACGTAACATACGTATATAGGTAAATAGCGACGTGTCCGAAACATATTCGACGATGATGTGTGCAAGGAAACGCCATTTGACACCCGTTACACAAATTTATACTTACTTTCATCAGCTTTGTACTAGCCAAAATTACAACTCACTTTGGATTATCCCTTAAGTTACGTTGTTGCTACGACTCGGTTCGAAGCACCGATAAATCACGAAATTTAAAAACCTTCCCCAAATCTCGATCGTTTGACTTCTTTTCGAAGCTTCGTGTCTTCAAGAGAGAAATCAAATCGAGCTGGCGTACTTTCTCAAATACAAAAATTATTTTCTCGTCTCTCCTCTTTTCTTCTCGTACATTTACTCTCTCATTTTGCGAAGATAAATAAAAATATCTTTCCCAGTTTGATTCACGAAATTACGATTCGATTTGGATTGGCTCTCGATAAATTTCTTTAAAATTGAATATTTCATAAAATTTCTCTCTGTACTGTTGGCAGACTGCACTCGAACAGTGAAGATTGGGGGGGGGAAAAATCACCGAATCGTCGTTCTAACCTCTCTTTGTTTCTCCCGCCAATTTGATTCGCCGATATTCGAAATATTGGAAGCTGTCGGGGAAATAATTTCAATAGCAAAGCTTTCTTTTTTTAGTGTTAACGTTAACGCTCCACGTGGAAGATAAAATGGAAGGAATGAGACGCATTCGAAAGCTTATTCTTGCGAACGATTCGACGTTCGTCGAACGATCAAATCTGTAACGAAGCATTTTACTAAGGAAATATACATTTACGGCACGTACTATATCATATTACATTGTATATCGACGACAAATTGCAAGCGTGTTCGTTGCTTAATTCCAATTTATCGATCGTCTTACGTAAGGCTAGATTTATACACGATAGCACCTTTTCGTTTTACTTCGCAAATCCTTTTTCTTTCTCTTTTTCGTGGATGTCATTTTGATTCGTTGGACAATATATTAAAAGATTCGATTGGTTAATTCCTGTTCAAGTGAAACCGATAATCTAATATATACAATAATAATAATAATACTATTAACGATGTCATCATTAGCCATTCATGGAGATTAAACTTTTAACTTTGAGATTAAGCTCCATCATCTTACCGGCACAACCAACAAAAACAACGTGGTTTTTAAATAAAATTAGCTACCGCGACCGTACTGTTACATTCGACTCCCATTTCGAATTTAACAATCGATCTAACAATTCCATTAAATACAGACATTGCGTCGCCAGTTACGTCGGACTTTGTATTAACAATTCATCGTGATTGGTACGCCTGTCTCTTCGCCGATTCTAGAGTAAAATAGCGTTGTTTTCTCGTGGTACACAGTCTTAAATTTGTCTCGTACTACTCTCGCTCTCTGTTCTCATCTTAAAACGTTTTACTAGCCATAGTCACACACTTTCTTTTTTTTTTTCTTCTTTTTTTTCTACGCAATTAGGCATATTCGTTTGTTTATGGTTTATCGTTTACGGTTTTCTCGGTTGCTTTTACACGATAAATATTAAATGTGGTTTTTTTTTTTCGCTTGTAAGTTTTGCATATACCGTACGTACTAACACGGATTCTGACTCTTGTTCTTACGAACAAATAATTGTATCCGCGTGATATGATTCGCTTTGTTCGTATTTTACTTCTTTTTTTTTCTTTTTCATTTTTTCTCTTTTTTTTTCGTTTTCTTTTGGTTCCAGTTCTTTTTTTGGTTTCTTGGTTTCAAGTGGTCCGTAAATTTCGTGCTTGACGCAATAGACAGTGCGCGTGATAAGGCCCTAAATGTACATTCAAAAAATTCATAAAAACTTCTCGGCAGTAACGATGGATAGACACGTACGAATCATTCGATAACACATTTCCCGTTTGTGGTATGCTCAACACACACGTTACGTCGGAACAGTGAGACATATGTGAACCAGAAAACACGTAAAATATGATAAATAATAGTAAAACTACACTCTTGCTGGCAAATCAGTGAAATTTATAATAAAAAAAAAAAAAGAGGAAAAACAGAGAACAAAGAACAGAGCAACAGAAATAAATAAAAATAACAGTAGAGTAGACAGAATCGAGGTTCTTAATTCCAGCTTAATGATTTAAAAACGCAATTCAGTATTCTACTTTGAACTCTATTAAATTCAGTGTACTCCACTTTAAAATTTCCACTATAAAATTCAATTCAATTTAACGTGTATTTTCATTAATTTTCATGAATTTCAGAGTTGTCAACGCGTCAAGGAGAATTCGATTTGAAGTGTTCAAAATTCGTTGACACCGATCCCCATGCAACGTATACGTGAAAGTGTACAAGTGAAAAAGTTCGCGAGAGAACTTCATTCGCGGACTACGTTAACAGCAGGAGAATGGTGAATATAGAAGACGGTTCTGGTAAGTATATCTTTGCAAAAATTCTACAAAGCACAATTATTGTGCTTGAATTATTTCGGCGGTTATCTCTTCGCGTACACAATATGCAAAACCTAATTTGAGGACGGTCATCGCTAGAATTGAAAAAGCACCTCCACTACAATATGGTGACAGACACTGTAACTTTGAAATTTTCTTTCGTAGTTCAATAATTCTACTCGTCTTACTTTCAGTTCAATTCGCACGTGTCTGAAAGATAATAAAGCTGCATATTACGTCGCACTTTTGCATGTAATCGTTGGGAAATTATTTACATTAAAAGTCGATCTTGTTATATATATACCAGATCCAGGTATAACACATCTCGGATAGTGTTTAAGTTCACCGAAACGAAATCGCATCTAAAGCCAATATGGTTCTTCCTGTAAGTTTGTAATTTATAGTACTGTCCATATCTTAACTGGCACGACTGACTATTGCTGCCACCTCCATTTACTCCACACTAGAACTACCAAAGTGGTGAAAATGACCAATTTATAACTTTTGTTAAACATTTTATAGGCGTGTGTTTTTAAAGAATTAAATAATTTTTCGTAAAATATATAAATAAAAGCTTGTACTCTCCATTGTATTATAAAGTTTCCCTATTTTTTGGGCTTCAATGTCTCTGATGGAAATTTTATGCTTTAATCGCTGGTAGCTCTACCTAGTCCAATCAACGTCTCTAGTGTTAAAAGTATAAATATATAATTTGAAAGCAAATGTTAACGTAATGTGGAGTTGTAATATTATATAAACTATTTAGAAGTCACCTCGTTGATTTAAAAAAAATATGGAATAATGTTTTAGATATTATTTAAATAAAGCGAAGTGGACTAATATATTTACCATCAAGTTGGATATTGGATGCCACCACGGTTTCATACTACATACACGTTTATTTTAAACAAAGAGAAAATTCTTGAGAAGAATTCTCCCTTGCCAGCCACTCAGATTTGAGTCCAACTTGCCTGTTATATATAAGACAGCACTATACATTACTTACTTTTTTATATTACAAATATTCAATTATTCGATTAAGCATCGAGCTGGTTTTTGATTTCCTTCGGTGTGCTTTTTAATCGTACGGTTTTTTTTGCAAACACGACCTTGAAAAAATGTCTCTGGTGTTGTTCAAACATCACACTATACACGTGTGTGTATGTACGTATATCAAGAACTTCGATAATCAAGTTTCACCTAATTTTTCGACTGTGAATCTCTGAACACAAACTGGCATCGAATCATCTTTTGTATAATTTGTATTCTTTGTTTTCCTTTGTTCTAACATTACTCTTGTAGTTGATGTTCTAAATGATATTCTAAGTCCTAAAGTAATGTTAGTATAAAAAAATGCAAAATGTTCTCTCTTGAAAAAAAAAAAAAAAATAAGAAAAAAAAAATAATTATGAAAACTAGGTGAAACTGCATTATTGATTTTTTTTTTTCTTTACAGTTTATCATTGTGTGAAAATAACATTTAGTTCATTGTGTGTCGGTGTATGTATATATTTACAGAGTATAACAAAATAAGCATCGTCTAAAGTAATTATTTTACATAATAATATATTTCAAATACAAATTACCATGAAACGTAATGAACAGAAATTTATTTGATTTAATGATCTTGCAAATAAGATATTGATTTTGATCTCTTTCAAATATTAAATTTGCAAATTACTACACACTTACGGATAACTTTAACAATTTTGTCGCGTTTTCATGATATTAAAAATGAATATACAGTGTATTTAGAATAAAAATTCCACTGCATCTTTTTCTACGTTTCTTCGCTGCTCTATAATTATTTTATACGACACTTTTTTTTCTTTTTAAATACCTTGCATATATATATATATATATATATATATATATATATATATATATATATATATACACATATATACTGTGTATATACATACATTTCTCGTGTATGTATCATACACAGAGTAGAAGTTGAATTCTTTCGAGCTAACGAAAGAATCGAAGATACGGAAATTAATCTCATCGATCGAGGCGTAAACAAGTTCGAGAAAAGGTCAACGCTTTCAACAACGACGCCTCATTCGCGTTATTGTAACAAGCAATAACAAACGAATTGCGTGTATGTGCGTGTACAAAATTGAAAAATACACAATCCAGAAAATGGAAGGAACTTGAACAATATCTGTACAGTATGTACATACATTACTCCCAGTTTACAGAAACGCAATCTTCCACGAAACGTATTCTTGTTTGAAAAACTTTGCATGCAAGTATGTGCATTGAGTCGGTTTGTACAAATCAATTTGGTGAATTTTAACCTACATCCAACTATGACTGGATCATTTGGGATTCACAAATGAAACAGAAGATATATTATATGAATTGACAAGCTACAACGTACCTGCTTGTAACTTGTCAATTCAGTTATTGTACAAGAGGACTCGAATGTATGTTTTCAACATGCAATAATTTTTCTATGATTTTTCCTACAGAAAGAGAACATAATTTTTTTTTTTTTTTTGTACTCTGATAATTTCACAATTTCGAACAAAATTCATAATTATTATAAATTCACGTTTTATCAACGAATTGTATAGTAACGATGCAAACGTAGTTTACAAAAAACAAACGATGCTATGATCCAGTCATCCATCGTTCCAAGGTTAAAAATGTTCACAGCGTTGTGACTCGATTGGTAAGAAAAGAAATAACGTACAATAATACGTGTTTAATCTTAAGACTGATAGTTAGAAAACGTTTCGACAGCTGAATATTCAAACTTTATGATTATTTAGCTATCTTAGCTTGAATATTTTTATTATTGATTATATTAACGAAGATCGAAGCGTCGAAGCAGTAATATTACTAAAGTAATAATTATCATCTAAAGGAATAATAATCGTTTTATCAATATTGCAAGTAACTGCCACGTGCCGTGCTAAGTCAATTCAATTGTTATTAATATTAACTGTCATAAATTATTATGCACATAAATATTGTAAGTAGCAGTCATTAATAGCAATAACTGCGTGAAAATCTAACAAAGTATATATATGTATATATGTGTACGTATAATTATCTGTACGAAATCAAAAATATTATATTCCTAAAAAAAAAAAAAAATTGTTGAATATAATAATTCAATTCAGCATTAAATTCTGTTAGTTGTACGTTTGGAACAAATATATATTAACAACTAGATGGATCGTACGTACATCATACTTGTCAAGAAATTAATATCGGAAGCTTTATAAAGCTGATTGTTAAATAAGTTACGATAGAAACAGACATATCAAATGTTACGTGAATTTCTCCAAGTATAGAAATGTGTCTGTGTTAATAAATTATTAAAAAAAAAAAAAAATTGTAATGTAATATGCTTGATGCTTGTTTAAAAATTAAATGGATTAAAATTGCCAACAGCAATACGTAACGTTTGACTTAATTAATTAATAGTCAGTTTAAGTATGAGCAAGCTTAATGACTTCAATATTTATATGTACATATGTACTCGTGTGCATATTTATATATACAATATTCTAAGTACTTTACGGCTGGGAATAATTAAATTATTTACACGGACAACGCGAAAAAGAATGTACAAAAATCGTAATAAAAACTTGCAATTGAAATATTGTAAAAATCGTTAGATCTGAGCTCAACGATACCATATTGCACCATAAAGCAAGCAATTGAAAGGATGCATGGCATTTTACTATGATTACGCGCTACAATGAAGTAGGAAGTTCGTTAAAAATATCAAACTGTACAATTTTACGATTTACTCTCTCCGTTTTTAAAAATACTGTCTCCGTTTGACTTTATATTTATACGCATTCTCGCATACGTGAAAATTATAAATACCAAGTGAAAGAATACATCTTCCATTGTAACCTCGACTTGCACAGTCTCATTGAGTCAGATCGACACGTGTAAAGTGTGTAAATTGAGGTTAGGTTTGGATTACCTCGAGGCGTATCTCGTTCAGCACATGGTCTCGGACGCCGGGGCAGGTACCGTGGTTAGATTCTTGTCGTTGGGATCGGAGCTTTCCGAGTCCCGGATCGGCGGCCTCGAGAGCGTTTGCTCGATCTCTCTAGTCACGCAAATCGTAGGCGGAGGCCTCCGAGACTCTTCGTCGATGGCGGAAGCTCTTCGAAGCTGATGCCTGTGCTCGTTCGATATGAATATGCTGGCTTCGTCCGCGCTGTGCAAAGGCTCGTCTTCGTCGGCGAAGTACCTCCTCTGTATCAAGTCTTCCATCTGCTGGTAATCGCACTCCTCGGCGTCGCGCAGATGTTCGTTCTCGATCTGCCAAGCCATCTCGGGGTTAGACATTTCCGACAGGTTCCGAACTCTCGAAGGCGGTGGAGAAATTGGCGGTGTTCGCGGTGGACTTAGGAGGCCGCAGTAACTCTCCAACTCGTCCGTTATGCTTGTATACTCGGCGTGCATGGCTAATAGGATGGATCTCTGTGTGCTACTCGTCGATGATGACGGAATGACCGCGACACGTGGCTCTGCCCAAGTTACTCCTCTCGGTACGCCGGATGGATGGATCATTACATCGTCTGACTCGGAACGTGTTCTGCTGGTCTGTCTGGACGGTCGTTCCGTGGAATCCTGTTTGGGAATAGATTCGGAAGGTGGGGCTTCGCTGCTGGCCTCTCTGCTTGGTTCCTTGCTCGTTTCCCTGCTTAACTCTCTGCTCGTTTGTCTACTTGGGTCCGTGCTTGGTTCCTTGCTGCTTGGTTCTCCGCTTGCCTCTCTGCTGGTAGATAACGAGCTCTTTTTTAAAGTTTCTTTCTCGCCATCGGCCTTGCTCACTTCGGTTTCCTGGCTCGTGGTCGTCTTTATGTCGTCCTGAATAGTGTGGCCATCTCCACTTATAGAGGACTCGTTTCTACTGAGGTTTTCGCGTGATGCAGCGGTGTCTGAATGTTTCAGCATGACATCGTCTATTGACGGACCTAGATTAAGAAACGTGCCGTCGGTCATCGATCGGACCAGTCTTTTGCGTTTAGCAGCGATACTTGGTAGCTGTGTATGAGAATCTGTTTCCGAGAGAACTTCTGAGCGTTCCGACACTCTACGCTGACGACCGTCTATATCGAAACTGGACAAGCCCTCCATGTTGGGCATGTGTGTGGCCATGAATCGATGGATGACCCCCAAGTGTGCCAGAGTCTGTTCGTTCAATTCTTCCAGTTTGCGGATACGAAATTCCACTGCCTGAAAGATTCGTCGCAAACTATTGTAATATTATATGTAATGTAATTATCACAGAAAATGTTAGCGTGATCACCTGAAGGGAAGCATTTTGACTGTTCTCCTTTTTGTCGATATCTTCGATCTTCGAATGCATATTCTCGACCCTTTCCGTGGTAATTTTCACACGTTCCTCCGTGGACATTTGCAGCTTCAACTCTTGCTCGCGGAAGTATCCTTCGACACAGTCCTCTTCGAAATCGTAGAGACGCTCCATATCGTCCGCCTCTAAGAACAACTTCAGCCCGTTGTCGTAGGTTTCGCCAGTACTTGCTTTTCCTTGTGTTACATATCGCAGCAAATATTTCACCACCAGATATATATGACAAACTACAATAAGCGGAGGAGGTAAAACTGGCTTCTGTTCGTACTCCATAACAACAGTAAAACGTTGGAACATCCAAACTTGGTGCGCCACCGCGTTTACCTCATTGAAAATATTATTGAATACGGCAATCAGAAGATTTATCAGTAATATGTTTGCAATTAAAAGATAAATTGACATTACAGCAGGTGTGATCCAGCGGCCTGGTAAACAAGCGATCATTCCTGGCTCGTCTCCGCAATCTGGATCTATGTTATCTGCATACACCTCTCCGTACAACATAAAATACGGTTCCATAAATATCTACAAAATAAATATACATATTTTTGTATACATACATGTAGAATATTTAGAATGGAATGAAAAAGTATAATATAATAGACAGTTGAGAAATTGGCAGTTGGGACGTCGCAGAGATAGGAAGAGTACTCGTGCCGGTTCACTTTGCCTGCTTCTATATTACCTACACAATTTTCAGCCAATATGAATGTTTGACATTTACTATACAGTCTAACAGAGCCGACTGCCATCTTCTCAACCGCAAATAATACATACGTCGCGAATAATCCTGAGTTTTGGTTCAGCATTCGGGTTCAAAATTGCCTGTCGGGTGACTCCAAAACTCATTAATACCACTACCAAAAGTACTACAAAGTATGTCATATTTTTTACCATTTTTCCCATCATAGTGACTAACGGACCTAAACACGGTAATACACAATTTATATTTACTGTTCGTGCGTGTTTGATCTTAAAATGTGTCGATTTTTCATTCAACTCGCATCACGTACCAAAGTATTTGTTCACACCAAGAATGTTCAATATCCTTAAGTACCAATAAATACTGTCGACGCAATAAATGACACGGCCAACATCAAGAGTCGAGTGTCTCAAGCGTAAAGCCAGACCAATTTGAAAAAAGATAATGGCAGCCGCGTCGCAGGGGTTCCACATATTCCACGCCCAAACGCTGAATTTATGCGAGAGAGTAGCTGGTTCAGACGTTGCTATTTCTCGTACTTTTTCACATCCTAATGTGCAAATGTATGCGATGGCATAAATTTCTGCTAATGATGGATCATCATTCATCTGGATGAGAATGCAATACGAGAAAAGTACCAAGAAAATAATGTACGCTATCTGTAGAATGAAAGAAAAATGTATAAGTTACATAAGTTTAGGAATAATAGTGCACATTTGAACTTAATGAAACTTACAGCATTAGCCCAAAATTTTGTGATAGGAGCTGTAAAAAATTCGTACAATTTTTTCCTCAGTCTCAATGGCCTGCTGTTCTTGATGTCATAATAGTCAGAGTGTATGCCGTACGCACGATGAATTCCATCGTCGTTATCTGTCAGTACTTTGCCATTTTCTTGTACAATTGTCTCCTTGATAACAGTAGTAGTGTGTTCGTTGCTGATCAAAGCCTACATGAAGAAACAGAAATTCCAGGATAATGTGTACTAGTGTCAAGAAATAAACTATACAGGACATTGACACATAAATAGGAATCATTTAGGTATAATCAGACGACATGTAACAACACTTGTCTTTACTAATTTTTGATCATTCTCAGAAACCATTTACAGTACGAATGTTGCCAACAACAAAATAATCACATCAGAAATTATTTTAGACAGAATGACACATAGCATGTAAGAAGCAAACACTAAAGGGAAATGTTCTCTCTGGCATTCTACGACACTGTGGAAAGTAGGGGCAGATAAATTATACACATTCATTTCTGTAAAAGTACATAATCATTTGTCATCATATGCTATTACTATATGATCATGTGGAGTTATGAACGAAGTGTGCAAGCATGATTAAGTTGTAATATATCTTATGAAAGGGAGAGTAACTATCTGAGGTGTTTGTAGTCCAATGCAGAGATTCGTGTCAGGTATTGTGATAGAAAAAATTAATTCAGTACGAAGATATTTTAATAAATTTAAGGGATTAAAAGAAAAAAAAGGAAGTGTAAAGAAATGAACTTATTCAATAGCTACAAGACTGAGAAATAAGAAATGATAGAATAGAATGCAGGTAGTGTTAAAACTTATGATTGCGTGGAACATAAATTGTAAGTGCATTTAGATAATGTGAAGAAAGAAAAACGAAAATTTAAAATAATTACATCACCGAACGGTACTTTGTTTCTTCGTGAATTGATTGAAAACAACTTTCCAAATTCGCTGACATTTGGAATACATGAAGGTTTTACAACAAATCATTGAGAACAAATTGTCAAAAACATACGACTGACAATGGTTGGAGACTATTTAACCGCTAAATGAAAAACATCGGTATGTCGTGAGGATATTTAACAAATGTAAAGCCGATATACATGTATAAACATAAACATACATCGAATAGTTGCGTTATTATTTGCGTAATTATTGTTTTACAGGAACTATACCGATATTTTCTTTTTTTTTTTTCTTTTTTTATTCAACATCAAAATGGACGATTTTTTTTTTTAAGTATTAAGTATTATGAATACAACACGACTTGTTTTAGAATAGAAGCGTTAGTCATCATCCTCACCGGTACGGATTCCGATACTGAATAAATAGAAGTTTTCCTTGATGATAACTAATAACATAAGAAAGATAGTTGAAAAGTGCACCGGAAAGTGTGAACTTATTTGTCATAGAATCATTGCATTTCAGGTCATTATAGATATACCTTAGCGCCTTGTTGGCTGCTGGATTTGTTGCGTACGCTCAGGCTCCTGCGCTGACGTTTCTAAAAAACAATTCATACGCATACCCACATAGTCTATGAATCACAAAAAACATTTTCAATACCTCTAATAGCGATTGATACACTATATGCCATATAATATTGACCAATTACTAAACATACAATACCTTTTCCAAACAATATATGCTTAACATATTATATATTGATAACAAATGAAATAAAGTTATATAACGTATATCTTTATTTGCCTACGCATACAGGAAAATAAAATTTGAGGATATAAAAGACACAGTTCCAATGTAATAATAATCTATCGATAATATTTTATGCTTTGTGTGATATTCTTAAATATAGATTTAAATGCATGTAAAAAATTTGTAAAACGTTTCTTTTTTTTCTCTCATATACAGAAGGCAGAACCTATATGTGTATACGTCTCTACATAATCGTTCAAATAACTATTCAAAACCAGCAACCACGTGTACCAATATTGTGTTACTGAAGATTATCTCGAGAATTATTTGTATTCTAAATAAATTATTAACACTGATTATATTTCGCATCGAATGAAAATTTGTTATTTACAAATGACGATAATTTCTATAACTGGTATAATGAATGGACGACATTTGAAAACGTTATTTAAAATAACAAAGCAGTGATTGCCGCTATGTTCAAAAATAATAATTGCAGCGTGAAATGTGTAATGATGAACTCTTATAAATGCAATGATAAGATGTACTAATTAATATACCAATATACTACCAAACGTGTTTTATTTTTCATTTATTTTATTGCTCATACTGAGTGTAAGTTCATACTAAGCATAAAAAATCAATATCAAAGATTTTCATAAACCTTAATGTTCTTGAAATACCAACAACTAATACGTAATTAGTTAAGTCTCACATTATTAAAAAAAAAAAAAAAGCAAAAAAACATTTATTACCTCAACGTCTGGACCCGTTGGCATACCATGCTCTGAATCGCTATCTTCTTTCTCATCCTCAAGAGCGATCAAATGTTCTTCCTGAGTTTGTGGCATCAGCTGCAATTCCTCGCGACTTTTAAATTCCAAGCACACTATATAAAATGGACAAACTAGTCCAAGTATGACCTAACAATAAATTAAAATAACGTTACAAAAAAATAAAAAAATATATTTATTGAGTGTTAAAGAAAAAAACAAAATAAAACATATATCTTCTAAACCATATTACTCAGTTACCTTTAAGTTCGTATTCTTTCTCGTGCGAAGACCACCCATCCACAGATCGGCTAAAATAATCTGACTACAGGGGTGTGCTAAAAGTGGTCGATGATTAGCCGTGACTGCCAACGAAAGACACGTTTGGCCAGACCAATTTTGAAGTTCGGAAGTCAATAGCTGTTTCGTTTGATCGTCATCTTGACGATAACAATAATCTAACAATTCCAAAGCTACGAAAAAAAATTACGTTGTAAAAATAATAAAAAAAGACGTGATAAATCAGTCGACATATTATTACCAATATTTTCAAATTCTTTTCCATAACTCCGCAATTCGTCGTACACTTCTGTTTCAAGATCATCCTCGGCAGCCTCGTGCGCCATGGCTTTGTACAATTTAAGAGCAACCAGTGCTTTTGCTAAAGCTTCTTCTCCATGTTGCCACATCAACAGTGCCATTTGTTGGCGTTTAGTCAACACAGCCCATATGAGTAACTCATTGAAAGGATAATCGAAAAGCGGTGTGTCTCGGTTAGCTGGCAAGGTCTCAGCGAGCAAACTCATCGTCAGGCTATCCTGTTTGCTGCCAGATCCCGAGTAGTAACGAGTGGTGTTGCCCAGGACGCAGCTATTTCGATGCATGTGTTGGGGATGTATACCGGATCTCTTCATCACTTTGGTATAGATCATGCGGAACCTTCTACGCGTGTATTGCGATCGGTAAGCACCGCCCATTAATTTATTTATCACGAGACCGATGTCGTGCAGAGTATACATGTAACCTCGTGGGATATTTGGTCGAACGTCACGGAGAATGTAGCCCAGTGTATTCGAAGGGCCTTCTTTCTAAATAATCGATGCATATAAGAAAAATGTGCTCGTCGTATGATAATTGTGTAGGCACAAGATGTCTCAGAATTTAATCGATTTACAATCTAATTATATATACACATTTTATCCATTTTCCATAGGAAATATCGAGAGAGTGTGGTTGTTAAATCTTTAATCATCCTGCCTAACAAGAACATAGAGAACTTACGGTATTGTACAGTTCCTCGAGGCGAGGTATGGATAAGAATTTACGCATAGAGACTCCATTTTCCAAGAGAAGTTTCACAAAGTCGATTCGGTCGTGTTGCAAAGCTTGCATCATTGCCTGTTCCAGGGCACCCGTTGGCCAATTCTGCCCGTACACGAATATTTCACAGCGCGCTATGTCCACTCTGTTCCAAATTAAAGACAACGATAATTGCTCGGCAGGGGATAATTGTTTGGACTTGAACAGAGCTGTCAGGATCGTTTGATCAAGTTCCTGTGGCCGTTCTTGACTTATTCTAAATACTGTTATCTATGAAAATTAAACATAGTATACGAAATAATTGGCTTGTAATTACTATACGAGTAATTTATCTATACTGAATACTCACCAAATGTTTCTTACGGGTACATTGCAAAAGTTCGGAATATAGTTGTGTCGCCTGTTCGACAGATACCTTGAAGGTGCGCTTGATAGTATCTAAAAGATGTCCTCTCATACTTTCTAATGGTCCCTCGTTCTCCCCATTCTCTCCATCTCCTTCAGACGCGTATCTAAATTTTTCATTTGTTATCGCTCATTGCCAAAATACGATTACATTAAGAAATATGCAGTAATGAGGCTGTTGTGCCATTATTACTTATGCATAAAAGCGATGAGATCTGCCGCACGACCTGAGCCATCACAAACTACTACAGGAACAGGCGGAACGTCCGTAACATACTCTAAAACCGATCGAATCGTATTCGTTCCCCCTTCTATTACCAACGCTACGACAGGAATACTGCTATGTGTGTCTACAATAATAAATTTACCATTCGTTACGAAGATTATCTGAATTGAATGACGTTCATTTACGTTTCGACACTTACACGGCTGCAATTTTAAATTAGAAATGTATTTTTCTAATCTTCTGCGTAACACAATTTCTGCACCGTACCGACCACCAGTGCCATTATCCACCAGTAAAAAATATGCGTGACGGTTGTTTAAAACTGCGTATTTAGACCTACGAAGTTGAATGGGTACTGAGATAGGTACTTACGAAAAATTGCATTAATCATAAAAGTTGTATCTTACCAGGGGGACGAAAGACAATCGTAAGGTACTTCACCCCCACGGACTACAAGTTCGTGACTTTTGTCTAAAATTCCCCATGGCGCTATGCCAATGCTCACAACTCGACCTTGCCTTTGAGACTTTTCTAATAGCAACGCATCTCCCACTTGCCTTGTTACACCTGTGAGAGAGATTGAAATGTAACATTTATAATGAAACTCTGACATGACTGATGCTAATAAGAAATATTAATTTAATTATTTATTTGTTTCAATTCACCTGTATTGGTTCCTCCTGTGAATATCCACGCGCCAGTTGTCTTTGCAGCTTTTAACAAACCTTTTCTTAAAACCTTTTTCAAAGTAGGTTGCAGTTCGAAGTTGGAACGACCACCATGCACAGTTATTAATAGCTTTGGTAGTCCCAAATTCCATTCACGACACAACAACTGTACTATTGGTTCTGGCCTCGTGTCGTAAGCAAGTCTTACATACTAGAAGTAAAACATTAATACAGAACGAGGAATATATCACGTATTTCACGATATGCATGTTTCTTATTTATTTACCTGAGCTTTAGTTGGATGAGGGCCACCTTGAAACTCGATGGTGCCATATGCATCGGTAGGAAATGGACGTGTATTTTTCCCAGGAGACCATTGTTCTCTATCTTCTTCTTTGGTATTACTAGGAGTGTAACTTTGAACATCTATACCAGCTCTGCAGTGATGAGTATAAGAATATCCACAACAACATCTATAATAATCAATCATTTATTAATACTTTCACTGTAAAGAAAGGACTAGATGCAAATTGGGTACAAATAATTTTCAAATGTTAAAGCAAGTCACGGTTTCTTTCATAAGCAGAATATTGTAGGATATTGTTACATACAATTGTACCCTTTTGCAACTAATCTTTTTTCTCTTTTTCAAAAGGATACCCTATGACTGTACACAATATATTTCTATGTCTGTTCAACACAGTTTTCTCGTTATATAGGGAAACTTTTAAGTTTACAATTTCGGAGTAACTATTAACTACTATACAAGCACAAGTTTGACACACAATAGATTAATTGAGATTATTTCCACGACAGGTTTGTTTGACATAATTGTTATCCAAATACTGTGAAGTATAATATTGTTATAATAGCTTCTATATAAATATGATCTGATTACTTGACCGCATGGTATGTAATGAAATATGAAGGAAAAAACTCTAGGAAAAAACGAAGCATTTTATGAAAAGCATTAAACAAAAGATAAATTTAAAATAAAGTTTTATTAGTGAACTTTTTTAAAAAGAAGCGATTCAATGATTATATAATGCAATTTTGGTGCAAGATTTTATGTACACTATAAAAACTTAGCGTTTAACAGCTCCTTTGGTACAAACCATTATTGCTGAGAACTGTATAGAATGCATGTAATGTAACAGTATTTTATTAATGACTATGACTAAGGTATGATAAAAAGTATATAAGTTATTATTTTGTCTTTGAAACTGAAAAATTATTCAACTTACAAGTAAGTAAGTGAAAAGAAAATGGATATGATATTATTTCGAAACATAATTCTAACATATGTATATATATTTGCAGAAGCAATACTTGTAAAATACTTGTTAAATCACCTATCATCTTCATTTTTGTTTTCTTTTCCATAAAGAATGTGAAATTTTCAATTACGACAAAACCCACAATGAATTCTCACCTGGAAGTGGTGATCACATCATACTCTGCATTCTTATCTCCCTTTACTTGCATAAACCTATAAATGGAATGAAAGAAAAAAAAAAGTAAATGAAATGAAAATGAACATAAAAAATTATGTTAGTAATGACCTGGAAAATTTCAGAAATAAATTTTTTATGATAGATATCTAAATAGTAAAAAATATTAATAATTGTAGCTTTTATAAAAATGCATATTGCATAAAGTAAAAATTAAAAAGCAACATCTTACAATATGACGTTAACTATAGTCTACGACCGTCATCGTTAAAAAATTTTGCAATTATTCTGCTTGTACATATTGCCTCTGCAAAAATATTGTTTCTTCAGAGAAACAAAATACGTATTTGTAGTTATTTATCAATATGCAATAATCATGTTATCAAAAAACTAAATAAATAGATAAACATAGTAATTGAATAAATGCATGATAATGATGTCAAAAATGGTACTCATTGAAAAAAGAACTTATTGTACTCCGCAAAAACAGTATGTTTGAGAATTAAAGGAAATTTTTAATTCAGCTCATTTTTAATATTGTAAATATCGACTGATCATTATGTGTAATATGTCAATGCAGTTTGTAAAAATATCTAAATAACAAATTAAAAATACAATAAACATTGTACATACTTGTGTTCATCATCTGCACTTGGAATAAACTTTGAGCATTCCCTTTTTTGAAATGTAGCCTCTATCCAACTGCGTTCAGTTGTCTAAGATTTGAATTATATATTATTTTTGGGATATTATAAAATTATAATAATTAATATTTTAAGTATATAAAAACATATTACGTGTGTTCAAAACGGTGATCAAATAAAATGTGATGTTTAAATAAAATGTAAAAAAAAGATAAATGAAAACATAGTATACCTTTGCCTTTTTTCTCTTCATTTTAGGAGTGTTGGCTCCACAAATAATACTTCCGATTGCCATCTTGATATGTACATGCATTCACCTTAACATTGACCAATATACTAAAGAACCAATGTTAAAAAAAAAACTAAATACAAATACAAATACAAATCAAGATAAATGATAATAAAATATACACATATTAATCCAATATTCATTGGTCATTATTATTTACAAAAATCTCAAAAGAGACACTAATACAAAAACTTGAAATAAGTCGTGTAATGTGTAAAATAAATTATACTTTATACATTACATTACAAATTAATCACTAGTAATTATAAATTACTTAATTTAATTGTAAATACTAAATTTAACTGTAAATGAAAATTATACGTAGTAAAGAAATAAATTTTTGTAATAAGACTTTTATAATACAAAATTATAGATCTGCTTTGTAAAGTAACTAATAAAACAAAAAAAACAACAAAACTTACATGTAGGGTAGATAAGATAAGTGATATAGATAAGTGATATAGAGTCTCTATCTTTGAATGTGTACCTTCTATGCAAATCTTAATTACACACAATACAAGTATACTTTTATGGCAATTGAAGTTCATTTATTTTACTTATTATACATAAACTATGTATTCTTACAGCTTTACTACGTAATACAACAATTCTTACAATACATCTACAGAGTTCATCATTTGATTCAATATCCATTTCATTTCAATTATTTCACATTCATTTCAGAAATAAAACTAATGAATCATTAAATAATCTATAGTAAGAGAAAAGGCAACAAGTATGTTTTCTGAAATAATGTCTTGGATAAAAAAAAAGAACTAAAAGTAACATTGTTAAAGCAATGTGATAAAAGTTATATTTTAAGTTAACAATATCCTATAGTACTTACCATACGACAACTTTTGGTTTTGTCTATCATATCTACATAGAACTGCATGAACAATGTCAATATGTTTTTAGCTTAATGAAACAACGAAAGTTGCAGTTTAAAATGATTTCAATTGGTTACTTTGGACAGATATTTCACTGATACAGGCAAATTAAATTTAAAGATCTGAAAGAAAGATTAAAACGTCATTCAAATGCAAATATACACTGTACATGGTAATATAAATCATGATACTATGGTACATATGATCTATTAGGTTTGTGGTTTTTCTTCAAGTAAAATTTTAACTATATTAAAGCATCTTATTTTTTACATAAAAAATTATTCGGTTATGGAATTAAAAGATTAATTGGAATAATTTCTTCCCGAATTAATTTCTACATAGCAAAACTTGTTCAAACAGGTCAGAGAATGCCTTTAACCTTCGCCAAATGCCAAATTTATATGCATTTCCAGCCAACGTGTGTGTGACATTTTTTTCCAAATCCAACACGCGTAGAGAAAATTACGCAGACATTTCGACGGCAAATCATTCACGACGACCAGCAATTTAATTACGATGCTTTTTGCTCTCTAAATTTTCCCAACGTTGCGTAATTTCTAACAAATTTTTTCCTTTAATGCGCGATCAGCAATAATTAACGACGAAGCGAAATTACTGCTAAATTGACTTTTTAACTAGTTGCAAGTGCAACATTGTGTTTCTCCTATCGTTGCTTACGTTTGACACGATTAGCGAAACTAGTTCGAACAACTGGATATTGTTATCGTCGACTATTAAATAATGCTTGTTGTTCAAGTTCGAAATCGGCGGGAAAAATCATGATCTGTCATGTGCTTGTAACTTAACCTCACATTCTCGCAGGCACGATCTATGGGTAATTTAAACGCCTCGAGGCTCAATTTTAATGAAAAACAACGTAACCATTGATAAATTATTCAGATCGTACAGAAGATAAATAAAATCTTGTAATGCCGAACGGAGGATGACAATAATAACATTTACATACCTTAAACGTACGAAAAATTTTTAAGTAATCGTATTCATCGTGGAAAATTAGACTCGCGTGTATCTCTGTTAGTTTGTTTGCTGCGATATCCCTTGCGATTCATAAGATCCTTTACACCGATTTTTTTTCTTTTTTTTTACGTCACGCAAATTAACTGCTCGATATTTACGTACGGTGTTTGCATTTTTTTTTTTTCTTTCTCACAGAAGCGTTGCAGAACGTTTCACTGTTCAATCTTGTGTTCTACTTGTCTTGACTCGATCCACGTTGATGGACTCTAGATGGGAGACAACGTGGTGATACGTCCCGCACGGAGTTAATTTGTCCCATAATCCGTGTATCATCCCTTGGAAATATCGAGCTTGCTCCCCTGCATCGTTCTGACAAACTAGGCCAAGAACAAGGTTAACACTCGCACGGTCGATGGGTGTCTTCTTAGACTTAGCGGTGGATTTTCTTTCTTCATTTTTGACATTTTTTACGCGTCTGTACGCGATAATTTGATATTTGATAACGTGAAAATTTGGAGAGTTACTTTCGACTTGATTAGATTCTCAATCGTCAGAACTCTTGGAAGAAAGAAAGAAAAAAAAAAAAATCTGAAAGAAAAAAAAAAAGAAACTCTCTGGAGGAAGAAAGAAAAAAGAAAAGTTGAAACTGAAAGATTTGAAAACTATAATAAAGTTTTTCTTAGATCCAGCAATGAATTTTCTTTTTTCATTTTTGACATTCTTTACGTGCATGTACGCGATAATTTGATACTCGATAAAATCGTGAAAATTTGGGGATTTACTTTGGACTTGATTAGATTCTCTCAATTGTGAGAATTCTTGAAAGAAACTTTCAAGAAATAAAAAAGAATTTGAAAACTGTAGTGAAGTTAATTGAAATTTCATTTTATCTGTGAATTGAGATTTTATAATTAAAAGCATTGGAGTATCGTGCAGAGTTCATAGCGATTGATTTTCTGCAGATACGCAAATTTTTTTTTATTTAAAATTTGAACATTGCTATTGATATTATTGTCCATATTCGAATCGATATTGAAATCAACGCTTGTAAATAATTATTTTAATATCGGTCTGTTTAACTTTTATGATAAGGCTTTCAATAAAAACACCGCTTTGAAAAATTTGGATCAAAAGATTTTTAATTTAAAAAAAAGGAAGAAACAAGTAAAATTCGAATGAAGTATCACATATATCAACTTTTTTATATTTGACAAAATTTGCAAACGCAATTACATCGAAGAATCCCAACGTTAACATGGATTTAAGATTTGTTATCATTTTTTAAATCAAAGAAATACATTCGTGTCATTGATCTTCAAATTAAATTTGACCATAAAAATTTAGTGATTTGTTTAGTTAAATAAAACTTTCTCCTTCTGATCAAATAAAATGTTGAATTATAATTTTTAATAAAAAAAAAATAAATCAAAGTCTTGTTAAGAAATTTAATAAGTGAAAATGGCAAAATTTTGAACTTAATTGTTCATTTACACGTTCACAGACGATGTAGCAAGTAAAGTATTGGCAAATTTCACAAGTTATCCTATATTTACATTAGATGTGTACAATAAACATAAGCATATAATACACCGAAGGTATAGAAAAAAAGAAATTTATTCCGGTTTCTCTGGACACGATACTTTAGGCTTGTTAGATGATTCAGATTCTATCTTATTGGCCCTATTCGATCGCAGAACCGCACCTGGACTAGGATACGGTCTCATTTGATAAAGTGGCCCCGAAGCAGTTGTATCTGCTCCTGTTTTAGCTTCGTTGTGCCTTGCTAAACCATCGGACCATTTCCCTCTACAAAAAGAGGATAAATCATTTAAATTGTGCATTTACGCAGGTACATATTTACAAAAAATTAATAAAAAGAAGCCATACCTTGGAATATCGCTATAAGATGCTGGATCCATAGGATCCAAAGTTTTGTCTTTCTTCTCTTTACTCTCGGATCTTTCTAACCTTTGATTTCTTTTATTATCTACCGACTTATGTCTCGATCTGTTTTCTGACTTTTTATCCTTCTTTATCTCCGGTTCCTCCACCTACGCCATTGAATAATTATTAGTCATAGCAATAAAAAATACATTAGACATCAAATTATTTACTAAATTGAAAAATTGATATTAACTTCCATCGGTTCTTGTTCACTGCCACTATCGTCACTGGACATATTGTCATCCTGGTCTGCTGCTTTCAGATGCAACTCTTCCCTCAATTGAGAAGCTGGCTGAGATATCTGACACTTTGGATGACCCGGTGGTAACCAAGATACCAAATCGGACGACCAATCCCAGTAATAATGTTGACCACTGTTGGCAAATTAAATAATTACATTAAATGAATTCAATATGAATATATTCCAAATTAGAGAGGAAAACAAAGACTGAAACTAACGATCCAGGATCATAAACAGCTTTCCAAGTTTCTGGCAAAGGATACCTCTGTATCAGTCTTATCTGTTTCTTCAAGTATTTGTCAGAGGGTTGTACATGTCCAAGACCCCACAATTCCTTGCATTTCTTTGTGCATTCATGATAAATATTATATTTATTAGGGCAGCCACTGTATCCCTGAAATGAGAAATATATTGTTCAACTTTGACTTGTGAAACATTGTTCAGATATTTATGTATTAAAAATGTTTATTTATATTATTTGTTATTACTACACAGTAAGTGTTTTATAACAATAGTTGACGTAATATATTTACCATAAACTTTTGTGATATGTCTATTTGATTAATGTCGTCCTTTGTGCTGTCATAATCTTCAGCTATTACTTCTTCATGAATCTTCTTCTTTGGCTCTTTCTTCGCACAATCTGAAACGCAATATTTTATTAACAAACAACTCATGAACAATTGTTAATCAGTAATTAATAATTCATTAATAAACAACTCTTTTCCGTACTTCTTACATATGTATTCAGATTGTAAATTTGTACTGTAAATACATTTTGAGGTTAGGTTTTGTTTTAACATATAACAACGAAATTTCTGTAACACTTGTAAGATATAAGACAATAAAGTAAGAGGCACGACGAGATCCTCGGTTAGATTATTAACATGCTCAACAAAATCCTTGATCACATTTTATGCATAAACAAATGAGATTATTATACCGTGTTTTTCAGAGCCAGTGATGAGTCCTCTTTTAGCAAGCCGTGCAGCCAATGCAGCTGGAAGTGGCATTTTAAAATTTTTACTTTCTCTTTTCACTTCTCGTGCAGCAATATTCGCACGATTTACTACAATTCCCTTATTCAAATCGGAAGTGAGATGCGAGATTCAATCGATTGGTACATGCTTGAACAATGCTTGTCGATGAAAGCGCAAACCACGCAAAATTGCTAGCAGCGTCTGTGTTTAAAAATTATACTGTGCACGTTTCCAACTATATTTAAGAAGAAAGGCCCCAATTTGAATTTCAACTAAAATTTGCGAGAAAATAAATGTCATTCGAGTCAATATTTTGACATATAAAACAGACCAGGCTTCGATCCATTCAGCAGAAATTTCAAATCTTTATTAGTGTTATTTTATAGGTCAATTGGAGTGTAAGGAAAAAACTAAAGATCTGAAAACGAAAATACAACTGCAAAAATTCATAAAAATCCTGTTAATAGGTTTTTTTTGCAAATGAAAATTTGCTCGATTCATGGACACTGAAATGCTAGCGTCACGTAGCGGTGAAACGGTGGAACTAAAATCTATCGCTGTCCTTGTCGCTCACTGGTGCGCTCCTTGTCTGTTACACTGCATAAGTCTGTCCTTGTCCCACATTGTTGCTCTCCTTGTCAAGCCAATGAACAAGCTGGTGCTGCCATCTATCGGATTTTTCCTTTTTCTGCTTTTAGTTCCAGTTGAAAATGAGATGGCTTAGATGGCAGCACCAACCGTAGACAAGGAGCGCACTAGTAAGAGACAAGGACAGCGATAGATTTTAGTTCCACCGTTTCACCGCTACGCGGCGCTAGCGTTTCAGTGTCCATGAATCGATTAAATCTGCATTTGTAAAAAAAACTAAATTAAGATATTTATTAACTTTGCAGTTGTATATTCGTTTTCAGGTCCTAAGACATCTTTCTATGTTCCATTGAATTTGCAAAATGCGTGTACGACGATTTACAAATTCTATTCAACAGATCGTAATATTTCAGACCGGATATGTACATATTTAATTTCTCACGAGCAACATTGTCAGACATTTGAAAGTTCGAAGAAATATCGTATTTTTTCAAATAGAAGCCTTCAAATAAAAGCCTTCATATTTCTTCAAATAAAATGTTAACTTTTTTAAAATGAGTTTCATTTTGTAACGGCGAAATGAATTAAATATAGCACAGGATTTAATACGTACGTAACTCACTTTGACATTGCCTCTCGGGTGAATCACGCGTAAGAAATTTACTATTTGAAATAATAAAACGAAATAATAATAATAATTTGAAATAATAAAACGACACTTTTATAATTCTCAAGTACATTTTATTTAGTAAAAAAAATCTGCAGGAAATTCGTTTAGAAAATTGTAAAATAAAGCATACACTTTGTTTGAGAGTAAAAATATTTTTCCATTTTCCCACTTCGAAACTTATTATTTAACAAGACGAATAAAATTTTTCTAAACCATGCTCGTTGAATTAATAATTTGGAAAATTGTTCATGCGAGTGAAAACATATTGAAGCAACGACACGAGAAACGAATAAAGAACCGATGTAACGTAGAACTCCATAAATGCTCGATTTACGACCATAAAATTCCCTGTTTCGTAGTTTATTTATAACCTCTCAAGGAAATTTTGTTTCGATTGAAACTATTGCTAAATATACATCATCGATCGACGATGTGTACGCAGGTGCGTCATCGTGTATGCATGTACCTATTGAATCAAGTGACCGCGAAAACGTTGATCGTTGGGACACGATGAGGTCTATATTCTGTCCTTAAGAAACCGTATTGGACACTACCACGCGGTGCGATAGCGCTTCCTCGAATATAACTGAGAAAAATGCCAAACAAACGATAAAGTAGATAAAGTATAACAAAAACTGCCTGTTTATGCACGTGGTGTTTAGATGTAATTGAAACGAAAGTAATTAGAAGAAGAAGTTTCAATATAACTACGACGACGATACGGCGCTATAATCGAAACTGAACACACTGTAAATTGAGCATCGCGTTGAGCAAACGTTGTGACATTGTTCGACGCGAAATCTGAGACAGAGCGATCGCGCTGCATGACACTAAAAAACGGTTAAGCAGGTGTATACACAACACGTATAGATGGATGTACATGCGGAAGAGAATGGCTTTGAGAATGGCTGGAAAATTAGTAAAAAAAACAGTGTAGTTGTAGTAGGTACAGTATAGTCGCAGCACAGAGATATTTCACAGAGGTTGAAGCACAGTGTTGAACAGAGGCGGGTGGGAGGGAAGGCAGGTAGCGGGAAAAGCGTAAACAAGGGTAAATCTCGAGAAAGTAGTCAACTCCATAGACGACACATGGTGACAATAATCGTTCAGAATATATTTACAAGAGCAGTACAAAGAATAACGCGATATTACACGTACATATTTGTTGATACGTACACTAACAAGTAATTGGTAAGCAGGTGAACAGTTTAATTGTTAATCGAGGCACGTGACAATAAGGCATTTCTACAGAGGACAAGATACGATCGTGCATATGTAAGATACCTTGTAAGATACACCTGTATGTATGTATATATGTATGTATATATGTATGCATGTATGTATGTATGTATGTATGTATGTATGTATGTATGTATTTGTTTCTCGATACTCTTTGGAAACTGACTGGTTCGTTCATTTCGCGCGTTTTGCTCATTGTTCGATCGTTTGATCGTTTGAGCCTCTCAAGCTTAACGCTAGAACTACCGAAATGGACAAAATGACCAATGTCTAATTTTTGTTAGAGATACAAACAGTATGTTTTTAAAGATTTAAATAGTTTTATGTAAAATGTACGAACAGAGAAGCTTGTGTACTCCAGCTTGTGTCATAAAGTTTTTCTGTTTTTTTTCAACTTTAATGTTTCTGATGGAAACTTTATGTTTCAATCGTTGGTAGGTCTAGCGTTAATACGTAATTGTAATATTTGAGAATGTGTTGGCGACTGTCGGCACGTACGTACGGTACTCACATACATACACATATAGTATATATCGCGCGTTTCTTTTGAAAAGCTGACAGAATCATATACGTATCCTATACGTGTATGTATGTATGTATGTATGTATGTACGTACATAGGTATTTGCTATTTACATACCACACGTGATTATCAAAAAATCTCCAACGCGCACGTAGGTACCCTGGTTTTTGGAAAAGATTTTCTTGTATTTTCTTTTTATTAAGAAACGCGATTCAGAGAGGAATTTAATTTTTTTTTTTTTTTTCATCATTGAATTGACACTAATTATCGTACGCGATACGTAACAACAGAGATGGAACGATCTGCAACAACGTAAACTTGGAATAATATTAACTAGATTCAAATTAAATTGGCAAATATCTGTTTTAACTTTATTGTTAGAAGACGCAACTGACGAACTGACATGTTCAAGGTTATGATCGCAACATAAATCACACGGTCGGTACTCTCCTTTACCGACAAATATTCAGATCTTCTTTCCGAGGATCGTGTTTGAAACTCACTCGTCTACGTACTGTAATTCATCATCGATGATAGACCGCGTTTTATTTACGCACTGGCGGGAGGTTTAAAGCTACAAAAATCATCGGGAATATACAGGTGTGACACGTACCTATGACTTTTTTTTTTCTTTTTTTCTTTTTTTTTTTGTTTTGCTCGTTACGTCTCGCAACGAAAGAACACAGTGTCTATGTACATTTTACAACAAAGTTTACGACGAAGTGAAGCGAGGAGTCGATTAATCCCCTCCGCTTGAAAGTTCGAACGTTTCGCATAAATACTTAGAGTCTAGCAATTAACGACAACTCTTTCTTTCTCCTCCCTTCTTTCTTCTTCTCGTTTTAAAATTATTTTAAAGCAACAAGGGCGTTCGAGAACACTCTCGGGGTGTGTTTGTCACGCACACAAGTGGCGTAGAGATACCCATTGCCAGTATCGGCCACCAAGTGTTCTCTCGCTCGCTTGGAACGGCTTCGAATCTCGAAGTTGGCATAATAAACAGTGTCGCAGGAACGGCTTGCTCGCCTTACATGTACACGATCGTACGAATTACATTAATGGACGTCACAATGAAAGTTGTGTTAGTTAGTACACGTCGGTGCAAAAAATGCGTATCTGTGTGTTATTTATCGCTTCTTCGCGTATCCTCGTTTACACCGATTACATAATAGTATACAGTATACCACAGTATTCGTTTAGAATGTGTATGCGTCGTGTCTGTGTCTGTGTCTGTGTCTGTGTCTGTGTCTGTGTCTGTGTCTGTGTCTGTGTCTGTGTCTGTGTCTGTGTCTGTGTGTGTGTGTGTGTGCACAGATTATACAAACGTGGTAGAAAGATTTATCGCTAGAAACTTAATTACAAATTCGAAAGAGTTAAAGAGGCTCGAGATCATACACGAAAAGTGTACGTTTATCCGTGTATACGGTACGTATGTATATGTATATATGTATGTATGCACGTATATGTACATAGATTAATGACGATTGAACGATGATCCGATACGGTTTGTACTTGCACGCGGCAAATAGGTATATAATATGATGTTTCAACGTCACATGGTAAGAACGCGTGTTTCCGTTTTCTTGCTGAGAAAATGGAAAGAAAAAAACTATGGTGGGGGGAGGGAGGGAGGGAGGGAGGGAGAGGAGGAAAGAAACGCATTTTTTGCCGACACGCAAGAGATACGGTCAAACAGGATGGAATTATTTAAGAATGTTTTTTTACGTCGGGAACGACTGAAAAACGAAAAATTGAAATTGTAATTCCACAATCTCTCTGCCAAAGGGATCTTTTTCTTAATCTGTAGCACGCACTTTTGAAAATTCTTTCGCAGTTGGTCGAGATTTTATCCAGAGAAAAAACACCGAGTGTACAAGTAGCAATCGTACGCGCGTATGTATGTAGATAATACGTGCGCGTTTGCTTTTTTTTTTTTTTTTCTTTAGATCAAAAATGATCAAAAATACGAAACAACAAAGATGTACATAAGTGTATATATATATATATATATATATAGGTACTTTTGGACATGTCTTAAGCGGCGACAGGCCTAAACACGAGCTGCATAGTCCTCGATCAATGCAACATCACCGAACGAAGAGATTACAATGACCACAGAGATAGCTGGTACAGTAGTCCCCACTTAAGCGTCCGTCACTGTTCCCATCAATTCCTGGAATTGGGATCGTCTCACTCTAACGCTACCTTAGCGTGCAATGTGCCGAAGGTCGCGTGAAACTTGTACAATGCAAAGCGAGTGATACACCTTCACGGCTGCGGACGCTTAAGTGGGGAGGAGGCTACTACTGTAGCAGCTTTATCACGATCGGTTTATCGGAACGTGTCGGAATTGTATCCTCGTCTCTTTCGTTTTGAAACAACACGACACGTGATCTACGAGAACAAGTATCATCGTAAATTTCAACGAATATTAAACAGACGTGACGTCTTCTTTAATTTCGTTCGTTCGATTCGGACATGTCCAATGAATCGACAAAGACGCGCTACATATTGTGTACGAAACACAATTCACGTCACTGGATTGTAACGAAGATGAAACACAGATATTTCAATGTATACTTTTTATAGCTTTGTCGATCACTTTCTCGAGACGAGTTTCATCTAACGTTTCCACTGAATCTAAAGGAAAAGAAAAAGAAAAAAAAAAAGACAAATAAATAAACGAAAGATTTTAGAAACAGGAAATGTTTCGAAAAGATACGCGTTACGATCCAATAACTTTGAAGAGGAGACAATGGAACAGGCAATGTAGATATGTATGTACGTCGATATAATTTTGTGTGTACAGCGAATGAATAACTCTTTAGTCCCACGTGTTGTACCTCTCGACATCGTATCCGGTATTAATTGAAACTCGTTCTCTATAAAATTTCCTTCCTCCTTATGGTTAACATGTGTACCGCGCGTGCGTTAGAAAAATATTTCACTATCAATTATATACCTATTATGTATTTTTGCGCTTCTCAAAATATGGCACTTCCTTGAAACGTATAATGTAACGTGATGTGATGTGATGTGATGTGATGTGATTCTTGTGCAGGAAGTAAGTGTAGATCGCAGATTGCGGGTCAATCGATTTTACGTTCGAAGAAAGTAAATTTCGCCAGTTGCGGGGGGAAAGGGCAATCGTCGTGCAACTTTGCGAGTTAAAAGTTGAAATGAATGTTAAAAGGAAATGTTAAAAGCGTTTCGAACGTGTGACCTTCGGGCAAAGAACTCGTGATAAATGTAAATTACAGAGATCTGCCTGTACAAGCTCAATTAAAATTGGGCTTAATAACAAACCAATGCGTACGTGTTGGAAACAACAATTTACAAACACGTGCGAATTCGACAATTCTTTTCACGCAGATTTAAACGTAATCTTCACGTAGTATCAGACGTTCAAATCTCTTCGTAACATCCCTGAGCGTTTTATTACGCTTCCCTCTCTAAACTCTGCTGCGCTCAACATTCTCAACGCTTATCTACGTTTAACCTCTTGCGCTAGTAACTTGGTTTACTAGTCGCGGACCATAACGAGTGACCAAACCGTATAAAATAATTTTCCGTTTTCTGTTTTGAACTCGTCGGTATGATATCACTGGACAGAAATTACTAAGAAGCAATGAATTTATTATTTGTTTCGCCTAGATTATATTTCAATATACTTAAAACTGAGGAAAATATTGCAATTTTGGGCCAAATATTCTCGACGTGCGTGGGCACGTCATTCCAGCGCAAGAGGTTAGTCCAGAAAAAGAAAAAAAGAAACAACTGTCGTGATGTGAGTGAAAAAGAAGTTGTAAAAATTTTCGTCAAGTCTTGAAATAATATTAAAAGGGCGTTAGTATTCTGCGATAAAGTAATCTTAAATAGTATCGTTCACAAAAAAATATATATCGCTATCAGTATCGATAATATCGTTATCGTTATTATTACTATCGTTATCATTATTATTATTATCATTATCATTATCATTATCATTATTATTATCATTATTTTTCTAACAAATTACCAAATTTCAAAATTTACTTAACTCATCTTTCAATCATTGGATCGATTCGATTCGCACACGGCTCGAGCGGCGTTTAAATAAAAATACTGCCAAATAGAAAAAAAACCAAGTAAAATGTATTCTATGGGAAACATCATATCATATCATATCATATAATATATCATATCATATATATCATTATGCTGATACACTGAAACATAACCACAACGCGTTTACAATATTTTCGCGCGCACAAGTGTGTCGTGTACATACGTGTGTATACGCTGTCGAATGTTTTTTGCGTGTGTAGTAGTATTGGTGTAGACACGATGAGAGAGAGAGAGAGAGAGAGAGAGAGAGAGAGAGAAAAGTTTTGTGATGTGCACAGAGACCCAGAGTTTAAAATATGTATAATGATCTCTCAGACAATATGCAACTGGTTATACTGACCGAGCAATAGGCGCGGATGGTCGTCTATGAACGTAATAGTAATAATAATAATAATAATAATAACAATAATAATAATATAATATTAATATTATTTTTATTATTATTATTATTAATATTAATTAAAATTATAACGACAATAATAACAATCGTATTAATAATAATGATGATAATAACGATGATATAGCAGTAGCAATAGTACGAATAGTAATGATTGTGGTAACAGTAGTTAATAGTTTATAGTAATAGCAAAGAGTAGTGTGACCGTTATGACCGATGAATGATGGATCTTGATAAGGATTCACGATGATTATTATTATTATTTGTATAGTATATTGACAATAATATAACATGTAACAACGACCGGATATGTCGAGCACCAAAGAAATTACGCGTAATCTATCTATCGTTACGTTCAAATCGGGCAGTTGCGAGCACTTTCAAACAAACGTGTGATTCCGTCTTCTCTGCGTTACAATAAGGTAAACGAGAAGGTAATATTGGGAATATCGACGATTCGAATAATTTTTTTTCTTTTTCCGTCGACAGTTTGACCACCACGGTGGCCGCTGTCGCTGAATGGCGCCCGTTTCAAACTGAAACACAAGGCAAACATCGCGAACATTGCAGAAAAATCCATTGACTCGCGAAAGTAACAAAATGAAAAATGCTCTGTCCTGGACACGTTCGTGGTAACGCGATGTTTTGTTTGTTAAAATTAAATAGGGACATTTAACCCTCCGCCTGCTGTGTCGGAGTCATAGTTTTGAGTCGGATGTCTGTCACTGTGTTAGTACAATATCGGTGAGGACCTCGGTCTCGAGCGACCGTTACACTCTGTACAGTACGACCCTAAATATGTATTAGTGGGATATTCGTGTGAGTCAGAAATGACTCCAGCACTGGACTGCTGAGGTTCAGTAGTCGCAGGGTTAAATGTATGCTACGTACATATATATATATATATATATATACACACACACAGGGACATTTAAATTTCGCGTGGCCGGATAACCTTTTGACTAGCTGTTAACAAAAATTCTACTTGTTAAAAGAAAGGTAAAGGTTTACATCCAAATTCGTTTCGTGTAGTTCAACGAGAAAGTGAACATTGGAAAAACTTCGAGAGGAGAAGAAAGTGACTCGCGCGTGCTCGATTTTCACGCGACAACAACTGCCAGTACCATTTCTACTCATTTTGTCAGGCATGTCCGTTATTGTGATCATCCTTAGAGTGTGACGTTTCTCAACCGTGCATTACCATTAACGAACAAACAAGCCTTGTCCTTCGTACGATAAGATCGGATCGCCCCGCAAGTTTCATGGACAAACAACCATCTTGGCAATCAACGTGACGAGAGTGACGAATTACAATTACAGTTACAGTTACAGTTACAGTTACAGTTACAGTTACAGTTACAGTTACAGATTCGGTTACAGTTACAATTACAGTTACAGTTATAATTATATAATTACAATTACGAGCCTTCGATAGTCCAAGAATATCGCCAGAAAAAAAGAACGGATAGAAAGAACGTAAAGGGCAAGGGAAGTGGATCGAATATAAATAAAAACGAAGAAACGACAACGGGATACGCAAATCGAGAAGAGATGATCGATTTCTCTGTCGGTGAGAAACGTTGACGACATGACGACGCTATTTATCAATTGTTTAGGGTGAAAAAAAAGAAAAAGAAAAAAAGTAATAAAAAAAGAGAAAAAAAGATCACTTTCCCCTCCTTGCCTTTGCAGATTTATCGCTGGCTACTTAATCGCACAAATACTATGATACGCCGTAATATATTTTCTCTGGTTTCTGTTTTTTCTTTTTTTCCTGCGTTTGTCTGTTTAATAATAATAATAATAATAATAATAATAATAATAATAATAATAATAATAATAATAATAATAATAACAATAATAATAATAATAATAATATCTATTACGTTACGTTATTCGGTTACTTTTTTTTTTTTCTTTTTAACTGCGGTATAATTACATGTACAGTGGTTGTTATTTCTTTCTATTGTTGAAAAATCCTTTATACATTTCTTTCCTCTTTCTCTTTTTCTCGCTCTTCGAATGGGCCGCTCTCTCTTTCTTTCTATCTTTGCTTATTGGTTTTGTTTGTCAACAGTACAACGTAAACGATTTTCATTTTTCTTCAGTTGTCTCTTTATGTGTGTATATATATATATATATATATATCGTACAAATAATAGTATATCGTTACGTAATAATATTTAAAATGTATGTTAATAATAACCATACACGCGAATCCCGTGCGTCTCGAAACTATCGATCGATCGATCGATCGATCGACCAGTTCAAACACCGTAAGAAGAAACCTCTTGGATCATCTATATATATATACACACACACACACACACGTTTTTTATTTTTCCATTTTTTAACAACGTTTCTCTTTTTTTATTATTTACCAAAAGAGAAAAAAAACGACGTCGAAAAAAAGAAAGGATCGTCATCAATCGGAGGATGAGTTTCGACGACAGACATACGGCCGCTGATTAACAATAAAACGGCGGTATTCTTGAGTTTTATATCATTAAAAATGTGATGCTATGTGGCTTTACAGATATGTTCAGTATTTCTTTTTTTTCAAATTTTTATCTTTACATACGTGTATATATATATATATACACATATATGTTTTATATATATTAGATTCACTTTTACTCTGCAGTGAAAACAGTTGTGGCTAGTACATTTATATATATATATATATATCTTCGTAATATTAATTATAGTTCGGCTTTCCTTCCCTTCTAACGCCATTTTTTTTTCTCGTCACCCTATTTTTTCTTCCTTTTTCTTCCTTAAGCGATCGCTTCGCCGTACTACTTCATTCATTCGAAAAACTGGTATTTGTGCCGTGCATCAAGTTCTCGACCATTGTTGTACATTTATACATTATACGTACACGTCAGTTTCACGTTTCTACCTGTACTCGGATTTTCAAGCCGAAATTGCAACATCGATTTCGATTCGGATACTCGATTCGATTTTTCGCGATCGATCCGCGAACGACGGTCAGAAAGTAGCAAAATATGTACTTCGAGATAGTTCGAAATCGTACGAATATGGGAACAGAGAGAAAAACTGTTGAACTTTCGAGATATTTTCAACTTTTTTTTTTTTTTCTTTTTAATTCTCCTAGCAGTATCGTTATTTTGTGATAGTCGTGATTAACAGTTAAGCTCGGTAGCGTTACAAAATATCAGCTAGTTTTGCTACGTGGTAATTCTACGAGAAACGCTAGGAAAAATTTACTCTTCACTTGATGATCCTCGAGTTTTTTTTTTTTTTTTCTTTTCTATCTCGTTTTCATCTCTTTTCCTTTCGCGAGCCACAAATAAATAACTTGTCGAGGAATAAATCCTATCTCCTATTCGACGAGAAGATCCAACACGCGTAATTCTTTCACTTTTACAATGTCGATATAAATCGATCGCGCAATATCTCGCGAAATGTCAAATAAAACTGATCACTTGTTCGAGAAAATCGATTTGGTTCCCAACAGTTCACAACGATTCGTTTTTAAAGGCACGCAAGGTTAATAAATCGATTCGTCAACTAAATTCTTTTTATATATATTTACAACACTTTTCTTGTCACGTGTGTATCTGTATATATATATATATATATGTTTTTTTTTTTTTTTTTTTACACTCTAACAAAACATTGAAGTTTCAGAGATATTCAAACGCGTGGAACAACCTCGAATGTCTTGACTGGGAGAGTCATCAAAATCGCTTTGATGCTTTCACAGTCCACTGCGACGTAACAATAGCGCCACCACGGTGAAACACATTTCAAAACGAAAATTTCGAATATTTAGACCTCCCTCGGTACATACGTATGTACAAAATATCCGTGTTCAAACCGATTGATTAATTTTCCAATCGTTTAACATTCGACTATCCAGAATTGCACGGAATTTATCGTCTTTTACTTCAAAGAGCAAGAGGAAGTTGTGAAAAAGAAAAGAAAAAAGACACAGGGAAAAAAATCGAAGCGAGCATCCATTCAAGTTTCACACGTGACCAATAAAAACATGGTTTTCTCAATAACGGTCTTGTCCCAACAACTTTGCTCCCGTACAAAAAAGGCTTTAATTCTGTTTCTCTACATTTTTTTTCTTTTTTGTCTTCTTTTTATACTTTTTTCTTTTTTTTCATTTTTTTTTTTTTTTTCGTTAACTCCTTTGTATGTCCTATAATTTAATGCATACGACAACATTTTTTTTTTAAATGATGGTCCATTTCGTTTCACAGCGTTTCCAATAACTTCGATAATAGTCTCTGAGTTCTCAACTACTATATAATAAAGCCGACGCTTTTTACACACATTTTTGCGATCGAATATTTTTCCGTTCGACGCTCGCGCGCTGCAGCAGGCACAACCGTTCCACTAATATCGGAGGAGAGGTTAGAAATTATTCCACTTGAATTAATTCGATCGATCCAACTTAGACGATGGTTGTGAACTCCCTCAAAGAGTAAATCGAGCAATGATAAAAACCACTTTTTATCTTTCTCTGTTACGATAATATATTGGCAAACATCAATTATATAACGTTATATATAATATGTATATATAACACTTAACAGATAAGTAAATAATCTTTCAACACGTTTTAGAATCGATGTAACAGCTTAACAAGAGGACCAAACCATCTAAAATGATATTAGACTCCATATATTGATTTCTCGGTTGTGCCACAAAACAAGATAGATACAGACTGAATTTGCTCGCGTGTATTCGAGTGTAACTTACACATACGCTTCTTCATCGTCATATTAAAAATATACATTAAAATGGTACGCACAATCGTGTCGTTAACGTACACCATTTAACAATTTCCCTACCTTAAGAGATACCACTACGTATTCCTTACTTTTTTTTTTTTTTTCACGTGGATTGTGTCTTACAATAAAATAGATCGGTAAGCAAATCGTAATCCTTGCCCCGTTGTATGAGACCATGAGTACTGGTGGATCTAGTTAGAACGATTATTCTCAGGCAATCTGGCGTTAAAAATACGTCTAACAATCGGCATTTAAAATGTAAAAGAATGCATATTACGTGCTTCACAACTCTGTATAAATCATTGAGATCGCAACAACAACAGTTTGAATTTTAGATTTTGTGCACTGAGCGAGGAAACTGAATCTTACATGGATTCACGATACGTACATATTTTTTTCCATAAGTTTGAGATTAATAAATTAATTTCTTTATTTTATATCTATTTGACATACTGAAATATGAAATAAAGAAAGATTTTTGTTTCAATCGAGAAGAACGCCCATATTTCATCCTTTTGAAATACAAATACAAACGTATTCGACTTGATTTCTCAAACTTATGATCAATACTAGTTGCCTCTTGTGCCAAACTTTCTTGTTGAATCTGTGTGAGACTCTAACCATCTAAATATTATTATTTAAAAGTTTGTGCAAATTGCTTTGTCTTGTACAAACAAATGAAGCACGTAATAACGTTGAAATCCTTTGAGACACTGCCGAGAAATGGTCTTGCAATATTAAGTAAATGAGAGATAACACAATTCAGATGTAATGTAATTGTATCATTCAATGCGATCCACCTGTAGCGACTTAAGAATCAGAACCAATGTAATTGTATCGCAGATTATCTTCCAAGGATTTACTTCAGGCATTTACACTCAAGTTCAGATATATATATATAATATATATATATATATATATATATATATATATATATATATATTATAAATTTTGTGTCAATAGGAAAATGTTTAATAACTAGTGGAGACATATATATATATATATGTACATATATACATACATACATACATACATGCATATATATATATGTATATATATATTTTGTTTTTTTAATACATTAAATCTTACTTTTTTCGTTATGAAAAATAACAATTTCTTTATATTTTTTTTTCTTTGATAAAAAAGTGTGTTGGCTAAGAGATTGCACTTTGTGATCATCTTAAAAATTTGTGATTATAATCATTAGTGACTACATAATATATCTTATGTTTCGCACACCGATTGTTCGTACAGTCATTAGATACGTTTCTAATTATAACGTTAGTAAAGAAACAAATTAATCTCTTCTTCCTTTTCCTTCTTTAACGTACGCATAATATAATCTTCTTGGTTACGATATAACCAAGACTGACTTGCCAGGTTGTCGACTCACCGGCAGCAGAACGTTGCAAAACAAAGTCTACAATTCCACTAATGTACGTAACATGGACAACCTTACTACTCTTTCACTCTCTCTCTATTCTCCTTTTTTTCTTTTTACTCACTCTATTCAACATTGTTTCATTTTACTATTCTTAAATTCACTCTTTTGTATCTCTCGAATACGATACACACTTTCCTTTATCTGTGACTTGTCGACGAGTCACTTTGTGCAGACAACGTGAACAAGTCAACCTGAAAGAGGGCCACAAATGGTGCCAGGCACTATTTAATCATATACCGTTTGTGTGTTCCATTAATTATGTTAATTAATTACAGTAATGTACCAAATACGATTCTCTTGAGAGCAGCTCACACCAGGACATATCCTGAGATTGAGTAAAGCATAGGCTGAGACCATCCCGAAAACGGTTTAACTTAGGAAGAAGACTTTTTGTTATTTTATAATTGCAACCCTATCATGCCAACTAATTATGGATTCCACTAATAAAGCATTTTACATCATGGTGTACTATATATAATAAATATTCTTTCTCTATACTTTATATTAAATTTAAACGTGTATTCCACTGATGTAGAAAAATTGTGTGCAATGAATATTTGGCTTAAATGCTGTTTAAATAAATTTCCTAATTTTCATAGATTAGTTGAAGGTAAACGCTTGCAGAAATTTACAAGCTCTCGTTGTGTATGACTTAGGCGTTAAGGGTTGCAAAGTTTCTTCCTTTCGTGTCACCTTTTTATTTTTTTCTTCATATCAAATGTGCAAAATACTTGTGGAAAATGTATATAACGTATGTATATATGTATACATATGCAAGTTCGTGTGTATATACCTTTCTTTTCTGTCTGAATAATCAACGCTATATTAGATGCTTATTTCACATATAATATGTATAATATCTCGTCTATTACCTTATAATAATCAATATATTAATTTCCGATCGCGTTTCTTTTTTTTTCTCTCTCTCTACACAATATCGTAATTATTTTGAGTACACCAGCCGATTAATCATTCGATACTTTTTTTTCTTTTTTTTTATTAGCGGACATAGACCGTTAATTAGTTCGCTAAGAAAAAGGATGAAAGAAAAAGAGGAAAAAGAAATTCCACTACAGTTTAAAAACAAGCCAACGCATACCTAAAAAGATTTAACGTCAAAACGAAAATTCGAAATAATCTAAGACACATGTGAGTGCACATTTTCTAACAAAATGTTCGTACGATTTCTCGATCATTTATAAAACAATAGTATTTTTTTTTTTTTTTTTTTTTTTTTTGAATAAAGGAAAGAGATATTGTAATTACAAAAAAAAGAAAGAAAAAGAAAAAGAAAAAAATGTAAAATTACAATTTATATACTAATCAAATATCATTATTTTCTGACTAGGAATTCAATTAAGAGAGAAATTATGTTCATTGCTCTCGATACACATTATGTGAAACCATCAATTAACGGATTATGCCGCGGACTTGCTTATCTACCATTATAACGCACAAAAAAAAAAAAAAAACAAGTAACAAAGTACAATTATTTGAAAATCTCTAAACTGCAAAATTATTAAACGTTCTCGCAAGCTCTTAAAAATTCGGTTGTCGATTCACTTTATTATTTCCCGAAATATCGTGCTCCTGATTCACATCATTTCTCAACACCAACCTTAAACGTACTGCCATTTCCTTTCTTAACTCGGAAAGCGATAAATCTTCGCCATTAGCGACAAGTATCAAAGACACAATATGCCATATCACGAGGAAAATGACAATGAATTAATGACATATATACAAACAACTTTCGCATTATATACATGAAAATATATATACATATACATACATATATGCATGTCTATACACATATATATATATGTATATGTGTGTGTATCCATCATATATATATAATATAATATATATATACGTGTAACGCTTCAACATTATGGCACCGTTATTTAATTGTCAAACAAACGTATTTTTTTTTTATATATACGTGTATATATGTATGTGTGTATGTGTACGTGTATTTCTGGGCTTTTTTTTTTTTTTTTTTTTTTAAATAGAAACAAATTTGTGTTCTCTGTCCAGCTAAAGTCGGACTCCTCGCGAGGATCGTTCTTTGTTTTCACGCGCGCACCCGATCACAAGAAGAGAGGGGAGGAAGGAAAAAAAATAAAAAGAAAGAACCGTGGCCGAACGTGTGTATAATAATTAACGAGTCTTCGACTTCGAGTCCCGGAACTTTTCACAAAAGCACTATACGCCGTTATACGTAGAGGTATGAAACGATCGAGCGATTAACCATTACGATTGATATTAAGTCGCCCACCCCTCAGTGATCCTGGAACGCTTCATCAGCGGTCCGTTCTCATAGTCTGAGTTGTTGCCCCCGTTTCCACCGGCGTTCGAGTGACTCGTTCGGATATCTGCCACTGTGCCGCTTCCTGGTGACGGAAGATTTGTCGGTGTTATACTTCCAGAGTGAGATGGCGGTGGATTACTGCTCGGTCTGCTCGATACAAGATTCAATGACTGTGGCCCGGGATGAGGTACGTGGTGTGGAGGTGGTGCACCGGTACTGGACGATGGTCCTACGTTTAAAGTTGTATGATGAAGATTGCTGGTGGTCGGCCCGCTGCTGTTTGACCCACTGTTGCCACCGTGAGGATCTCTAGGTGGACTGATCGGTTCACTCTTTATTTTCACCGGTAGTGGCGACGTGGCTGGCGGCGGTGTACTGCTCGACACTGCTAGATGAGGAAGACCACTGTAATCAAACAAGGTTGAACGAATGTTAGATTCGATTACAAAAATTTCAACAGTTTACTCCATGCTTTCGATGAAAGTATGTTAGTTAAAGTTGTAAGACAGTTGTAAACTGTGTACAGTGACTAAACTGAAAATAAATCAAGACGTAAACTGTATACAATGACTAAGTTGAAGATAAGCAATTGCCAAAGATAAATGAAAAGTTAACTACAATGTATGTAAATGAATTGCAGTCCTCGTGTATTTTTTTAAATTAACGTTCTTTTATCATATTTTAGATTTGCCAACGCACGTTGATTGTTACAAGCTTTTTACCAGTGTAACAAAAAGCAGTGAGTAAAACAATGAGCTAGTTTGAACAGTCAAGCTGACAAATTGATTAAAATGTTTTTGTTTCAAACTCTTGTCTCTTCAACTCGAAGAGGTTTAATTAAATTAATGCGAGAATAGTCTTAGTTATATTGAAATGGATGAATAAGCGTGGATTAAAGTTTAAACGGATGGAAAAGAACTTTAAATCGTGATGGAATATTGATGTGATATAGTGGTATGCTACAAACTCCTATCCAAATAAGAAAAAAAACTATAGATCTTCAGTGGACGTTGTTTTGTTATTTTTATCGCCGATTCAAACAAATACTGGAAGATACTGGAGTGACTTGTTGGAACAAGTAAAAAGAAAAACTATACCAACTGGATATATAGGTTTTTTTTTCACAACAATAATTATGGAATATGATTTACCTGATGCTGGACATGGTGGCTGCCGAATACATTGATAAGTCATCAACGTACCTCTGATGAGACCATGCTAGACTCCCTAGATCCGAGGAATAATCCGTTGGTCCAAAACTAGAGTATCCGGCTGGAACTGACGGTGTTTGTAGTGCTACTACTGGCGTATTTAATGCGGATTGTGCATGGCCACTCTGTATATCAGAGAAAAAAAAAAAGTCAACGATAAACTAAAATGAAATATCGGTTCAACTAGTTTAGGGTTATCCAAAATATAATGAAACTGCGCGCAGTTATAATTGGACTACTAAGTCTTCTAGAAAATTTTTACAAAAAATTCTAAATTACATCCGAAAAACGAAACAAAGTTACAAATGACACAGTACAGTATTAATAAAAATCCGGAATTTGAATTTTCATAATCCCTTTCAGATCAGAGTTGAGATCCCAGATTAAGAGAAACAAAAGTTTTTGCAACTTCGTTGCGAAAAGTTAACAACGCAGAAAGTACTCGACGCAGTAGAAGAGAAACGTAAAGCGGTAAAGTTAAAATGACTCGGTTCTCTAAATTCGAAATAAAATTTTGAATGCACTGGATAAAATGCATTGAAGTAAAGCACGGTGCGTACTAACATCGTAACTAGTGTCTTCGGAGAGAGGTTGCGTAAGGGGTGTTGGAATAACTACTCGAAGATTAGTCCTGTGAGGATGAGGTGGCGGTGGAGGAGGCGGAGGTTGTGGTGAATGCCTAGACGGATTACTGCCTTTGTTTGCGCTGCCTCCTCCGACTCCTAGCGCCGGCGAAGGACCTGGACTAGGTGAACCTCCTAGTGGTGATGCTGATGGTGGATAACCATTACTCATTTCCAACATCCCTCCTGGTGGATATACTAAATAAAAGAAGGGGAAAAAAAAACAATGAAATTAACTCGCATTGTCTTAATGGGGACTAGTACAGAATTGTATCAATCTACTAACGATTTATTATATCAACCTACTGTATTATTCCGTAATAATGATCATTAACGTGTTAATATTTTAAAATTACTTTTGCATATTATGAATTATGATTTTACAAATTGATACCTGAGTCTGTTTCAGAAGATGACGGTCTTGGAGAAATGCTGGTATGCGCCATTTGAGGACTAGATCCAAGTAGAGATTCGCCGTAACTATTCACTGGTACGGATACAGGTAGAGTGTAATTGGATTGTCCCATTGCCTGAAATCGCAGTAAATCAACGACGACATTATTAATAGAATGTTCACCAATGACGGGCTTCAAGAGTATTGGCAAATTCTGATAAGATCTTCATTTCGAGACTACATCTTCATTACGCCCTTGCCCATTTCCGCTAGATAAAATTCAACAGCAAAAATAAAAAGAAATATAATATGTACATTCATGAGATACTCGGCTAAACAAAGTAAACACACACACACATAAAAAAAAAAAAAGAGAAAAAGAAAATTCGTTTTCATCATTTGTATAGATAGATAGAAAATATACATATACGTGAAATTTATTTCTATTAACAAGATTTCTACAAAAAGTTAAATAAAAGTGTCATATTTATGTAATTTTCAGATATATGTATATTCATATAAAAAATATTAAAAAAGGAAAGAAGAAATAAGGACACCTCAACCATATTTTTACATTCATGTTAAAGACTATGAACAAGATTGAATCTTTTCACAGTTATACAATATCCAAGGTTTCTTAAATTCTTAAGACGCTCTATTGCTTACTCTGCTTGCCAAAATAATTATGAGTGCCACCTTAACTATTGCCAGCTGAAGCTCGATACAGTGTATAGCGCATACAATAGTAGTTCCAGTAAACGAAAATAAAAATAAATTAACAACTGACCAGGGATACACGAGTACAGCCTACAGTATTTAAATGCCTGCCAATGGCATGGCTTAAAAGTAAACTTACGGGCACATGTTGCGATAATAAATTAAACGAATTAAATAGAACCGCGTCACTGACAACAAATTGCTTGATGGCAGTTTGTTAAAAGCTAATAAATATAATCAGGAGGACTAACTGACAACAAATTGCTTCGAGTCATGTGAAAACTCCGGACTGGAGGTTCCCAAAGTGAAAAACCAGGAGGACGTCCCATTGTAAATTTAAGTCGCTTAAATTTGCCAAACTGACAAAGAAGAAGAACGAACCATTATATCGTAAATTTGTTGTAGAAAATGTTTAGCAGTTACTCGAAGAATATTTCTTCCTTAAAGTCATCGTTAAGATTGATCAAATTCTAGAAAGATGAAGTTATACACATAGGTCAAATTCATGCTTGTGTGATAATTTAAGTGATTTTAAAACATAAATGTATGTTGTACAAATATTCAGAGAGTATATTAATCACATCTTTGAAAAATGTATATGTATTGTCATTTTATTAGTTTCAATCATAATTTAAATATGAGCATAAAATGAAATCTAATTTTTGTCCTGAAATTTTTTTAGCTTATAAAGGAATTAGACTTGATCCAGAGTCAAAAATCTCTATAATTTTATATATATTTTGTATTTGTATATTAAAATGATTAATTGGAGTAGAAAGTAGTATTTTGAATTAAAGTCAAATGTAGTTTTTGAAAATCTTGAACTATACAATTCCAACAATATCTCTCTACACAAAAAAAATTCCTAGAATCTAAATTATTTGAACAATAAATATTTCAATAACAACTCACAATAGTGAATAACAGAGTTCTCAATTTTCTATACTATCTCTATCATTTAGTGGCAATGTACACACTTAAAGTGTACCACAAATGTCATATGGCACATGTAATAAAGTAGAATAGAAATACAATTTCTTCATATACAGAAGAAAGAAAATCCCTAGCACCTCGAGTATTCTAACAACAAAAATTTCAACAATTTGAAATGAATTTCAAACACACGTAATATTTGACATATTAATATCTCAAACAATATATTCTTTACATCAATCCTCTACACCATCAAATTCTAACCAACCAACCAAATTAACCAAGTATTTATAGCAAATGCCAATTTGATAGATGTAAGATGTAAAATGTAGAGGAATAACAATTTCTCCATGTACAACGGGGGAAAAAAGTCCCTAGAATTCAAATACTCCACCAACAGTAATCTCAACAATCCCAGTTCAATGTCAATCATGTCCCACGTACCAATTCCCAATGTTCTACACCATCAAATTCTACAAAACAAAAATCAAAAATTCCGAGCAACGCTGTACGCCTAAAATGCCCAAGATCGACAATACCTATCACCGACGAACCGTCGTTGCGAGAGAGAGATCCACGCAATTTTTCCTGCCGTCCGAGGTACATCATATTCTCCTGGCCGGGACTTTTTCTCTTTCTCCCCCGTCTGTCCTCTCGACGTCAGTCGGCCGTCGAATAACATCGAACGACGACCTCCACTTACCCGAGTGCCGTTATGTTGGTGCCTCTGCATCATCAGTTGAAACTCCTCGTCGATCTTCGTGTATTTGGCTTCGGTGCGCGGAGTGAGATTGTACTCGATCGCGTCAGGCTCCGGACTTTCCGGGGACATGGCGCCCTTATGTTCCTTCTTGTTGAGTGCCTGCAAGTGTCAGCAGACAGGTTCACGTGACCACACCGCCCGAGGGCACTCAACCTTCGCATGCACGTTAATTTAACCGCCTAACGTCACACATACGCATATACATATACATATACATATACATACACGACACACAGTCGACCAATCTCTCTCTTAGTTATTTCTCCATCTCTCTGCTCTTACGTATACAGTTTCGACGTATTGGTTATTCGTGTGTGTACTTTTACCATTTGCATAGTAAATAATGTTACGTATGCATTTATATTTATGGGTGTGTACGAGAGGAAGGAGGGAGAGGAGGTATCGCGTGTCACGCGACACGATGATTGACGATGGATTCGTGTGGAGGATCCATGAACGACCCTGACCATTATTATGCTTGAAACAATTAGGGGACTGGGTTAGGGAGCCGATGGATTAAACGATGCTTTAAGGGTTGCGATCGTTTTAAGTCAGGTGTCTTACATACTTAATTATTTAATAAATAATTATTTTATCACGCTACAATTAATTTTGTTAGCTTCATTAGACTGCACACGTATTACTCAATTTATATTTTTGAAAAACATTGAAGAATTTTCAACGGAGTTTACAAGGTCGAATTTTTTTTCTCAAATTTTTTTCAAAGAATTAAAGAAGTAATAAATTGAATAAAAAATTATTAATTTGGGAAAAAAATCCTGTAAATGTTTCAAACATAATACATTATAAAATTATAATTCTTCTACAAGAAGTTGAATATATAACAAGTTTAATCTACGTAATCTGTCCGGTATTATTTTCTACTCACCATATCAATTTAAATATTGCAACAAGATTTAATGTATAATTTATATTGACACAATTATTCTCTTCCAATCGATTGGACATGCTTTTACTACTAACTGTTATCGCTGATATACTTGAAAATATAAGAAAAATGCATGTGTCTTCATTCTACAAAATTGAACTAGTTTTTATATTTTATATATATAAGTATAAAATACTGTATGCAATTTTTTATATCACAAACAAATATGTTGTCATTACTACAAATAATAAAATAAAGCCAAGAAAGTAACCAAAAAGAGTACGTAAGAAATATCAATATATCCTAAATCAATATACCAGTATCGGACACATAACCTTAATATTCATAATAATACAAAAGTACAGAAAAGACACAAAAAGAAGTGACCTCAAAATGAAAGTTTCTTGTACGGTAATTATTGTATCCAGTTATTTGTCTTAGATCGTTGAAAAATACACGTCTTTTTCCCCAAATATATTGAACAATACACGCAGTAGAACCAAGCTTTACTAATGTACCACCGTGTATATCACCGGTGAAAAAGAAGGCGCGCAAGAAACAAGAGAAACTTGTAACGCCGCGCATGTAGATTTGCCACATAATTTCGATGATCGGCAAACTTGAAAAAGTTAATAACCAATGATGATACGCAAGAGAATTTTTTTTCACTGTGAAATCTCTCATTTACCGGTATATCAGCGATACTTCGAGTTATACTACCTGCCTTCCGGCTAATCCAGACACGACAACTTGTCGTGCTGGCAAAGCAGGTTATTTGAAAAGTATTGCCAATTCGATGCCGTATGAATTCCACGGTTTTTGAAGAATTCATAATAAAATAATTCAGTTCAATGATTATTGTAAATTTTCAAATCGACGAGAAGCAATATTTGTTTAATTTTTCTTTTTTTCACTTTATTTAGAGAATTTGAAAATTTGAAAATAAAAATTAGGGATCTCCGTGGAGTATTAGGCCTACTGTTACTAGGAGATTTTAAATACTAAAAAGTGTTACTTAGTACTAATTACTTACTGGTTTTAATTCTTTATAGTTCTTTTTCATACTGTTAAAATTATTCTTAAAAATCTTTAAACGCCTAAATGCTATTTATTTTGTGAAACAGAAATTTTTTTGCATAAGAAATAATTCTGATTAAAAAAACTTCTATCTAAAATAAAGAAAGCACATTCCCAAAATGAAACCCTAAATATTAATTCTTAAGCAAAAGCGAGAGCGAGAGAGAGAGAGAGATTAAATTAATTGAAAAACTCATTTTTAAACTAACCAACGTCCAATATATACAATTCAAAATGATCTTATTTTTCTTCTGCATATTTAAAACATTCTTTCTAGAGTACGCCTCTGTAACAACGTAGCAATGAAATAAATCATAGACTGTAGATAGTTGTCGTTAATAAAATGTTTTGGCTGTTACAACAGAAAATACGAGAGCAAATAATATATACAGCGGAGTATAGAATCTTCAAGATAATTATTATTACGGTCGCATAATTACACCGTATGATTTTTATTGATCGAGGGTAGTTTTCTGATTTTTTTTTCTTTTTTTTCTTATAAAATGCTTTCCAGTCTGTTCAACAGGCTCGGCTTGAATAACTTGAATGTTGTATACATAGTACCTTCTGGAACAGCCTAATCGACCTTGGAGATGCAGAGACGCGCTTCAGCATACTCCGACATATTATTTACATGAATGTGAGACAAGTCTTTCGGAAATGATACTCATTCGGATTTGAAACACGTTCACCTTAATTTTAAAGAAACGTTTCCATTATCTAGAATGAAACGTTATGAAAAACTTCACGAGGGACACACAATTCCAACTCGGAACTAGATCATAACAGTTTTTTCTTTTTTCTTTTTAGGGTAAGAACGTGTATGGTTATTTTATATCCATCGCAAATAATGTAAAAATGAGTTCTTCAATGTTTTAAAAAATATTAAAATACGTGTTCTTGACAATTGCAAAGATAAATAATTTAAAAGGCGTGCCAATTCTAATTTGTGACTTGCAAAATTTCACTGATATTGTGCAAAAAAGTCCAGACAATATATTCTCTGCAAAATGTATTACCAGTAATACATTTTCTCCATTACAAAAATTAAACTCACAAAATTTGTCCACGATATAGGAATCACCTATATATACACTTTAAACTACTCTATTCGTCAGTGAAAATTCTCTAGATGATAGTCATTCTTTTTTTCTACCAATCCATCGTCTATTTACATGTTCTCTAGATGGTGAAAATTCGGAGAGTAGCTTGAAAATCACTATGGAGAAATCGGCTCACCTCGATGATATTCTTGTTGGTGAGGGACTCGTGGGGTTCGTTGTACTCAGTGTACTTGAGAAGAACCTTGTCCATGTCGGTGCTCGCATACTGATACAGTTTGTTACTTGAACTGAAGATAATCAGGGCGATCTCGCAGTCGCACAGTACCGACAACTCGTATGCCTTCTTCATTACCCCAAACTTCCTTTTGTTGAAGGTCACCTGTTGGGGGGTCAATAGAAATCAATCATCTTGTTTGTTTCCGCCATCTTGAATTATTTGTTAATCAATCAAAGATAAACTTATAGTTAACTACTTCGATATATTCCATTATTGGTGAAATATCACGATAATATTTATATTTTATATTTTATGACAGACTAATTTTTAAATTCAATGCGCTGATGTTATAATATTTATATTATCATTCATGCTGCAATGTCTAGTAAGATCCTTCAAAGTGAAGTTTTGTTCCGAGCAATTGCCAACGTAATACGTTGAATGAATGATTATACAACATGTATTTTTCACAAAAAGTGATTTCAGCCTTAGTAGTTTTTTACGATTATTGCTTAGAATATAAAACATTCGACAGAATACAAACGATTAGAATATGTTATAATGGAATTATTATCAGTCTCGTTATATTATCGGCTATTTGTATCGACAAAAATTACAAAAAAACACACAAATTGCATTAGAAAAATAAACTCTAGTAGAAGAACTTTCGTTTCTTTTTTTTAATAGAAGATTATAGTTACCTGACGATTTCGTTCGTCCGTGATGCGCGAAATTTGAATCTTTTTTCGACCCATTGTTGCACGGCGTTGTGGAGATGGGACAATTCTTTGGAACCACTGGATGGATTAAAAGCACTGTAACAAAAAGAATACTCTTGTTTCATTTATACTTTTTATACAAAAATGAAATCTCAATAAATTGCATGTACATAAAAAAAAAAAAAAAACAATTTAATCTTTTGATGGAACGTACTTCTTCTGTAACATAACCTTTTACCTACTTTTGAAACACCTGCTATATAATGCTATATGCTCTTTAAATAATTTAATATTATGCCTGCTTATGCAGACACCTTCACTCCATCCCGAACAAAATATTTTAATTCTGAAGGAAACAAACCTTCAATACTGTATTGAGGTTATGTATAAGATATGAATGAATCGTTTGAAAATTGGGAAATTGAAGAAAAGAAGATACAAGAAAGAGTGGGAAAAAAAAACAATTCAGACAATGTATTTAACATACATTGGCCATAAAGATAACTATTTGAAAACGAATTACTAAACTAAAGTCAATGAAGCTCGCTCATTGGATAGAAATTTCTTGACAACCGAGGAAAAATGAAAAGAGAACATAACCCCCTAACGTCGAACAAAAATTCACCAGACAGATTTAAGTTTCGACGTTCTAACGATCGTCACGATGAAATTCAAGTTTGAAATGGCGGCAACTTTCGAACGGCGAACAAAAGGAACGCGATTTAACTGACGGTTTGGAAACAAAAAGCGCGCGGCTACCCATAGAAAACTAGAATGTACGCGGCTCGCGCGCGGCACGTATATCGCGCGATGCAGTTCGAAATGTGCGCGACAGAACTGGACCATGCGTTTCAAGTCTAATGGTGAAACGTATATAAAGCACGTGTTGTCGCGTTGGTGTATCGATTAACGTCGTCCGGCGAGCCAGTCAACTAACTTCGATGACACATTAAATTCGACGGAAAATAGCGGACATGTCTCGTTCGTGTTTCCTCCATTGACGCCAACTGAAGTTCCATTATCATTCGACTAACCTCACTTTCGATTATCGTTCCGTTACGCGGAAAGCATCGCTTGGCGGGAATTTCGAGCAACGTTACGCATGAAAGTTGCAAATATTATATTGCGTGCGCAAAAAATTCTTGTCTGAATTTTTGAAATTAAACTTAACGTCGTAAAATAGTATTTCACTATTCGTCAAGCATAAAAGGAAAGAACGGTGGAAGGATGAAAATGATAAAGTATAAATTTTTCGGTTAATTTACTTGAATCGAAATTAACCAAAACAGGCTAGCCTAATTTCGTTGTCCCGATGAAATCAGGATGGAATAAGATATAACGTGATTAATTACAACGTTACTGCCATTATTACGGGTAGTATGACGCGTAATGAACGATCGATCCCTTTCCATTTTATAGTTAACGTACGCAATAATCGACTTTGTCGCTTGAGTTTTCCTCAAAGTGTACAGATACATCGAGTTACGTGCCAATTAATAATGGCTAACGAGGGGACACCCATGAGCTCATTAAAACTGATATCATTTGGGGAAATTTTCATTGGCACTGACATTTTTAGAATTATCTATCTGAATTTTTTCCTTTCAATGCTCGCTCCCACGTTTCAATCAACAAGTAAGAATATCTTCTTCTTTTTTTTTTTCCTAACTTGGTTTGGAGTTTAAATTATTTTCTTTTTAAAATTCCTCGTTAACGAAAATAGAAAATCATCACCGAGTATAAATTGCAATTTCAATTTCAATTGCACGATTCGATTGAATTTGAAGTCAAAGTATCCCAGTCAAGTTGATTTAAAAAAAAAATTTTTACACATTTTTTTTTTTTTTTAATTAAATCCATTGAGAAGAAGTTGCATGAAAATTTTAGAAACCAGAATGATTTGTCAATTGACATAACCGACGTTCGAATGAATCTGTAGAAACAATTTGCAATGTTCTCAGACTGAGGTGAATTGTAAGAATAATACAACTAATGGTATGTTCTTCTTTCTTCTCATCATTTTTAAACGCCCTTTCGTCTAAATTACAGATCATTGTCATAATCGACAATTGCCAGGTACGTCACGCTAGTGTAATCAATGCTATTGTAATGTCAGCGACAAATGAGTAGGAAAGTCGAGTTACGTTTGCACCAGTAGCGATTAGATAATGTGTGTATGGTTTTGTATCTCGGCGGGATCGTCTAGTCGAGAAGCTTCTAATATCTCTGCTTCTCTTTATCTAAACTTGCCGTAAACGCGATGGAACAGATACACGTACCAACAAATAATTAACTTTCACACGAGTACGCGAGCAAGTGGAAAAGAAGTACCGACACTCTCTTTTCAATTCTTGTCGAGTTTGAATCTCGAATGCTCGCGACTCCTGTAAATCGACTAATGATCCCGACTTTGTCGATCTAGTGAAATAATTTTCCCCTCGTTTGGCATTTAATTTAACGGCTGAACTGAATTCATATTTTTGATAAGAGATTCGACTCGATTGTTATTCGACAAGTCGAATCGTATCGAGCGACGATACAGTGAGGTACACACTGAAAAAGAAAAGAATGTCGATTCTCGTCAAGGATCAAAAAAAAAAAAGTTGCATCCGACCGAATCGATTGATTGATCGATCGATCGATCGAAGACCATTTTGATAACTTTCCCTCGATCGAAAGAATTCCAATGCTCGTACACACCGGAGGAGAGCCCGGTAAAAATACAGGCTTTAATGTTGTTCTAATTCTAAGCTCCATCAACTATATTTACCGAGCCTCTCCCCCCCCCTCCCCCTCCCCCCTTTCATTCATTCCGAGCACGCGATCTCTCGCTATATGAATTAACGCGCGTTTCACGGGCAAACGTTATTTTTGTCGCGCCTATCTTGTGCATCGCGAAATTATATTGCACAGTCACTGTGGATCGTAATTATATCACACTCGTGAATCCGTCGGTTTTTTCACGATCAAATCAAAGTCGATTTCAATACCCCTCCCCTCTTCCGCCCGCTGCTCCGGCTGCGGCCGGCTTCAACACGCGGCGCTCGCCTTTACAAGGACGTTGAACACCAATCGCGATTAACCAATCCGATTACTTTCTGTATTTTATTTTATTTTTTTTTTCCCAGCTGTTGGCTGGGCTCCGAAAATCTTACGATTTTACGAACTGCGTAAAACACGCCTCGTTGTTTTAAATCCGCGAAACCTCGAGGGGAACATGCGTGCGTATAATTGGCAAGTGATTTCCGAGATTTTCGTTTAATTAGACGAAATGTTGATATAGTTAGGTATTCAAATGAAACATTTCCAATTCGATTGAATCTACATAAACAATACGCAATATGGAATAATTTGACTTTTTTTTTTTTATTCAATAATTGGAGCAAAAGATACAGGGCCTTTCAGAAACGGGTGACAAACGTACAAAGTTGTGCGAAAGAAAGAAGGAAACGAATTGATGAAGAGACCTGCGTCTAAAACCTAAATTAAGTATATGTATGTGACTTCGTTCGAAACATAATGATCGAGCCACACTCTACGCAGGATCTGCCAGAACGAAATGCGACGTCGAGCACACTCGAAGCGAAGGGTTAACCCTTTTACTGCCGGCCTCACTCACGCAGATACTTGCGAAAAATTGTCACGGCCGATTTGCCGATTTCTGCTACGAACATCTTTACGAGGAGAAAAATGCCGATTTCCTGGAGGAAAATCTGTATTTATTCTTTTTCAACTGTATTTATGTATCCTTTTAAACTCAAACGATGTAGATGAATTTTTTTGTAGCTCCGAGTTTTATTAATTTAACAATCATTCCCGTCGATTATCATTAACAAAAATTATTAAATAATTTTCATTAATTAATTTATATTATATTATATTATTTTCATTAATTAATTTATATATTATATTATTTTCATTAATTAATTTATATTATATTTATATTATATATATATTAATTAAATAATATATAATAATCAATATTTCAGATGTGGATCATCATCGGCCCGCTGGCAGCGAAAAAAAAAAAAAAAAAAGAAAAAGAGGTTAACACCGTGCCTAACACGTGTACTGGAAATTTTGGGACGTGATAAAGAAGGACGATGATCCAACTTCGGCCGATGTGCTTTTCATCCATGTATTACCACACGATTGCGCGACAAGCGTGAAGTTACGACCAAAGACAAAAATTCCGTCGCGAATTTATCCGCTTGTTTGTTTCGAAAACGGGAAAGATAACGCGAAAGGAATGAATCGTTCATTCAGCCAAAGCCGATCGCACGTTTCTCGCGTTGTGAGAACACCGGCGAATGAGATTATTGGCTATCGGTGTGCGCGATGGGAAAAGAAGGCTCGAGCGAAAAGCAATAGAGGGCCCACCGCCCGCCCGATGCCACTCTTCGCAAGTGACAATAAAGAGAACACTCGCGGGGAGTGAGAGAGAGAGAGAGAGAGAGAGAAGAGGTTGTCGCTCGAGCCTGTCGCCCGATCGAATTCGGTTTATTATACAAGAGCGTAGAACGCGAACCGAGGCGAGGGTCAGCGACCACCACCGCGTATTTCTCTATACACGTCGTATTTTGCACTCGCGTCCACAAGCTATTCCCTTATACCCTGGGCTCTACTATCGCGTCGAGTAGAAGTCTCGCTGACTGTGCATTACGAGCCGCTAGTCTCTCTCTATTCTCTACCCTCTGCTGGAAATAACAATCCTTGGTCAATGGATTTTATAAATTGAATCCCCCCTCCGGTCTATAGGTGTTGACGTGCGCGACGTGAAGTTTGGTTCCAAAATTTCTTCAGTTCCTTCGCCGGTTGTAATTTCTTTCTTACATGGTTCCGCACGTGCGATCTTTTTATACCTTATTTAGTTTCTAGGGTTTGTTACAAGCAGATCCTGCCAATGACTGACACTTTACTTTCACGAGTCGAATTATACCTTTCATTAACGATATCACGTATTGCTTTTGTCCAATGCGTTTTGTAACGGCAAAAAACCTAAATTTGATAGAATCACCTTGAACTTTACGATGGATATTACGCACAGAATCCACAATCTACATTTGACAGTGATAATGATATTGATATCGAAGGAACTATCACACTACCACTTTTTACTAGACGCAAGCCATCTTTACATCGTATTAGGGAAAGTTTCCAGAATTTTGCGAGAATTCTGCGACCGTTAATTACCAAGTACCAACGATCAAACAAATGTCTATTCATGATGGCGTCGTTTCCCTAAATTTCTAACCTAATACAAACTCTACGCGAACTCTATTTTCCACGGACGGTCGTCCCAATGATACACGGTTATCAAACATTGATAACTAACAGAACATTTAGCGCCTGGTTGCAGACATTGTGGCAGTTGTACCAACGCTGCTTTTAATTCTAACGGTAGTGTATACGCAACATAATGCGGATTCTCATGTCTGCCTCTGTGGAAGCTCGATATCAACACCAATACCGACCGATGTTTAGACGGTGACGGTGCTCCAAACATTAAACTAGTTAATTAGGCTAAGTTGCAGATGGGCTACTTCAATTTCGTGCGCCAATTTCGTTACAGGGGGGCAAGGGGAAGGGAGAGGGGGGGGGGGGAGAGAGGCCTCGCTCGTACGAGCTGTGATAACGTGTACTTTATCGCATTGAAAGCGGAGCTCGTCACGCGTACTTACAATTAGTACACAGTGCGACACATTGAACTTTGTCAAACCGTTTCCTTCGCGTAGTTCGTCCGCAACCGGGCAAAACGTTATCTCGATATCGCGGCGAGTTTGATTCGTTCGTCGATCCATCATGCGATTGCGTCGTCGTTCGCAAGGAACGCGCGAGTGAAAAGAAAAAAAACAAATACCCTAGGGACATTTTGGGCAAAATTGTTTCCCTTTCTGTTCAATGCTTGTAACATCCTCTATGTAATATTTACGTATACTCCTCCGTAATAACACCACAAAACATTTGTCTACAAACCAAGGACATGAATATATGTACATAACCTACAAAACATTTCTGCTATCCAATATTCAATGTTACGTGGATCATGATTTTTCGTATATCGTTTATTGTAAATTAATACGCGGTGTAATCGAAAACGTTTACATTTATTCTTTTTTTCTCTCTAATTTAATCCTACATTGGATCTTTTATCGACTCGAATAAATCGTTTCAATAGAAACGCATCATTTTGGAAACTCCTCTTACTGGAAAGGACATGAGAAAAGAAACTAGAGGTTGACCCGATTGTTTGAAAGCATATGTTAAAAAAATGTAAGAAGACGATTTTTATAAGAACATTACACGTTGTTTCAGTAAATTTTTAATTTAACTATTATATAGAGTACGAATTTTGGTAATGAACAAATGAATTGAGGAAAAATTACGCAACAGATTTTTTAAACTTAAGAATCGTATGATCAATCAAATCGAAGGTAAGAGATGCAAAAAAATAAAAAAAAAACTAGAAGAAAAAGTAAGAAAAATGAAAAGAAGTATTATGCTAATTATACGTATTCCAATGAGCCAATTTGTAGAAATTGCCACGATACGTATTAAGTAATTTTTCTTCTTGCAAAATTTCAAATCAAACTGATTCTGGTCATCTAGATATCTTTACGAAATTTTTCAAAATCTTTTTGTACAATTCAAACGAGCGAAATTCGCGCGGAATTGACATAAACGTTAATCTCGATAAACTCACCGACTCGAAATGAGCTCGATCAGTAGAACATCTCGACAACCCGTTAGCCAATCGATCGATCTTCTTGCGCGCACTGAATCGATATCAAAACAAAGATGGCGAGAGATCGCGCACTCTTCACAAATGTTGTTATCACAATGTAATTGGAGGATCCCCGCTTAGGCACTCGATCGTACAACGTTTCAAAAACTCGTGTATGTCTGTTATTTGTATCAAAATTCCATTCGCGTCTGGCTAAAAATTTGGATTCGTAAATCGCGTTATGATCATAGATGGAGAGACAGAGACAGATAGAGATATACAAGATAGATAGATAAATAGGTAGATAAATAGAGAGAAAGACGTATTATTCAAACGATATAATATTTGCTTTCAAATCCATTTCCCGTCTAGACAAAACTAGAGAAAATTCGCGGAATAGCCTGCATCAATCACAAAAACAGTTTGCCTCGTTTTTTCAAGTTTTTTGAAAACTAGCCAGCATCTGATATACATTTGTACGTGTACATACAAAGACACATATATGTAAGAAATATATGTATGTAATGGCGTGTATGTTTGTATATACGTATGAGCGTGTGTGTGCACATATGCATGTACATACACACGTATGTATGTGTATATATATATATATATATATATATATATATATATATATATATGTATGCACGTATAATACACGTAGCTACATACGAGTGAGAAAATACAATTATCGAGAGGTTAGCCTAGTCAAAGGTACGAGGAGAAAAGCTCGTTCTCCAGAACGGACGTCAATGGTCCCACGATCGATATCTCCCCACTAACACCCTTGCAAAAGGTACAACTTTAAGATCAAAACAAAACTTCTTTCCAAACCGATTACGCAGAAATAACACACGAGACTTTGGCACGTACATTAACTTGCACTTGTTCTTTTTTTCTCTGGCAATTCGATCAACCACGCGTCACTTGGTTCGCACGCTGAATTTCATCTGGGATTCGTCAAACATCGACAAGCGAGTCAATCAACATATCCCATTCGATAACGATAATGTTATGTACACGAACACAACAACTGTAACTGATCGTTTCTTCTTCGTCTTCACGCACAATCCTCGTCTCTTTCTTTCTTTCTTTCTTTCTTTTTTTTTTCTTTCTTCGTTTTGCGTGTCTCTCGATATATGAATATATATGTATGTATGTATATATCGGTGATATATCGATATATATATATATATATATATATATATATATATATTTCTCCTTGCGAGCTCTCTCTGGTCACACTTTTACAAGCTCCGAGTCAGTCTTGCCGTGTTCGTTAAACGTAATACAACCGCGGTCACCGACGACGATAAACGATTCTTCCAAGGATCCAGCTAACCAGGAAGCTAGGTTAGCTAGGTTAGAATTATCCTGGTTGACTAGAAACGATGACTAGAAACGCGCGTCCGTGTCTTAAAATATATTTTTCTTTTCTTTTCTTTTCTTTTTTTTTTCACGTGCGGCAAACCGTCGATTCGCACACTGTGCCTCCCGTAGAAGATTCAAATTTAGAAGCGTCGTATCGGACGGTAAAAAAGCGGGCCGCGCGCGCCTCGACCAGTTCGCGGTCGAGCCTGAAATAAAGATTTGAGGAAGTCGCGTGGAGAGCACGGGAACGAAAGAAAGAGAGACAGAGAGAGAGAGAAAGAGAGAAAGAGGGTGAATGGAGAGGAGGAGGGAGGGCCTGGCCGTGTTGCACATACCAGTCAGTCCACCTCGCCTCTGAAGTTTGCCTCGGCACGCCGAGTTAACGTCGACGAGGTTCGACCGTTGATTGGCTCTCGCGGAGACCAACGTCAGACGCCGACCCGCCAATTGCGCGTCGTCGTACGCGCCGCGCATGCGCACAACCTCCAGCCTCGACGATCGCGCTGACATTCCAGCTTCGACCGCGCATTGAACGACGTTCACTTCGGTTTTGTGTAATAATTTTCAACTGTCAATTAATCCTCTTCTCTTTCCTTTTTTTCTCTCTTTCTTCTCTATTCAATATTTACATCGAGTCTTTCGATTATTTTCACAGACGAATTTCGATATTTTGGAAAATTAAGTAATCTCGATCAAAAATAGAAGAGGAATTTTTTTTCTTATCGGGAAAGCTACGTGTTTCCTTTTGCGTCTTTTCTCAGCTGTTCGTGTTTCTCCCCAATGTCGGAACATATTTCAGATTCGATCTCCTTTCGTTTCGTTTTTCACACCGAGGTTTCCTTCAAAATGTTAGAGGTCGTCCCGTTCAACGAAGCAAGAGCGAGACTTGCAAACGAGAGTTTACGAATCACGGCAAAGTCAGAAACTAGATAAAGCACAAAAGACGGTAAAAATTGACGAAACGTAACGTAAGGCATTAGAGAGGAAACGAAACGCTCGAGCGTTTATAAATATACATATGTGATGCGATGAAAAATGATCAATCTTTTCATGTTACAGACATTGTTAATAAAGATGTAAATTTCAACAGACGGAGCTTTCGAAGCATCAATGCACGATAGAATAGTTTAAACGTAAAGAATTTTAAAATAAAACAACTTACACGTAACATCTATACCTATATTTTCTCGAGATTACAAGAAAATAATCGAAATATTACCAGCCATTCATAAACGGTTCTGCCATAATAGTTAGTCGGTACCGTGAATTATAACTGTGAAAGTTCAAACAGCCACGCGTAAAAATGGCATCTTTACACTTTATTAATATTTCGCCGGCCAGAAATAAACCGGCGCGGTTAAAGAATTTAACAAACGTTTTCTACATTGTGTCATTTGCGGCACTCGAAGCGTACGTTGGAGCTCTATAAACGTGCGAGCAAGTACACGTTTGCTGAACTAGGATTATCGATCGATATACGCGTGTCCTATCGATCGTTCGAATAACAAATCGAAGTCGAATATTTCTATTGAGCGAGAAAAAGATGCTCTATTGAGTAAACTGTCGTAATTAAGAACGATATATTCTGACTTTAATTATCCGCAAATCGATCTCGATTCGACTCGACTTTAATATAAAATGATCTAAATTTCATGATCTGTACGTCATAGAAATTTGATTTATAGATTCAAGCCCCGGGCACAAGATCCTTGGATCATTGAGTATGAGATCATGTACATAGACACGACGACACTGTGCATAATGGGAACGTCGCTTTTACGTGTCGATAGCTCGGCACGAGTACAGTACCAGTAAGTATAATGTCACAGCAGAACTATCAATGCAGCTATCTACGTACATTGCGTTACATGTACGTTAGTCTCGTTTATTCTCCGCCTAATCCGTTACACAGGTACACGACACGAAAATTTTTAATCGTACGCGTCTACTCGTAACACGATGTGTATTAACATTTCTTAAATATTCATCGAGTACGCTAACTGTCAAAGTCATTAACGAGACAATCATTTGGATATGTTTATATCTGTCTAGAAATTTCCATAGATGTCGTTACGTAGATCTCCGTCGTTTTTATTAATCAGTTCTTTGCTTGTGTTGTCTAATATAAGGTTATGTTAATCGTTGCCTGTGATGGCCGGTTGCACGCAGCACGAGAGGAGAGAATACGATACTTTTTATCGTGACAAATGAAACATTAGGAGAAAAATGTGGACGCTGGTCGATCGGTATCCGAAAATTGACAGGACGACTGATGGAATATGATGCAGCGAATACGACGAATTATGGGGTTAGACAAACAGAGGCAACGGGTACACTACCGGTAAACTCTCGAAAATCCAACTAGATAAATATTAAACGAGCCGAGACGTTTGCGATGGCTGCTAGCGACTAGCTTCTATCAGTTATTCGCGAATCATCCGACAGCCGTGCAAAATGAAATTGAATCGAGACAGAGAGAGGGAGAGAGCCACATCCAAGTCATGTGAACGCTTCCAAAACCTGGTTATATAACATTTCGAATCGATCTCCGATATGTGTTAGGCAATGATTTAAGAAAATGGCAATTGTCGCGTTCGAGTGACAACTGAATTTCAGCATTTTCATTTCATTATGCTAATGAAATATGGTGGCTACGTGTAATTCGAGCAATCGTAGAAGATGGATGTAAAATATTAACAAGACGAGTTGAATTTAATCGGACGATAAAAATGGACAATTTCACGCAGATTTGGATACATTTGGAGGGTAAATTTAATGAGTAAAAGGTGTAACAGCCCTGGAGGCGTAGAATATTCTTATTCTAACGCGCTTTTAAAATCTTTGAAAATTATTCAACGAATCGAATGAAACAGTTAGTAGCGATTAAATAATGAACTTAGCTCGACCGAGAGGATTATTTTCTTGGAGGAATGAGTTCATCGTGGAGGGTACACGCGATCGTCACAGTGACCGGAATTTCGGGCGAAATGAGGGAAAAAGAGGGAAGGAAAATCAATTGACGCGAACAATCGTAATCTCGTCGAACTGCGTGCACCGCGATGAAATTAAAGACGATTGGCAACACATGCCTTTACCAAAATTCCTCGATGTAACGATGAATTCTAAGGGGATTTCGTTGATTATAGAAACGAACGATTAACAAAAGTCTCAGAAAATCATTGTAACGAAACCGTTGTGACAATTGGCCATCGATAGCGAGTGTCGCAGCGCTGAATTTCAAGTTCCCTCTGGAAACTAATATAGAAACAGCGAGTGAAAATAGAGACACTCGTTTTAAGAGAGAAAGAGAGAAAGAGAGAGAGAGGGAGAGAAGAGGAGGAGGAAAGAAAAGCAAAGACCATCTATAAGACTGACAGGGTAAAAACGTCCTGTCGAATCATCTTTGTGCGCGAAAAAAGCTCACGAGCAAGAGCTAGGCAATGCCTGTCGATATTTAACGAATTATCCCAGGTGCGGGTAAATATAAATCTACTCCAGGTCGGATCGTATGTATTATGCATGAGCTGCAATGTAGCTGTCCCCCTACAGAGGTCGGATAACCTAACCCGTCGAGAGAGCCGGCGAGTGTTCAATATATCCTAGCCTATCGATCTCGTCGACCGAGCGCGAAAAGACGCGAGAAACGGGATAGCGGATAAGTAATTAATATTCTCCGGATGTGGATAACGATAAGCGAGTTAGCAATATTATAGATTGTACGTTGTAGACTGTAGACTGTAGACTGTAGACCGTGGACTATGGACCGTAGATCGTAGATCGTAGTAAATAGGTAGAGGAGAGCGAGACAGCAGGCAATTTCGATGCACGCGTCTCTCTGCTCGTCTCGTGGTATTTACTCTTGACCCAAAGAGAAGGCGACGCGCGCCATTTTTGACAGATAGCTATACACAAGCATCGAACTTTTGAATTGTAATGTTTTTTGCAGGAAACTTGTGTACTGAGCGCGCCGACAGAATAAAATAAAAATATCAAATTTCTTTAGACTCTAAATCGAGGTGCCAACGTCCGATCGTTGTTTCATCAGAATTCAATTTTTCAGGTAATAAAGACTTTTCCACAAGATCGAGTTGAACGTGAAATTATTGAAAATGCTAGAGTCGTTTTGTTTACGAGAAATATGCGGCTGCAAGAAAGAACCAGCCAACCAGATAGGATTAACTCTTTTCAGACCGAACGCGGTGTTATTGCGTTTGATGACGTGTAAAGATGTTTAACTGTTGTAGAGAAGACAGTGTTGTTGCAGCGAGTTGGCTGATCGATGGCAATTGTGGCTGTGCAACAATGGCAGATGTCAAATTGTCGGATGATCTCCGTTGAACGCGGAACGTAAGCTACTTTTGTGCGAAGACACGCCGATATACATTATGCATTCTAGAGCGTGCAAGTTTACGCGAGATGCTTTCGAGAGGTTTGCATTACAAAAATACCTTGCTCGAACCGCTTGAAACTCTGGATAACTCGCCGCTGGCTACGCAACTTTTAAACGTTCGCGTAATATCCGCCGGTAATATGCGAGATTTTGTTTCTTCTCGATCGCAAGAAAAAAAAAAAAAAATGATCGAGAACCTCCGATATATATTCATCCAACGTTACGCCGATATTACGATAGATGCGCACGCAGATACATTCTCGTAAAGAGATTTCTACAATGCCGACCTTAACTAAAAAGTCACGTGATTAGCGATCGCTTTCTCGTTCTTCTTCTTTCCCTCCTTTTCTAACCTTCCTACGTAACTTTGCGAATTGAACGCGAGAGTGGATTCGACGAGTGTAACGGCAATTAGGTGCCGCAACCTATCTACGGAAGATGGTCCAGCAAGGTGGAGAGATAATTTTGTGGCGAAGACAGAGAGACGCGGCGAGGTAACGCAAACACAAAGACGAGGAGAGGAGACGGAGAGAGACGGAGAAAGCCGGAGAGAGCGTTTCCATTTCATCGATTGCCCGCGTCGCGACTCGATGGGACGGAACGTGTATCGGGTAAACGTCAGCGTGGCAAGTTGCGCGGCCGGAATAATCGGCCCGCTGAAACGTAGTTAATCATAATGCCGATTATTTCGCGGATTAGTTTGCAGGAACCGACGTCTATTTCCGTTTCACCGTCCGTCTCGTTTCTGTCATTCCCGATGCGATTCTATTTGCGCGAGGATCGACCGGGTCACACGGTTAAGCGTCGTTCATCCGATAATGAAGATGGACTTCTCGAGATTTTCCAGCAGAATTTAATATCGGATTGAACGTCGGCACCGATCCCGTCCCGCCGACGAGCATCGGGAATCGGATCCACCAATTCGGATCCGAAACGTTTCCAACGGCGTTTCGACGACGCCGCTTCCCGATCGATCGAGAATGACGGTTTTTCGTACACGTGAGATTTCCAACATGGCCGACAGCCTGTTTCTAAAACGAACGAGGTTTGCAGGTTAGAAGCATCTGTCGGATGGTCGGTTATTAACTAACAATATATACCTAACTAAAAAATTGACCAGTTTAGAGCAGATTCCGATTTGTATGAAATTTCGTTGCGAATTTCGATACACAAGGTAAATAGAAAAAAAAAGGATAAATGACAGGATCTAGCGATAAAGTTTGTATAACCTATAACTTTGAAACTATTAATTTTTCGACCCATGTTTATTAGAACAGTTTTTCATGTTTCGACGAGTAGTATCTACCCTGAAAGTTACGAACCCTTTTTTCTATTCATAAATCAGTGCATATCAGTGACAGAACAAGAGGGGGAGGGAAAAAATATTAAATTTGATACTGGATACGTAGGAAACGTTCGATCGTGTAATTAAAGGATTTCGTTTGGATAAGCAAATTTAGAATAAGCCGTGTGACTAATGGCAGACTGCACATTCCTCGCTAAAGTTTATTTATAGGTTATGTAAGAGGGCAATAAGACATTTTAACGGCGAACTGACCGGTGGTGCGTGGTATAACGGACTATTGGTGCACGATGCACGGTGCACAGGCATAAATTCACGGATGATTACTAACGGGGGTCCTTAATTACGAAAGGGTTAACAACAAACGGTTCTCTGTCGTCGTGGGTCGCGCGTACATTGGATTTTTTTCATTCGGACCTGTTAACACTGGAAACTGTACCAAAATGGCCAATTTATAATTTTATAAACAGCGTGAAACAGCGTACTTTGAAATATTTCAATCATTTTTCATAAAATATCGAAATAAAAGGGTGATATTACAAAGTTTCTCTATTTTTTTTTTTTGACTTCCAATGTCTCTGATGCTTTGAAATTTTATGCTTTCATACTCTGCTACTATTATTATCTCAAATCAAACAGTTTGAAAACTTTTTGGCAACCAATTGACAACGCATTGAATTCAGAAAATTTTTATAGGAAAGCGAGAGACGCCACTTGCCGCGTTCGCATGACCAACGTGTAAATTTACATAAATATCTGCATACGGACGTGGTATACTTAAAGGTTATCGTTTTGTAAATCGATAATGATTTATCGTTATATTTTGACAAGATAGTCGCGGATGTATCGACAGGTATAAATATCCTTCAGTGAGAAAATCGCGCGACGGCGCAATTGAAATTCAAGATGGAAAATCCGTTCGCGACGTTTTTCGTTTCGCTCGGTTATTTCTATCCGACGGTTAAACGTCGTTCAACGGAAAAACATATTTAATCGAACCAATTATGTAAATCAGCTCTATTAGTTTAACTTGCTTTTAACTGTAGATAATGCGCTATTTACATACTTGTCTATGTATTTGTTTGCTTGCTAATGGAAACGATTTTCCATAGGTATATATTTGTGCAAGCAGCATATCACAATGATGGCGATGACGATGACGATAATCACAACAACAACAACAATTGGAGAGAAAAATAAAATTCTTACGTAAAAGTCTTTCAGTTCTAACACAATTGTGGTTTGTTTGAACTTCAAAATTCAAAATTATTATGTAATTACAAAGTTGTCATTTTTAGGTGATTATCCGGTGCTTTGCAAACTAAATTCTGCTCGCCAAGAGAATACCAAGCACGAAATTAAATAGTACGTTAGTTATTATTGGAAAAACAACAACACTCGCTTCAATCTTAACAAGTAACACGGTCGCAGAGAAATTGTACGTTTTCTGGAAATTGGACAAAATTTCAGAAGAGAAAAAAATGTTCATTGATGCAAATCTACTTGATGTTTCATACGTAGTAACAAAAAAATTTCATAATTACACGCCTGTGACAATTGGTTGTAGTTTTTAACGTAGTTGGTTGTTGTTACACGCACGTACGAAAAGAGAATTTCCCACAACCTTAATAATGTTTGGCTCGTTGACTACTATACGTACGAATATAACACTTGCTATGAATTAACTATCCAGTTATCGTCAATTACACATTGTCAACAATCAATTACAAAATTTCTATGGCCAAATGAAAATTTATGATACCTAATTAATCGAACAAATTTACTGCTTTCAGTTCTAACATTGACCTGCAATATTCCAACCTAACTGTAATCGAGCGAGCTATACTCTTACAACAATGATTCAATCTCTCATAAGAGTTATTTCGATAATTTATTTTTACAAGCAAATTGGTGGCAGGATAATTAATGACTATCAATTGTACAGGATGGGCTAAAAGTTTCTTTTCAACTATTTCCTCTTTTTCAATGTAAAACCGTCAAAATTTTTGTTAACTTTAAATTAGATTTAAGTTCAAAACGTGATTTCTTCGTCGTGTTTTAAGAGTCTATAAAAAAAAAAAGAGAAAATATTTTTCAAATTTTAGTAGGATTTATTTTAGTGGAAAGTGATTTTTACTTGCAGGAAATGGATTTTTGGCCCGCCAAAAGTACAACTACTGTGCCAAAGGACAACTGTGGACAACAGAAGATTCAATGATTTCAATGAGAATTCAACGACGAAGGATAAGGGCAAGAATAAGAACGATCTCGCGCATAGGATGCAACGATGTTCGATCGAGTCGGATAACACCGTTGAAAAAGCGTGCTCCGGAGAAAGCGGGGAAAAAGCGAGGAAAAAGGGAACGGTTAACTAGACGCGGATACCTTAGAGCACTGTGTAAAAGGGATGTCGGCCCTCGTGATCTCCTTTTGCTCGGCGGTGCGAAGGAAAAACAATACACGTAACAAATACCTTTGGAGAGCCGCGATCAATAGCAATATCGGGACACACGCTGTGCCGATATGTGGTACAGTGGTATATCCTATCCTCTTGGATATATACCTGCGAACATCACCCGGCGCCACTTTCCCTTCGTCATCTGCTTTTACCGTTTATAACCAATTATTATAATAATCTTTCGCGATTTCCTTCCGTCGTTTGCTGGACGAAAGAACAAAACGCGACGTGATGTATTAGTTTCAATTCTAAAATCACCGTACACGTACAACTCTTTCGAATGAGAATCTGGCATTCTGACGAAACACGCGTGTTTCATATTCTCTAAACGCTTTTGAGCTGATATCGAGTTAATATTTATTATAATATAAATTAATATTTCAGCGAGAGTCGAAGACCGAGGGCAAACGATAAGCAACGACCGATGGTGGGAAAATGGTGGGAAAAAATGAGTGAAAGAGATGTGAAACAGACTGAAGAAAGGCGCGGAAGAAGACTCGCGTACATCCATCGTGTACATGGACGGATAAACTCGTGAGAGATCTGGCTAACGACGACGAGACGTTTCGTCAGGGGTAACGTCCGACGAAAGGCTAGCCCCCTTCTCGTACAAAGAGAAAAGAGCGTGCGGGGAGTATGGAGTAGGGAAATACCAGGTGGCGGCCAAGCCGTATCTATCTCGTAGTCTCTCGTAGGGGCGAAAGGAAAGAAATTGTTTCAGAGTCTTTCGACTAGTAGGAAAAGAAGGCGACGGTGAGACGGGTGCTCTGTCCCTCGAACGTGCATGACGGCGACGTGCCACGTACGCGTCACGACCCACACAACACATTCGTGGTCCAGGCGTCGCGCGGCGTCTGTTGCCCCGTATACCGGATATCCGCTCATCCTGCCACCGCCGAAGAAACATCTTGCCTTCCGAGACGAGAGAGACGACGCTGGAAAATCTCTCCCCGGCCCGTTCTCTTCGCTACAAAGTGCCACAACACGTGTCCCGATGTGTTCGAATATATACATACGTGCATGTAGGCCTTCCGATAAATATACTCGCCACTCGGTCTCTATTAAGCCTTGATAAATGAATTTAGGTTAGGTTTTAATGATTTTCCATTCGTGCGGCGTGGCACCGCTTGAAACGTTGCTGCGCGATTGGTCCTTCAATTGGATCTCGTTCGATTCTACGTGCACGACGTGTAAAAGTAATGTATCTGTAATGTATCTGTCCGCGTGTAATTTTATTTTCACCCCCCCCCCCAACATCTTTCAAATGTTGTTTGAAATTTTGTAACGATCAACAAAGAGCATAATTGTTCGTTGGGCCAGTAACAGTGGAAAAATTGCGAATCGTTTGAACTGATGTAACTTTGCAAAGAAAGATCACACGGTGATCCATTTGGTCTTGTTTTAAAGAGCGAAGCTTTTCTTCTTTTAACAGTCGCGAGACTGTGAACACACGTTTTTCTTCGAGAATTGTAAAAGTATTAAAAATTTCTTTTTCCGCGACCGGGTGCACCATCGTTTTGAAGATTAGAGTTTCTCCCACAATATTTTTCTTTACTGTTTCATTGAACATTGAATGTTGGAGTTAAACGGCGAAAAATGTGAAAATTTTAAGGCTCCAAATTCAATAATACGATATTATAATTATATAATGTAAAGTAAGCGAGATAATTTCAAGAGATAATTTTACAAACTTTCTACTGGATTTTAGGAAATTTCAGAAATGGAAGCTCCCATAAATGTGTAATGCTCGGGCAAATTCGGAATTCGAGGAACGTTGAAAAATGAATGAATGTAAATGAATTTCTCTCTTTGGATGTGGGCCACGCAAAGATCTAGTCAATCACAATTATAAAACGGTAATTGAGTTTTTATGAACACATAATAGAAATGTCATCGTTCCTTCACTTAACCATCACCAGATGTGATGCAAAGGGAAGCGACGAATAACGCAAGGGAGAAATGATATTTTTAACAAAAAGCTAAAGGAAATAATAATTATTCCGATCGAAGATGATGATTACTTTGCTCCTCTGAAGGAACGAGCGGTGATGATTATTCCCTCTAAAGAATTGTGAAAAAAAAAAAAAAAACGATAGAGGCACGAGAAGTAACGAGAGAGTGTAAAGGAATAATAACAGAATGAAAAGCCTGCTAACAGTGTGGAAAAAAGAAAAAAAGAGAAAAGAAAAGAAAAGAAAAGAAAGGAAGAAAGAAAGAATAGAAAAATGAAACTCTAGAACGAATTTTCAGCGGGTTCATCGTTTGAAACGAGACGAAAATCCGTGGGCAAAGGCACCACCAACAGTTGCCATTTAACCGAGAGGCACGTGTGATTTGCGCACTTGGCACGCGACCAAAAGCCAGAGAGAATGAGACCAAACTCCGGAGATGACGTCACTCGGGTGACTAGTATCCACTCTGCGCGTCGTGCCTACTTACTGCCTGCGTACGAACGCCGAAAGATGGAAAAGATCGAAAAGGCTTGGAGAGACCGAGGGAAATAATCTCCGAGAGAGCGAGAATCGTTTCCCCTGTACACGTTTCGGCGGCCAACAATCGCGCGAGGCACGCGCTTTCATCGGCAACGAGGGGGAGCAACAGGTTCCACTCTCTCTTTTACTTGTACGATTCCATCGAGGAAACGAAGCCCCGTCGACTCGCGACGAAAGCTCGGCGTATCAACCGTTTCCTCGATCGGAACGATTAACAGCCGCTTATCCGCCGATCCGAGCCTCTTCTACGCGTAAATCGCACCGTACGTGTTTCGTAACTGAGTTTCAATTCGTTTCAAACACGTTCACGTAGTTTTAATGTTTTAGCGCTGTATGATATGATATAGTATGGTATAATAATAATAGTAACAACGTATAGTATAATATATAGTATCATATAGTATGGTATAATAGTATAATATATATGATGTATATAGGGTAGTATAATATATAGGATGTATATATATAGTATTAGTATAGTATACTAATACGATATATATATATATATATAGTATTATGTATAGTATACTAATACTATATATATATAGTATTATGTATAGTATAATATATAGTATCATATAGTATGGTATACTATACTAATACTATATATATATACACATCCTATATATTGTACTACTATACTACCCTACACATAATACTATATATATTACATCATATATATTATACTGTTATACTAATACTAATATGGTATAATAGTATACTATATATGATGTATATATAGTATTATGTATAGTGTAGTATAGTAATATTATGTGTATATATAGTATAACAGTATAATATATATGATTTATATATAGTATTATGTGTAAGGTAGTATAGTATATAATATATAGGATAGTATACTATAGTATACTATATATATATATAGTATAGTATACTAATACTATATATATAGTATTAGTATATATATATAGTATTAGTGTAGGGTAGTATAGTAGTATATTATATAGGATAGTATACTATAGTAATAATATTATGTATAGTATAATACATTATAATACTAATAATATTATTTATAGTATAATACAGTATAGTAGTATAATATGCAGGGTGTATAATGTCACGTGCAACTGAACTATCAGATTGCCCAAAAAGTAATTGCGTTTGTTTCTTTCTTTCGTGTGTGTGTGCGTGTGTGTGCAAATGAAAGGCGAATTTTTAGGCGAAAGATAATATTGAAATTTTTATGAAATCTTCGAAGTCCACATCTTTTAAAATGTACGTGAAAAAGAGTCAGTTTTAATTCCGAAGGTGTCTGATTTCTCGACGAAAACAGCGAAGGAAGAAAAAGCGCCGTTTACCACGAACTTGTATAAAAATTGGAGAGTCGGGGTGAGGCACAGTGCGAAGAGAATCTCCTCTGGCCAAAATCGAAATGAACTCTCAGCTCTCTTTGTACGCTCTGTTCTCTCACCTAAATGAATAAAAGAAGCAACGAGAGAATTTCGAGAATTCCTTTCTCGTCGAGCCGGAACCTTTTCTTCGAAGAAAGTTGCTCTGTGCCGAGTGCGCCTTTAAAAGGGGGTGAAAACCCGTCGATCGTGATAACACAGTTTCAACGTACATCAGTGACGAGCTACAAATTGATTCTTCATTCACTCTTCTATGCTCGTGTATGCGAACGAACGAACGAACGAAGGAACGAACGAACGAACGAACGAACGAAGGAAGGAAGGAACGAACGAGCGCGTGAGCGCATCAGGCAAAGTTACCCTGAAATAACTCTCGCAGATTATGCGAGGTGAAAGAGGATAAAACGCCTGTAAAGAGGCTAGTGAAAGTGCGAACTAATTTAACGTGTAAACTACTCTTGGCCTTTAACAACATTAATCTTCGTCTTCATACGAAATCCGATCGATTTTTTCCTTTCTCTCCTTTTTTTTCTCTTCTGCCTTCTTTCGCCTTGATTTAGAATTGCGCTCGACTGTCCCGCTCTAAGTAGACATATAATAATAGATAATATAGATAATAATGCAAATACAATTATAACGAATGTAGAGATACACTTGTACGATATACAGGGTGTTTCGTAACCCACTTCGGGAGCTGATTGTACGCCTAAAAATAATGAAAAAAAGTCATACAAATATATACGTCCTATCTGCCTTCGTTTATGAGATATAATGAATTTTATAAACAGAGCAAACTCTAGTAAGCTAGTTTTACCAGGGATGGTACGTTCAATTTTCATAATAATCGTAACTGGGATGAAGAAAACCCACGTGTTATTGTGCATCCAAGACATCAACACCAGTTTAGTTGAAACGTATGGGCAGGAATAATTGATAAATTTTTAATTGGACCTTTTTCTCTTGATGGGAAACTAACAGGCACAAAGTACGTTGATTTTTCGAGCACGCGTTTACACGAAATATTAGAGGAAGTTCCAAGTCGATATTAGATTATTCGTATGCGGTTTATGCATGATGGAGCTTCGCCGCATTTTAGCCGAGTGGCTAGGCAATTTTTAAATCAACACTTTGCAAGTAAATGGATTGGTCGTGGAGGTCCTGTTGCATGGCCTGCTCGTTCTCCGGATTTGAATCCATTAGATTTTCATTTGCGGGG